TCAAGAGTGCCTGTTTGAATAGCGACCAACGGTTTGCTGACATCTTCAGGGAAGCTGAGCAAAGTGTGGACAAGATGGGTGCTGACGACCTGCGTATTCCTCGGAGATGTGCAACCCAGCATCACCGCTCAGACCTTCCAGCAACTACGCCCGAGGAGTTCTGGCGGCGTTCAGTATTCGTACCATTCGCAGCTTCCTTGCTGCAGGAGCTAAAAGCCCGTTTCAACCAGATAACGGAAACCGCCGTCTCCGGCCTGTGTTTGCTCCCCGAGAATGCTGTTCTCCCGTATGGCATCAGTGAAGACGTTGTCAGCAAGCTCCAGGAAGCCTTTGCAACCGACCTCCCAGCTGCCTATTCTCTGCCACAGGAAGTTGACCGGTGGGTGAGGAAATGGAAGAAAGTTGAGGCTGGCAATCTTCCCAAGTCACTTGCTGATACCCTCAGTGCTGTTGATAAGATGTCGTTTCCAAACATCTCCTGCATCCTGAAGCTTCTGCTCATCGCTCCTGTCACTTCAGCATCTGTGGAACGTGCTAACTCTGCCTTGGCATATGTGAAAACAGATCTACGGAGTTCAATGGGCCAATCGCGACTGAACGACCTGCTGCTATTGTACGTCCACAAAGACATCAAGCTGGATTACAACAAGATCGTCGACATGTTTGCTACCAGAGCACCCCGTCGCATGCTATTCGTAGACCCATGCAACCACGATGAGGATGAGTACTGAGCAGCCCTCGCGTTAACAGTTTTCCCCAGCAGTTGACTGTCCCATCAGCTCAAATGCCTGTACATAATTATGCTTGAACTGGAAATGTGGCTTGATGACATACATGTATATTTGTAGAAGAAGTAGAAGAAAGGGCAGTAAAATGGCTGTAACTTAAAGTTTCACACACCAAGCGATCTTCACTCACATTCTTCAGACAGCAAATGAGATACATATTACATGTATATTTGTGGCAACTTTGTAACATACAAATACCTGCTAGTAGTAGAGTAGTGTCGCCCTAATGCCTGAGTTACACCACAGCTTGACAACACTTCCAGTGCAGTTTGAAAATGTCGTGAGAATGGAATACAGCAGCTCTTCACAATTTCAGGACTTTGTTGTTGTTGGGGAGGGGGGGGGGGGGGGCGGATACCTTGGGCCCCCTCTTCAGCCAAATCCTGGATCCGCCACTGCTAATATGGGGAAGTCGACTTACAACCGGCGTATAACTGCCCCTAAACCGGCTACTATTAGTAGCCGAGGTGAACACGACCGAAGAGGTCAGCATGGTCTAAAATGAAACCTGGAAGTGACGAATCCAACCCCGACAGCACGCATGTGCGGTGGTTTTCCAGCCAGCAACAGGTTGACCAAGCTCTCTGAGTAGTTCAAACAAATACGAGGACTACATGCCTCTCACTGGTTCGCTGTTGATGTAGGAAGTGACTGGGTTTGCTCGGCGTCACAGAATTAATCGGTTGCAAGAGACCCTTCCTGCAGCTTCTAAACTCTGGATTGAGTTGGTGCAACCAAGAGTACATAACCCCCAAGAGTGTGCAACTCGACTATGGGTGCTGGCCCGGTAGAATTTCAAGTTGACGTCATTTTGATGATGCAATGCGCACTGTACACGGATTATCCGACGAATCTGGAACCTGTGGCGGACCAAAGCCTATCTGATCCTGTACAAATTATTGGAAAGTCCTGTACAAATTATTGGAAAGAAAAACGTGTGATGCGTTGACACCCGTACACATGTTGTAAATCACTGGTGCAAGGAGCATTGCATCATAAATAATGACGTCAACTTGAAATTCTGTTGGGAGTTGCACACTCTGGGGGGGGTTATGTACTCTTGGTGCTACCCCCAGTGCCTCTCAAATGTCAAGCCAGAGAACAATAATGACATCGATGAAACAGGCCACCACCGTCTATCAAAAGTACAATTACAGTGAAGACCTGACCTGAAACACGCTCGGTTGATATTAAAGTTTGATTCGCTAATACTACTCTCACCTCATGTGTGTAGGTTCTGACGGGGACGCCAAATGCACGAGCCAAACCAAAGTCAGCCAGCTTGATGAAGCCGTCATTATTGATCAACAGGTTCTGCGGTTTGAGGTCGCGGTGCAAGACACGGTGAGCGTGACAGTAGGCCAGGCCAGAAAGCAGCTGAAACAGGAAGCTCTGGAAATGCAGAGAGAGAGAGAGAGAGAGAGAGAGAGAGAGAGAGAGAGAGAGAGAGAGAGAGAGAGAGAGAGAGAGAGAGAGAGAGAGAGAGAGAGAGAGAGAGAGAGAGAGAGAGAGAGAGAGAGAGAGAGAGAGAGAGAGAGGAGAGAGAGAGAGAGAGAGAGAGAGAGAGAGAGAGAGAGAGAGAGAGAGAGAGAGAGAGAGAGAGAGAGAGAGAGAGAGAGAGAGAGAGAGAGAGAGCGAGAGGGGGGGGAGGGAGATAGAGATAGAGAAAGAGAGAGGTAGTAAGGCACAGCCACAGCTGCACAGGACATTGTCACATGATACGCGGAAACAGTATGGGCGAGAAATGCACCCAAGACTACCCGTAAACAACCCAATGGATTATCATCGACCATCAACCAGGATAGTAAAGAATCAGATGTGGAATGTATATGAGACAAGAAGGGTTTCAATCTGTATCCGGTGCAGAGGCAAGTCACGTAGAACAGTGACAACAAGAAGACAAACAATCCAAACTAGCAGCATTGGCAGTCACAGGACCGTGTAACAGGCAACACGAGTGCCAAAGAAAGCTACAGTCACCTCCCTACACCACAACCGTAAGTAGCTGTCAACATTAGACAGGTACAGTAGCGACGCACATAAAGGCCCATGCGCTTATGAGTGAGCTTTTGCGTTATTTGCTATTTTGGGGGGTCGTTCTGTCTCACACATAGGCGCATGCACTTGAGTTGCTAGTGTACTGGTACCATGCATAATTATGCGCACAGTGCAATACCACCATGCACATTGAACTATGTGAATATGGTGTTTTCGTGGTGTCTGTGTGTCGCGGGATGTACTGCATTTAGGTTCACTTATAAGCCCATGCGCTTATTTGTGAGGGTGCGCTTATGCCCGGGCATACGCACATGCTCTTATGCCCGGGCAAACGCACATGCTCTTATGCCCGGGCATAGGCACATGCTCTTATGCCCGGGCATAGGCACATGTTCTTATGCCCGGGCATAGGCACATGCTCTTATGCCCGGGCACAGGCACATGCCCTTATGCCCGGGCATAGGCACATGCTCTTATGCCCGGGCATAGGCACATGCTCTTATATGCGCGTCACTACGGTACCGGGGTACGATTTTCTGTACCAAAATCTGCAGAGGTGCTACGGATTTTTCGGCACAGAGAAACCGTGTGGACTGGCTTTCATGCAAACCATGGTTCAAATGGAGATTCTGCGTCATCGAGTGCAGAAAGACTTTTCGCGTACAAATTTGGTACAAGAAACATCGATTTTCCACGGGAAATTTTGATTTCAGTACAAAAAAATTAAAATTAAAAGGCTTATCGCGGGAGTATAACGTGTTTGCGATCGCAACCTACGCAATGATGGCAAACACATATTCTCTGTACTCCAGAACATTTGACTACACGAAAACGACGTCTAAAACATCCGTAGCGCCTCTAGGGATTTAGCTACGGAAAATCGTACTCCGGAACCCCTCTGTTATTGACGACAATTCAACTCTGACTCTGACAGAAATCGTCCAAGAAATAAACATCAGGTGCAACATACTAGCACGCCGCAAAGCAGAGCAAACTCACCTTGACTACGTACGCGGCAATCTTGCTTGGAGCAATCAGATCCAGGTACTTCTTCATGTCAACATGTAAGTACTCAAACACTAAGTAGAGTTTGTGCTCCACGTGCAAAACGTCCATAAGCCTGCAACAGGAAGACCAACGGACACTACACTGTAATCCAATGGATGACGCTCAACCAAATCGAGCAAGTGAAACCTGACCATACAAATCTGTTTGACGAGTGTCAATCCACGCCAAATTGAAAGAAGATTCACTGGAGGATACTAATGCCTCTAAGATGCATGTGCCGTATTTTCGCGAATCTGCATCATACGAAAATTAATGCCATGTGAAAATAAGAGCCGTGCTTCAAACCTGCAGATTAGTCACAAGCGCCATGAGTGTTTTACTGCCGTAGCAAATACCACCCTGGAATGCTTGTGCGTGAGTCTAGCATGAACAATTTCGTTTTCAATCTCTATGAGAAAAAAAATGAGGACCAAGGAACTACAAGTTACGCTATAATGTCCACTAACACCACCAGTTACTTTACAATCAGCTCATGCGGTATCATTGCACGACACTGACTAACGGTACTGACGTTCTACACCTAACTGGCAATCAGCTCTAGCACATCTTGGATGCGCACTCCAACAGCCTTCCAGCTTCTTAGTTAGAAAAACATAGGAGGGGAAGGTGAGCGCAACCAAGACAAGAACGGGCTGAAAGTCTCAGCTGTGAAGGACGTTGGCGGATGTACATGTTTGTCGAAGACGATACAAACAAGACCATCAGACAAAACGGTGAAACCACAATTTAAGGACGCATCCTTCACAGCTGAGACTTTCAGCTCGTGCTTGTCTTGATTGCGCTCACCTTCCCTTCCTATGTTTTTTCTAACTAAGAACCTTCCAAGCTGGAAGGCTGTTGGAGTGCGCATCCAAGATGTGCTAGAGCTGATTGCCAGTTAGGTGTAGAACGTCAGTACCGTTGGTCAGTGTCATGCAATGATATCGCATGAGCTGATTGTAAAGTAACTGGTGGTGTTAGTGGACATTATAGTGCAACTTGTAGTTCATTTGTCCTCATTTTTCTTATAAATTAATCCTTGGCTCTCCACCCGAGTCAATCTCTATGGTGTGGTATTTCGTATTGTACAGTAGAGTGCCGATTATCCACACCCCTCGGGGCGCGGGCTGTCTCCAGGGGGTTCGGATGAGAAGAATGTTCGGATAAGGGAGCAGTCGCACATCTATGTAAAACATGCATATTCCTGCATGCTTTCATCGTTTTCATTCATGCAGGGAGTGGATAAAAAGTTGACGTCATTATTATAATGCAATGCTCCTCCCACGAGTGATTTACGATGTTTGTCAACGCATCACCCGTGTTTTCTTGAACTAGTTTGTACAGGAAAAAATAGGTATTTGTCCACCACAGGTGCAGGATACGTCTGATAGTACCGTAAAGTACCGTTGATCCCCCCCCCCCCCCCCCCCCCCCTCTCTAATTGCCTTGATGTGTATAGAATATGAGTGCGCAGTTTATCCTTTTTATTGCTATAATCAATACTCTCTATACTACGGAGTTCAATCGAAAATCAAATTTGCGGGTTTTTGCATAAAACACAAGTTTTTCTAAACCGGGAAAATGTGAGAAACAACCTGTGAAAAAAAATTGCAAGGCAATATTATAGTTATAGTCAATTGGAAAATGGGGGTGAAAACAGTCACAGAAGTAAATGCAAGTATGTATGTGGGTGGTGTGGTTTCCGTCCAGCACTGCACTATCACGTCATACATGAACCGCATGGCGATACAGGATGTGTGCATGCATGCCGCGCGCCTACTTGCACAACTCGCACGTTTTCACCGTCACCGCTTCTACAGTGTGCGCGCAGTTCACTTGATTTTTTTCGTCCACCACGGCACCAGGAAATCGCCGTGGGCTGGTTCTGTGATCATTTTCCTTCTACCGCGAGCCAAAATGTTCTAGAATTCTCTTGTTCGAGACTAATTCGAGGCCGCTGAACGCGAAAAACGGGTGTCCCTCATGGGGCCGAGTACGCATCTGGTTGAAATTAGTACTTTGGAGGCACTTTTTGGAAGCAATGCATGTGTGGTACCATTGGAAAGGTGATGACCTCAGCTACCTGAAAATAGCATCGACAAGGCCGAAAAGGCCGTGGGAGAAGATACTTGGGCCTCAAACTCATCCCGAACTGCAGGCACGACGCGCCCATTCACTTCGTACATGCGAGCTGTGACTGCATTTTTCGCTTTTCAGCGACCAGAACTGAACTCCCTATCCATATACTTTGTGTGTATATTCTTGCTATGGCTCTTTAATACTGCTGCTTTGATCTCCTTTACATTATAATAGTGATCGTACTGGTTAGTTTCTGTTCTGCCTGTATCCACCTGATGAGAAGGTGTTGAAAGTGCTTGTGGAGATATTCGGAGCTACTGCTTGTGAGGAGCATGAATGTAGTTCTATTTTTCAGCCAGACTTAGTACAACCATGCACATCGTTTCGACTTGAAATACCGGTAAGACTCGCTCATATCGCTGGCACACATTGTGACCAGGCGCGCGCGGGGGGGGGGGGGGGGGGGGACGACTCTCCTGGTGGGTTCTATCAATACGAGCCAGTGAAGGGCAGTGTCATTGAACAGAAACTCATCGGCAATGAAGGCTGGGAGAGTTGGCCAGCTTTAAAAAAACTCTTCCGGACAGTCAAGGCACCGATCCCGCACCAATCCAGTGAAATCGGAACGGAGGTGAACTGGTGGTCTGCGGTGCAGGATGAATACCGATCATGTGCTGGCAACATTTAACGTACACAATGCATTCATCATACGGCATGGATATGTTTGATCCATTGGCCGGAACCAGGAGCTCTAGAATCAAACGCTTCCGACGCCGGTCTCAGAATACAGCGGCAATGTGTAAACCAAGCCTAACGTGCGAGCTCATAAGATGTTACGGCAAATGCCCAAGATTTTTTCATGTGGAATAAACCAAATTATAAAGCACAAACGTACAAATCCACACTTCAGTATACCAATTGTATTACAAATCAAGCTCTCAACACAGGGTAAATCTAAATTTCAATTATTCTTTTAGAAAATTTACCAACGTCCACCTCACATACCGAACAATATTCTGATGGTCTAAATCTTTCAAGAGAGCAATTTCCCGAATTGCTGTGCTAGGAACACCTTCTGATTCACTGTGAAAGTACAATTGTAGAAAAGAACATCGATAAAACAGATTTGTAATCCAATAGCACAGAATGGACAGGATCGGAAGACACAAAATGTCTTACTTATCCAGACGAATTTTTTTGAGTGCAACTTCTTCCTGGTTGGAGGCAGATGAGTCCTTTGCTTTGTATACCACACCGTAAGTACCCTCGCCAATCTTCTCCAATATCTTATATTGCTCCATTGTGAATTGCAAATATATCTCTGTATTATTGACCTCTCAAGGAGGCCAATGTGAAATAGAAATACAGTCCTTCAAACCATGGCGTGGGTTTTTCAGGGGGTCAGCCAGCTGGAATAATCCTAGAAGCAGGGACAGACCACAAGCACTGGCTTGCCAGGAAGAAGACGCCTGTGATATTGGTTTTTCCTTGGAAGAATCCACCAAAAATGGCCAGAGTGTTGGGGCTGAACGCATGGAGATTTCGTGGTTCGTGTACATGGTGTACGCGTGTGTGATCGAGAACAGCTGCAAAGTGTGCAACTTTCCCGCGTTTCGGACTTATCCGTGTGGCTCATGCTACCATCCCACGTGGCATCACCTCCGAAAAGAGACGAATCGCTGTAGAGAGATGCAACAGCCCATAATACCAGTGACCTCATGTAGATCTACTTGCTTTCAGATGTAGATCCAAGGCCACGACATTCCAGAGACAGGCCATGCACGTGAGCCTGAAAATACCCTTCCCAAGGCTAAGGTCAGGAGTAAGGTACAAGGTAGCAAGGAGTAAAGATAGCGCTACATTTTTTTGTAGTGCAGTAGTGGTGACAGACTATGATTGTACTTTTGTCTTCATCTTTTTCTTGTTCTTTTTGATCTATTCCCACACACTTGTGATTTGTAGTAACGAAGCTAGTTACAAGATGTCTTTGGTGCGTTTGTAGAACCACTACACCCTGCACACAGTATATCTACGCGTAGAGTCTACAAAAGTACGAGTAGATCTACAGACAACTAAAATTAATTACTTACTTGTCACAATAGGTTCACGGCAGAAATAAAGCCGACAGTGTGTAGGGAGTTGTATAATCAGGGGTTTACACAACTCCCTGGTATAGGGCCTGAAAGTAAAGATAATACCAGAAGTTATTAACACTCGCTTCGAGAACGCGAAACAACAACCACAACTTAAAACTTCTTTTGCTTATCTCCAATAAACATGAGCATCTCAAGTTGGGCAGTTGTTTCAAGTTCTCGAAGTGAGTCGTGGCATTCCTGTACCATGGTCCTTCGCCTTCGGCGCCTTCGTCACCATTTTGTCATAGCCGACATTCTAAGTTCGCTGTGATGATCAGCTTGTTTTCTTCTTGAGTGTGCTCGCTTTCCCTTCTTTGATGATCATCATAACCGTAAGGCTACTAGTACAAGTAAGAACTTTCCAAGTTAGAAGGCTGTCGCCTTATTAAAGACACCATGCATTGTACATAGGGTACCCTGTAAAAAGGCCTTAGGCCTGTGGGGATTGCCCTATTCAAAATTTAAATAATAATAATAATGTGGAAGAGAAAAAGACATATGGATACGAGTTAAGAGTAACTCTCCATCACTGTAACATGATACTATATACAGTCAGAAAGTGCAATAACTAGGCACAAAACTGACAGAGTACTGAAACATTCCACGTCCTGACACCTACATGTAGCTTCAACACATCTCCGTAGCGCTAACCGACAGCCTTCCAACTTGGAAGGTTCAAGGTTATGGAAAGACCAAAGAGTTATTGCACTTTCTGACTGTATATAGTATCATGTTACAGTGATGGAGAGTTACTCTTAACTCGTATCCATATGTCTTTTTCTCTTCCACATTTATTTATGGCTCAACATCCGAGTTTCAAATAATAATATTAATAATAATAATAATATTAACTGGTTTGAGGGAAAGAGACAAACGGGAAAAGTCTGAAGAAAAAATTGACTGTCACCACCAGGACTCGAACCAGGGACCCTCGCTTGTAGCCAGCGATGCTCTAACCACTGAGCTATGGTGTAGTCGTCATCCCAGCAGAGGCCGTTCAACATTTTCTTCAGACTTCGTAACTCACACTTCCTGTGAATCCACACAGGCGGGTGGGACGCAGCCCTCACTGTAACCCACACACTTCACGTACAAACTAGCACGCGGGGAGCCCCAAGTCATAAAATATTAACTGGTTTGAGGGAAAGAGACAAACGGGAAAAGTCTGAAGAAAAAATTATAATAATAATAATAATAATTTGAAACTCGGATGTTGAGCCATAAATAAATGTGGAAGAGAAAAAGACATATGGATACGAGTTAAGAGTAACTCTCCATCACTGTAACATGATACTATATACAGTCAGAAAGTGCAATAACTAGGCACAAAACTGACAGAGTACTGAAACATTCGACGTCCTGACACCTAGCTTCAACACATCTCCGTAGCGCTAACCGACAGCCTTCCAACTTGGAAGGTTCAAGGTTATGGAAAAGACCAAAGAGGGGAAGGCGCTTGCCTTCCCCTCTTTGGTCTTTTCCATAACCTTGAACCTTCCAAGTTGGAAGGCTGTCGGTTAGCGCTACGGAGATGTGTTGAAGCTAGGTGTCAGGACGTCGAATGTTTCAGTACTCTGTCAGTTTTGTGCCTAGTTATTGCACTTTCTGACTGTATATAGTATCATGTTACAGTGATGGAGAGTTACTCTTAACTCGTATCCATATGTCTTTTTCTCTTCCACATTTATTTATGGCTCAACATCCGAGTTTCAAATTGCACACCTGATGAGCCGTCACGAACCATACGGCGAAACGTACGTCGTGTGAAACAACTTGTTTTGTAGTCAACTAGTCCATCACAATGTCATGCATGAGGAGTACTGTAGGAGTTTGGCTTTCGGCTTGTACAATTCGTTTTCGCAAAGCTTCCCTTTCTTTACTTATCTTTGATATTTATGACCCACCCAAGTTGGGTGGTGTGCTGCTTTGCTGCTTCGAATTGTAGTTAGACCGCTTTGTCAAATATCGTACTGGTCTCGTCATCGTCCAGTAACAATCGACATTCTTTGTTCCGTTGGGACTGTAGCTTTTGCTCGTTTTTGTTGCGCTTGCCTTCCCCTCTTTGGTCTTTTCCATAACCTTGAACCTTCCAAGTTGGAAGGCTGTCGGTTAGCGCTACGGAGATGTGTTGAAGCTAGGTGTCAGGACGTCGAATGTTTCAGTACTCTGTCAGTTTTGTGCCTAGTTATTGCACTTTCTGACTGTATATAGTATCATGTTACAGTGATGGAGAGTTACTCTTAACTCGTATCCATATGTCTTTTTCTCTTCCACAATAATAATAATAATAAGATAAAAAGATATTTCCTTTGTTACTCCCTTCATTGGTTGATGTACTTTGCCTGTTGCTGCAAATTCTTTATTACTGTTTTGATGTTGGAGTTCGGATTGAGTTTCTTTCCTTTCTTCCTCTTCCTTCCCCAATTTCTTGTCCCTTTGGTGTTTATTTTTTTCACTTTCTTTTTGCGGGCCCACCCATGGAAATATTTCCCGGTGGGTCTGGCTTATCGCCTTCGAAAGAAGTGAATAAAGGAGACATAATAATGGAGCTACATGTAAGCATCAGGTTATTGAATGTCATTACCCAGGCGCGTGCTCGGCGATGGGCACGGGGGGCACGTGCACCCCCAAAAATTTTCAATCTGGGTAATTGTAATGTATGCAAATATGCTCTAAAATTCAAGAAAGGTTGCAAATAAATTACAGAAAATTGCCGGGGGGGGGGCTCCCCTCGGCTCCCCCCTAGTTGGGGGGCCGAGCACGCCCCTGTTACCGCTTACAAATCACTTGAAATCAGTACAATGCAAATTGTTGCATGTTCTGACTCACCAGTTTCTCGCTCAGTGTCGGACAACGGATGACTTGGAAAACGTCTTTTATAATGTTGATAGACGTCTCGGAGAAAGAAGTTTCAAACTTGCTAAATAACACACAAGGATTGATGCATGCTACCAAGAGTACATAAACCATTATGATTGTACTCTTGATGCTACCGGTACCATGTTGAAGAGAGAAAAATGTAAAACCAGATTCAGAAACATTTTTTCTTCGATAATCTTCAGTGAATCGACATAGAACAAAGTAAAGGAGATGCTTACAAATACAATGTGCTACCATGCATGTCTGATTGAAGTAATAGTTCACAAATTTGACTACAACCAAGAGTACATAACCCCCCCCCGGGGTTATGTACTCTTACTACAACAACAACCAGGGTGCACGGGTGATTATAATTATTGTCACCAAGGCGAGAAAATAGTGAGGTTATGGTGTGAAAACTTCAAAGTAACTGTATAGTGTGAGAGATGTGATATTTTCTTTCTGTAGATAAGAAACATATTACAAAAAAGTTTGTAGGCCACACTGAAAAAAGTCTGTGGTTCGACTCACCCGACCGACCGTACATTTTTCAGCCCGACCGTAATTTTTTTTCGGCGGGCTGTCGTGTGACTAGACTGACGTACGTGGACTGAACACGTCCACGTCTACGTGCTGTGCAGCGTGAGTCTGCGGACGCAGGCGGCTCCTTTTCAAGGCTTTTGGGCTTGACTGTCTTGTACTTTAAAAGTTGTAGTTGTACTGCAGTGCAGTGCAGTGAGTGGTACGACTGCTGCCTTACAAGTCACAGTCTGTTTTCCCTTTAGTACCGTTTCTGCTGTACAATGCTCCAATTGATTAAGGGTTGGTTCACATATCGCCGGTACGCACCGGGAGTCACCGGCGGTGGGCTTCTTGCAACCTATCCCGGCACATTGCGATTGTGTGAACCAGTGCAGTCGTAACAAAATCATACGGTAAAATATCGCAAGGGACCGCCGGCAAAGTTGGACAGTGCCCAACTCTTGCGATCTGCCCCGGCGCCGATCCCGTACAATTTTGACCAAAAGTGGTTTGTGAACCGTTCGCGCCGGTGATCGCCGGCTGCCGGGAGCCAGACTTCGTCAAAATATCAAACCAATACTTGTCCTAAATTTTCCTAAATTGAAGCTAGAGAGGAGGTCCGTTCGCCATTCTTGTAGTCGCTTCAAGCTGGCAAATAAGTCAGCATACCAGCCCGTCCTTCTCGGATGATCTGCTTGACCATTGTGCAACTTATGAGACAAATACAATTGAAACAAATAAAAAATATGATGGATACATTGGCAAGTTCTTGTGACTTCACCAACGTTTGCAAGCATAATTTCGACACAATCGCTTACTAGACTGCAATAAAATAATGTGTAGAAGTATTTTCATGATCTCCAGTAAAAGGTAGCACCGAGTGGCCATCACCAAAAGACCTTGAACTACTGAAGAAACAAAGAATTCAAGCTTCAATTGGCAAACCTGTCGTAGCATTTGGGCACATTCTGTACTACTTTGTAGTAGATTTGGTACTCGAACCGTATGCGCAACGGATCGGGAGCTGGCTTACCGCCGATGTCTTGCGGCGCCGATTTTGCTTATGTGAACCAACCCTAATGTAGATTTCACGATTTGCCACCATACTCTTTACTCAACACATCTGTAATACTAATAGCACTGTTCATTGGGTCCGGAGGGCTGAGTCACACATACTTCTAAGTCACATTTCTGCCACACAATGTTTCAAAGTATTAGCCAGTGATCCCTTTATACAACATGTATGGCATAACACTGCGTAATAATGCCGATGCACTGGGTGTCTAAAGGCAGTACAGTGTATTTACATGTACTAAAAAATATATTTAAAAAAATCCGCCCGCCCGCCCGTAAAAAAATGTCCATGTTAGTCGAACCACACACCTTTTTTAGTTTGGCCTTATCGATAGAAATAAAGTGAACACATTCATGACACGACACCAGAGGAACCATAATAAGTGACTATCATCAGGAATATTAATCACACCGAGAGTTGACTACAAACTAAAAAAGACTACTCGCCTTGTGAACTGGTGCGAGATCAGCAAAGGTGACTCAATGTGACCTAAACAAATAACTTCTCCTGGGATGATTTCCCCAAAGCTGCAGTAGTCTTGGTTCTAAGGGTGCGTTCTTAAATTCTCTAGCTTCTAGAAGAAGAAGAAAAGAGAAGTCGAATATTAAAACCATGTAAACTGGGATACTTCAAGAACGGGTCTCGAAGAATTCGGAGATATTTTGCAGATGTCAAGCAAAATGAAGCGCCAAAGGGGCGGGCCGCGATCTTGAGTGCCACGAATGCGAATGCGCTGTGCGTATGCAAAAAGGGAAATGCGTACAATCGTGGCTTTTAGCCTATAGGCCTAGTACCAAGAGTGCATAAACTGTTTATGGACTCTTGCTAGTACTAGTTCGCATGCGCATATACATGCGCTGATCCCAAACCGCGGGAATCTCCAAGTTAGTTTCAACCACCTCTGAAGCTTGGAGAGCTCGGAGAGCCTCCTAAAATTCGGAGAGGATATAAGAACAGCTCTCGAACTTTTCGGAGAGTCTCCAACTTTTCTGAGAGGATTTTAAAAGAACGCACCCTAAGGGTGCGCTTTCTGTACCGGTACTTAATATTATATTCCTCATGCCTAGGCTCATGGTGGAATCGAGGTAGTTTTTCCCTGCAATAACAGAATGAAGAAGGTGTATGTCATGTGTTTCTCGTTTTCTCTAACTCTTTTGCCGACAGATGCGTTAGCCCCATGGGTGATCTCACCCATGGGGTACATGCGAGCTGTTATTATTATTATTATTATTAATTAAGGGTGCGCTGTAGAATCCTGTAAAAAGTTCGAGACTCCCCGGAACTTGACGCATGCACATGGTTTTGTACCGGGTTTTAGGAGGCTCTCCAAGCTTCAGAGGTGGGTGAAACCAGGGAGTAGTACAATACCGGTATTGCACTACTCCCTGGGCGAAACTTACTTGGAGATTCCCGCGGTTTGGGATCACCGCATGCGAACTACAGCCAAAAGCATGTGTTGATCATCTCGCCTGCTGGAGCAGGAGTCGTCTCTTGGCGACTCTCTGACCCAGCTCCGGACGGTCAAGGCGACGGTTCGGGCCGAGAAGCGGAGCGCGTTCAAGTCTATGGCTGACGCCCTTCGCTCGGATCACCGGGAGCTGGCCCCTGTTCTCGACCTGGCCTCAGAAAAGGGTGCATCCAGCTGGCTGACCTGCCGCCCCCTCAGCCGCCATGGTTTCACACTCAGCAAGGGAGATTTCCGGGATGGCCTGTGCCTCCGGTACGGCTGGACACCTCCTCGGCTCCCAAGCCTCTGCGTGTGCAGTAAGCCGCTGAATGTGAGTCACGCCCTGTTGTGCCCGTTTGGTGGCTTCCCGACGCTGCGACATAACGAGGTGAGGGACATCGCCGCCAGAGCTCTAAGGCAGGTCGCTCACAACGTGACAGTGGAACCCCACCTCCGGCCCGTCACCGGAGAGGCCTTCCGCCATCGCACAGCTGTCACGGAGGAGCAAGCTCGGCTGGACGTTGCGGCTAGTGGTGTGTGGGGTGGCCGATTCGAGCGCATCTTTATTGATGTACGGGTGTTCAACCCTTTTGCGTCTTCGAATCGTGCCACCTCCCTCGCTGCTAGCTACAGACGCCATGAACAGGAAAAGCGCCGGAAGTACGAAGAGCGAGTACGTGAAGTTGAGCATGCCTCCTTCGTGCCCGTTGTGCTTTCTGCCTCTGGTGGCTATGGCAAGCATGCCAATGCTCTTTTCACGCGGATCGCCTCTCTCCTGGCTGAGAAGAGTAAGGAGCCATGCGGGCAGATTATCTCCTTGCTGCGCTGCCGCCTTGGTTTTGCCTTGGTGCGCTGTGGTGCTATGTGCCTGTGTGGCTCAAGGAGCATGTTTGCTCCTGCATGCCGTGCCTGAGTCCCCTGCTGTGCTAGTGGCGGCGGAGGCACGCATCCAGTGAACCTGCACAGTGCAGTGATCCTACTGAGTGACAGACTCTGTAAACACTGTATCTGATGATTCGTTTTATGTGTTGATTCTTCACAAAATGTGTTATTTTGCCCGTACAAGCAATGCAAGAGGCTCAAGGCTTGTCCCAAAAAAAAATCATGACGACATGAGTGTACGCATTTCCCTAGTTGCACACGCACAGTGCGTACTACATTCGTGGCACTCAAGATCACGGCCCCTTTGGCGCTTCAAATTTTAATTGCTTCACATGTGCAAAATATCTCCGAATTCTTGGAGACCCGTTCTTGCATTATACTGTGACCACTTTCTTCGACTTCTCTTTTCTTCTTCTCCAAGAAGCTAGAGAATATAATTATGAATGCACCCTTAGCATAGTAAAAAGGTAGTTCAGTAATTGACCCTGTTCAACTGCCTTCATGTAACACCCGCCTATTTTTTTTCCATCGTACAGACCAGGGAGTCGTAAAATACCTATTACAGTATACGACTCTCTGGTACAGACTTGCAACCCACTACACGTTGAAAATTCTCATGATGCATGTAAACACATCCCAAGACTGTTCACTGCCATCCAGTTTGTGATAACAATGGATACAGTGAGATCAGGCGCCGAAGAACGCAGGGGCTAGTTCTGAAATTTTAGTGGTTTTGTTCCAAACAATCTTACTCTAGCGGGTAGCCCTTTCCCAAAGGTGCTCGCCCTTGTCGGCCCTTTTTGGAAAAGCCCGTTTCTTTCGCCCTTTATTGCGTTTTTTGGTGAAAAAGTGCTAAAATCTGTTTGCTCATAATTATGATCATGCATGCGATCACAGTTTCCGAGTGCTCGATGGGCCTTGGCACGCCGCTTTTTTGGGGGCATTTTTTCTTTGTCGGTGAAGCGTCGGGGAGATGTCCTATCTAGGACATCGCACTCTGAATGAGTCTGATTGGTTACCTGTCCCAGAGTTGTCATGGAAGCGTCGGTCGTCCAGCACACACGCGTGTCGAAATGTGTTTTTGGCAGGTAGTCGGCAAAAAATTAAGTGAGGGTCCCTTTAGTCCTTCGCCTTACTTTCACACCAAGGTTCAACTCAAGTGACAGGACTGCACCCAAAAAAGGTCAAACAGGCTAGTAAGTTGTACCCTACAGGCACGGTGACCAGGTGGCTGATGTACACAGGAGCACGTGACCGCTTGTTCAACCATGTTCGATTGGGAATAAAGGAGGAACGCTGCATCGCAGCCTTTTCGGACCAAAACCAGTCGACTCAGTGCAGCGTCCAAAAGACTACAACATATGGGCCAATCGCGGTCATCCGTGCTTTTATAAGAACGAAATGGCGCTTTTAGTGGCATTTTCCATACAAATCCCCATCTAACGTTAGTAGGGTGCAGTCACCCAGTTTCGGTGGAGGTGCGCGAGTTCGATTTGGATTCAAGTGGTGAGCGTCTCAGCTTTCTCGGACCAAGACCATTCGACTGAGCACCCCGAAGACAACTGGTGATATTTTGATTTTAGCCTTTAACTTCCCCTTTATTATAATTATAGGCTTAACATTCTTGCAGAGGTTAGACAAAGGGACAGACAAGTGTGCAACTCCCATGTAGTACCACGCCATCCACACAGAAACCCAAGTGAATGGCATTCTTATGATGATATACTTCTTGTACGAGTGATTCATGTTGATTGAAAGGGGTGTCAACGCATTACCTTTCTTTGAATTACAGGATGAAATGGGGATGTCAACCACGGTTACAACTCTGCTGGCAATCAGCCGAGTTTCACTTTAGATGGCTATTTTCTCTTGCTACTAATACCCAATCGGCCTGCCCATGAGAATGTGTGGTGAACAGCAGGCGAAGAGCATAATTATGGGCAACACGCATGCACTAACCACTGAACACAGGAAACAGCACCAGAGACGAAATTTAGGTTGTAAAACAGTGTTTATTGTTGGAGGGTCTTTCTCTTGGCTTTCTCAAGCTTAGCCATGGCAGCATTGGTCTTGGCTCCCATGACACCACCACCCCAGTGCTTGCGGATCTATAAAGAAAACACAATACCAATACAGAACGAACAATGAATATACAAAGTGGCAAACACTAAAACCTACACAGTTTGTTTCTACAGACGACAACTAGGACCGGGGTGGTAAAAGGCTGATGAACACAGCCCACAAATGCTTAGTTCGTTAAGAGGCCATACAATTTCCATTCATTCGCCGGAAGTCAAAAGTGGAGCAGGGGGTTGATAGTGCAGGGTACATGTAAGCGTAACGGAATTTCCCCCGTGCCGGCCCAAGATTTGTGATGCCATCCACACAAGAGTATTATCTGAGCTGGAGTACAATCGTGAACATAAGGGTGCAGATGGAGAATTTGTATATGTGCCGGGTACGTATGTGCCAAGCCATGCACATGTAATAATGGTTACCTCGTCGAAGCGGTCAAGGTAGTTGGTCTTGGAGGCCTCGACAATGTTGTTGAGAGCCGATCGGTCCTCGCTGAAAGGGCAAAAATACAAGCAACCAAACACATAAGCCAAATGGCAAAGCAGTAGTACATGCACATATGACAGCATGCCCTCAAACAGCACAACTTACGTCTTGACACCGGTGAAGGCAACAGCGGTAGCGGTCTTCTTGTGAACAAGCTTGCCGAGTCTATACAGAGAAAAGTGGGATGACAACACACCAATCATATCACGGATGTTTGTGAAACAATACCAAACAGTTGAAATTGGAAAATTAATAGCAACACTGAGTTCCTTGGAGTATTGCTATACACTTACTACAGTTCGTCCAGGACATGATAATGAATGGTCGACATGCTAGAAGATGTTGAAAGGGATTTCCCAGAACAAAGTGTAGGAGTAGGATGTTTCAACCAGCGTTGCCATCAGGAGGAAGTAAGCACAAGGTTGATGCGTAAATAAAGTCAGGTGAGTGAAAGCAGCATGTGCTCAAGAAACTGCCAGAAGTGCAAGGGAAGAAAGAAAAATATGCATGACTGCTGCATGTACTGAGCATAAAACTCACGATTGCTCTGAGCAATTAAATGACTGGCTATACTTCGCTTGCAGTCTTCGTCTAATCGATTTTAATAAAGAAATCAGTACATACCTGGCCTTGCCCTTGATGATGACGTATGGGATGCCCATCTTGCGGCAGAGAGCGGGCAGCCAAACGACGATCTGCAAATCACAAAAAGAAATGGCAACACGCCACGAGTCAGCAGATACAGTGAACTCCCAATCTCCACCAAGAACGACTGTGGAATGGAGCACAAAAAAATGTAGTATAGATACTGGCATAAAGGATTAAAGCAGAGTTGCCATTGACAGATACCAGCAAGAGTACATAACCCCCCAGAGTGTGCAACGCCTGATCCAGCTCTGCATAGGGTCTTGGTCGAGCGGAATCGGATCTTTGCGTCATAATACCGTACACATCTGAGGGGAACCCGGGGAGTCGCGGGTACTCTTGGATCAAAAACAATGGTGCCCTGCCTCGAGACCGGCCTTGCGCTGGTGTGAAGTGTACGCATGACATCAGAAGATCCGATTCCGCTCGACCAAGACCCTACACAGAGCTGGATCGGCGTTGCACACTCTGGGGGGTTATGTACTCTTGATACCAGCATACACTTAGAAACAACCAATTTACAAATCATGATCAAAGTATTCAAATCTCGGTTTATTGTTTTATAAATTCAGCCACAAAGACACTAGAACAGTATTGTGAGCAATACTCAGGACCAGGCACACACTGCGATCCTGTATAGGATATGCCGAGGACTGGTCAGACAGACTGCAAGGTTAATCTCCGCATACATTGCACACTGACTGAATACTGATGACAAGCACCAAACAGGCAGCCGGCTTATTAGTATGCGTTCCCAGTGTATTCGCCTGAAGACAGAATGATCAACAGTGTTTGCTCACCTCAATGGGGTCAACATCGTGGGCAATGACTACGAGCTGAGCCTTCTTCTGCTCAATCAAGTGTGTGATATGGTTGATGCCATACTTCAACACGACTGGCTTCTTGCCAGGAGCAGCATCCTTGCCCTCGGTCTTCTTCTTCGCCTCCTCCTGAAGACGAACCTTCTTCTGCAGCTTGGTCTCAGGGCTGTATTTTGTTGCAAGCTTGAAAATTTGCTTAGCTGAAATTAACGCAGAATGCACGAATAAACAATTTTTTTACAAATGTTCAAAAACACAATTTAGCAAATCACACAAATACTGAAATAGCACAAACAAGAAGACAGACTTACCAAGGTTGCGGTCCACGGTGTTAGTGAACTGGGCCACTGCAGGAGGGACCTTCAGACGCTGGCAAAGCGTCTTCTTCTGCCGCTGCATGCGGATGTACTTGGGCCATTTTACAAAGCGCGACAAGTCTCTCTTGGGCTGAACATCGCCACCTAATTTCCGAAACAAATAACAGCGTACAGCGACCCTCAATACTCCATAAAAGTCGAACGGGAAAGACAAGCAGCTTCTGATCCCATACCAATGCTAAAGTTCTTGGGGCGCTTCTCAATGAGAGGATTTACGGTTTTCTTGGCACCACCCTTGGCCTTGAAGGGGGCCTCGGCCACCTTCTTGCCGCGGACCTTACGGACTTTCGGCTACGAGCACAGCAGAAACAGTAACACGAATTCCATCGTGAATCATTCCACATCGCTTCCAGAGAGTTCCAACAGCTACTGCAACAGAGATTTGTATAAAACTTCTCTAAACACTCAGCACCTACCATGGCTGCTGTAGAAGGAAAGAAAGAGAAAGACGAACAATGCGCATGCGCACTTTACTCTATCGCGAAGCAAGGCAAACGGAACCCACGCTGCATACATCACTGTACATCGGTCACATGTCGTTCATTTTGGTTACCATAGTTCCCAAACTCACTAAGCGTACAAAATAATTATCGTGGACCGGCCAGCCATGAACCTGAGCTGATGTCTACATATACATGTAGTCTGAAATGATCACTTGACAAAACCCCAGTTTGACAAAATCAAAGGCTTGGCCATTGGGCCAAGCTGGAGGCGATAACTCGAAAACTTTTACTAGTACGAGTAGTTTATTGTTTTGATTAACTGCCCTGCTGGTAGCCGTCCGCCTCTCAGATCTATGTACCGAGAAAGCGAAGTAAGTTACTAGTATATCGTTGAATTCTTTATTCTCACGATGGCACTATCCCCAATATTAAAGAGAGATCGTTATCACTGTGATTTTACTGGGTCTGCACCCACGTAGTCGTCTGCAGTCGGCTCTTGGGATACGTGGAAAGTTTCGGCATGCTTCCTAGTATTCTCTTCGACAGGTCATCAGCGGCCATGCAAGTAATGCTGCTACTGGAATAAGGATTCAGCCTCGGCTCTTGGTCTTGCCTGTTGCATCCGTGACATGCACGCACACCACACACACACACACACACACACACACACATACACACACACACACACACACACACACACACACACACACACACACACACACACAACTTCAAGGAGGGCAAAGTTACTTCTTGCATTTGTGTTCGACCCGGTATTTGGTGACGTTTGAACCTCAGAACAGGTCGGGGATGGAACTGTACTGCGGATTAAGCCGGAGCTGCATGTTCTGTTGTAGCAGTTGTGCCGGCGGTGCCCCGCTTTGCTCCAGAAACAGCGGTCATAGCCTAGGTGTGGCGGCGGAGCTGAGGTTGCAATAAGGGCGGCGAGATGCATCTGTCTAGGAAACCGGATTGTCAGCAAAGCTGGGATAACAGTGGTGTAGGGCAAGTCCACCTTGTCTGGAAAACCAACGATGGCAAGCTTCACAGAATACTAGTACAGCATCGGCTTGTTGACAGACGGGCTTCAAATGCTCTTCCTTGCATTTGTACATGTACAGGCGGACACACACACACACACACCTTTGGATGCCCATTGCTCCGGGCATTGATATAAGAAGTTGCAGTATTTCCTGTAGCGAGTCAGATCATTGGGCCGATGGAGGTCCCTGCCACAGCCGCAAATGAACATTCTAGGCGTTGGGACAGCCTGCCGGGGACGATCACTCATGAGGCACCTGTCTCGTCTGTCCTGCACCAGTCGCCCGTCACGCACCGGCAGCGGCGATGTCCCTCCAACGCTTCTTGGGACCATGGCTGGGCCTTGTGTTGAGTCCCTCAGCGAACAGAACGCGATTGGGGAGACGGAACTCCTGTTCTCTCCTGTTGATTGTTGAGCCACTGCCACAAGAGTCACATGGGCAACGAAAGGAGCAGTAGAGGGAAACAAGGAGCACGTCGCCGGATGGCGTCTTTAATAGATGTGGAACTATACAGAACCGGCGCGAACAGATACGGATGTGCGAAAAGCCACCTCTGTCTCTCACTGTTGGATGGCGACAGTTCCTAGAACCTGTCCCGAGGAATTTGCGGAGTAATTCTTGAAAATTTGCGCAAGAAATTGTGGCAGAAAACAACACTAAATGCGGCAAGAAGTGCGGGAAATCGTGGATTTGGGCCAAAATCACAAAATTTTGTTGCATCCGTGGAATCGCTATTCGCACAGTGCTACTCACCAGTAGCACTGTGCAAACAGCCTACAGGATCATAGAAAGCACTGCATGAAAAGTGCAGAAAAGCAAAAAACGCGGGGGGGGGGGGGAAATCGCCGATTGGGGCCAAAATTGCGTTATTTGTTGAATCCATGGAAGTGCAATTTCACAGCCTACATATAGAATGACAGTGCCGATTGAGGCCTTGAATGGATCAGAAACAGCGGTTGTAACCGACACAGTGTGTACAATGGTTATGGACTCTTGGTGTAGTGTATGCATGTGCTGTAGTCGTCTCACGAGCAGAACAGCAACAGTACAGTGGAGATTGGATAATTATAAAGACACTCCTTCGGGAGAAAACAAAAATGTCGCTATATTCGATCTGTCACTAAACCCGATCTTCGCATCTAGTATGCAATATGTATACCAAAAGGACCGAAATGTATGGCAGATATGCAATATACATGTAATGCATGTAGATTTCAGATGTGTATGTACATGTACATGTGTCTTGCATGCTAGGAAGATTCAAGCCAAAAGTCATGCATAGCAACTACATCGCTGCACTGCGGCTACAAATAATAACAAGAGTACATAACCCCCCAGAGTGTGCAACTCCCACATACCCTGCTGTCCCGACAGAATTTCAAGTTGACGTCATTATTTATGACTCATTGCTCCTTGCAACAGTGATTTACAACATGTGTACGGGTGTCAACGCATCACACGTTTTTCTTTGCAATAATTTGTACAGGATCGATCGGCTTCGGTCAACCACAGGTTCTGGATTCGTCTGATAATCCGTGTACAGTGCGCATTGCATCATCAAAATGACGTCAACTTGAAATTCTGTCGGGACAGCACCCATAGTGGAGTTGCACACTCTGGGGGGTTATGTATTCTTGATAATAATTATAGGGCTTGAAAGTGATGACGTCAAAACGGCCAGGGAGTAGTAAGTTGACATCAGATTTCTATTTTTGGATCCACTAAGGTGTGACTGCTATTGCCTAAGTATGTGGGTGCATAGCAACCCACTCATGTCGCATGCAGGTGTGACTTTTATTTCGCCACCAGTTGTAACCCCGCCCCCAGTAGCCAAATCAGTCAGTTTCACTGGCTACATCACCATGCTGTGGGTAAGACCGCATGAAATGTGCTTGGATCCATACAAAAACTGGATCCAAGTGGATCCACTTTTGCAGTTTCACTGGCTACATCACCATGCTGTGGGTAAGACCGCATGAAATGTGCTTGGATCCATACAAAAACTGGATCCAAATGGATCCACTTTTTGAATTTTTGAAATTGTTGCTATGCTGTGACGCAGCACTTTCAAGCCCTATTACAATGACCATGACTGGTCGACCAGCACACGTGGATCCGGAGTGACCCAGACTGAGACATGTCCCATACGAGTACATGTCACTCCGCCTGATACAAGAGGAAAGTCTTTATATTCGATGCATTTTCAGGTCTCCGAGCACCAAAAAAGTGTCAGTAAATTCAATGTCGTTATACCCGATCTATAATGTACAGAATGGACTTGCTAAACGGCTTGGGCACTCGGGCAGAATTGTGCCGCTAAACTCGATTTGTCGTTATATCCAATCTCCACTGTACACTTCAATGAGTACACAATAATAGAAAAGCTGACAGGATCGCTTTTCTAAATCATGAAGTGTACGCAGTACATGAAATCACGAGTATGACGAGCTAGCTGTACTGGCTGGGACATACACATTTTCTTTTTGGAAATCCTTTTTTTTCAAATATAGGTGGCGACATCGTAATTATAGGCTAATTTATATTTTATGCCCTGCCGGTATTGCCTGTAAGGAAATTGAGTTACAATGTCCATGTACTAACATATGGCAACGGTTCGAACGGGGCGAATAGCCAAACACAAGTGAACCTTTTGTTTTGCTGCAATGGGCGTTGCGATGCGTTTCCTGCAGGGAACCCTACACATAAACAGCTACCATGATATCCCGTAACTGTTTTATTCTATTTCACGGGGTTGGATTTCATTTACCACCATTGTACTATCGAGTATCGTCATGTAGTTTGTTTTCTTATTGTGATAAACTTGAAACATGGAACGAGCTATACATTTTGGTACCAATGGTTGCAGTTCTCTGGTGGACACACAAGGACAGCCAAGCCAGTTATTTTGGAGTCTGTGTTCTTATAATATTATGATTCACAGCACATCAGCAGAGCTGGCTGGCCAGCACAGTAATAGACAAGTTAAGGTGATAATTTGAATGTTCTGTGAGAATATGAGGTTCACCGTCATGAGATGAATAATTTACAGATTGACATGACATGATTTTATGTACGGCTGATCCTGCCAAAATCATTCAAGGGCTTGTTTCGTGTGCTGTGTATGCAAGTCACGAGCCTACAGATCGCCTTGCTTGCGATCTTGGCATTATTAGCATTCTGATTTCTAGAAATATTATTTAAAAGGTGTGCTAGAACTCAGGTCATCTCAAGATAGTCTGCCAAGATATAAAGTGTCCGGGTACTGAGCTTGTAGTTGTGGCCACTGAACCAGAATTTCCGCAAACGGTAAAGGCCTGAGGATCCGTGCTGATAACGAGAGCGTGTCCACACGGCAGATGCTCTCTATGTAGATGATGCGACATTGCTGCCACCCCAGAACCTACAACAACATGGCAGAAGAAAAGGAGCCAGGCTTCGGAGTTCAAACACATGGCTAGCAGTGTCTACGAGAAAGGGCAATGTTCTACGTGTACAGAACAAGGACACAAGTGACAGCATTTGCCATGAGCGCGCCTTGACCTGTTTGTATACTGTGCACTGTGTACTGCCGACCGGAGGTACTAAAGTACAGCCTTTAGAGACACGGAGCACAGAAGCTACTGGAAGTTGTGACGAGGACTTTTGTACCATTACTCTTCAAAGTCGCTACTGTGGTGATATGACCAGCAGCAAACAAGTCCTTGTATCTAGCATTTTGGCGATCAGACCAGTGACAAAAATAGCACCTAAGAGTGTGTGTGTGTGTGTGCAAAAGAAGCATGGGTGAAAGTTGTCACTGCTTTGACATTGTAGCACTGCAGTCCCCACTGTTGTTTGATATCATGCTCTGCATTGATTGTTTCACTATGTAGTTGGCACTGGGGCTCAAACGGTTAGTCCGATTAACCGATTGCAGACCGGTTACGAAGAATTAACGGTTAACCGATAAAGATAACGGTTACGCAGTAACTTTTCAGTCAATTTTTCAAGTATCAGGTCGTTGCAAAGTATGCACTTTCGCAGGCTGTCGCACGTGTACGCAATTTCTGGGCTGTCAACTCGGTCATATCTGGTCTCTTAGTGTGAGAGTATGTATGAATGAGCATGCAAGAGAATGTACATGTGTGCGTTGTACTGAATAGGGTACATTTTTTGAATGAGTATAGTCAAATATACGGTCAAAAAAGAGTCCGCAGGATTGCCGTGGCTCGTAGGTTATAACCGTTAAACCGACCGTTAGCTTAGCAGTTAACCGTTAGGGGTAAAACCGTGACCGTTTGAGCCCTAGTTGGCACCACTCGCGCTCTCTTAGGTGCTATATTTGTCACTGCTCTGATCGCCAAAATGCTAGATATAAGGACTTGTTTGCTGCTGTTCATATCACCATCGTAACGACTTTGAAGAGTAACGGTACAAAAGGCCTCGTCAAAACTTCCAGTGGCTTCTGTGCTTCATGTGTTAGTTTGTTTTCCTCCAACAAAATATCTAGTATAGTACAGTTAAAAACACATGGCCCGGAAAGCCATGATAGCCACAACCACTGTACGCTGTTGCACTGGCACATTGCTCTTGTCTACATACATTTCCAAGGATTTGCAATATAGCTCACACTGAGTTCTATTTCATTCTCAAGATATAATAGCTGTCTTGCTGTCTTTGGAAAGTTCATTGCGGAAGCAAACAACATTGAAACTGCGGATGTAATGTATGTTTAATGTTCCCATTTATTCGATCTAAGAAATCTCGTTAGTAAAATTTCAATTTGACAGTTGGAAATATCACTAGACCTGCCGTTGGTATATGGGAAATAGTACATTATTCCTTTTTTTTCTTCGATTGGCATTTGAGGGTTCGTGGAAATTGAAGTTTGTTACATCACAAACCCTCAAATGTTCCGCTTCAGAGAAGTATCGATTGGTACATGTACTTAGGGACGGCCCATTACATTAACACCGCACTCACGTTAAATATGTACGCTGCTATGCACAGAGGGACGCATGTTCCAGGGCCATTACACAACAGCTGCAAAAGGACAAGAGGAAATAGAACAGACTGCTACAATAAATTTCTGACTTGAGGAGGCCTTGGTATCAATAAGGACCTGGCTGCCGAAGGCACCCGTTGAAAACCGGAAGGGATCTTGCGTCTATTGGTACCATTGCAGCCCACAAGCAGATGGGGAAATAGTAGTATTTTGGCTCTCCGTTGTCCCAAAGAAGGTGGATGCTTTACAAAAAGCGATATGGGACATATGACGCCTTTATAATTATAATGGTATCCCGACAGGAAAAAAACATCTGGCAAGAAGTTTGTTGTAATAATAAATAAGAAGTTTGTTGTAGAGAGACAAAAAAGAAAATGGTTATTTAACTTGGATACTGAGCCAGTAAGAAATGTAAAATGGAAGAAAAACACATGGGAACGAGTTATGAAGCTGCTAGTATCCATGACTGTAACAAGATAATAAGCAGTCAGAAAGTGCGATAACAGGGCACAAAACTGACAGGCTACTGAGACAACTTTTTGCACACCTGATGAGCCGTCACGAACAATACGGCGAAACGTATGCCGTGTGAAACTACTTGCTATTGTAGTCAACTCGTCCATAATAGTGTCATGCATGAGGGGTACCGTTAGATCTTGGCGTCCGGTTTTGTACAATTCGTTTTCGCAAAGCTTCCCATTCCTTCATCTCTGATAATGCTGACCCATCCAAGTAGGGTGGTGCGTTGCTTTGCTGCTTCAATAGTAGTTAGACCACATTGTCATGTTATTAACTGGTCTCGTCATCGTCCTGTAACATTTGGCATTCTTAGTTGCCGTGGGTCTTAGCTTGTGCACATTTTGGCTGCGCTCACCTTCCCCTCTTCGGTCCTACCTAACTGTGAACCTTCCAAGTTGGAAGGCTGTTGGTTTGCGAACTGGAGATGTGTTAGAGCTAGGTCTCAGGTCGTTGAATGTCTCAGTAGCCTGTCAGTTGTGTGCCCTGTTATCGCACTTTCTGACTGCTTATTATCTTGTTACAGTCATGGATAGCTGCTTCATAACTCGCTCTCATGTGTTTTCTTCTATTTTACAAAATGGTTATTCCCCATCTACTCCCATAGAACGTTTATCTCTGTGATGTGGCATCACAGATCTGGCCCATCCTGGCCTGGGCAAGTCAATGATACCATCATGATGTTAGTGAAGATTTCAATCTGCTGTAACTACAGAGCTGCTGCTCCAATCAACCTCAAACCTTCACCATTGGAATAAGTGAATTTTTCGTTTCGAGTTGGCGAACTGCCCCCTTTTTTTTTTAAACAACATGCAACTGGCAAATACATTTTTCCAGCTCCCATGCCCACTTCACAAACAACCGGGGCGTCCTAATCCTTGAGGAGTACAACTTATTCAAACCAGGAATATGCATACTGTAAGGCCACTAAGGCCATGGTAAAAAATAAAGTTGATTCTCAGGTCATGAACCCGTGAAAATCGGTGCGAGCGAGCGATTTTTTATTTTAGTTCCCACAGTGTTTTTATTTCCAAAGATAGGGATCACACATATGTGCATGGTCACATGACACATGTTCAGGTCAGGGAGTAGAAAAATACCGGTATTTTACTACTCCCTGTTTCATGCCTTTCGCATTCACCGTTTTCATGCTCGCATATGCATGCATAGAAATAAAAAAATTCGTCGGTGCGCCGCCAAAAATCGGTGCGTGCGTACTTGAGAATCAAAGATAATTTTTACCATGGCCTATTAAATATTAACGAAAATTTAACCAACAAAAATCGGGAGATCGTTATCTTTAATCGACGTTAAAATATCTGGTCTTACAGTACTTTTTATTCAGTATGTTGCGTAATGCATTTGGGTGGCTTTTTTCCGGAGCATTTTAGTGCACTAGCTTGACTGATTCAAATCTGCATGTGTCCTGTGGGTCATGTTGACCTTGAGTCAAGATTCCTTGGCAAAGCATATTATGATCCTACCTGCGTTGGCTTCAACCAAAAGACCATAGCCACGGCATAGGCGAGAGCGAACATGGTTGTCACCACTGACGTCAGCCAGCTCTGGCGAACCTCTCTGGCCCGAGGTATCTTCACAAACTGCACATTGGAGCGGCACAACAAAAATAGAGTCAACACACATGTCCAACACCTGGCCTGTTTCCTTGGAACACCGAGGACTTTCATATTAATTTTAGGATGCAGGGCCGGCGCCACTGGTACGGCCGGTACGGCCATGGCCGTACCAAAAAAAAAAATTCCCAAAAAGTCGGTCCACGTCGCCGTGGACGTGGAACCTCCAAAACCGGGGAGAAAAAGTTTTGATGTATGATTTTGTACAGGGAGTCGCCCAGAGTGCAGGATTTGCCGTCTAAATTCCAAAATTTTTTGGGGGAGGACCCCCAGACCCACCATAAGGATGGCCCTTCGGCCGCACCGCTCCGCGGAAGCTGCCTCCGGCCCTGGGATGCCAGGCCATTCACCGCTTACCTCAGTGCTTTCAACCTCTAGTACATACCGAGCATGTACATGTAGATGTGTGTGTGTGTGTGTGTGTGTGTGCGTGCGTGTGTGTGTGTGTGTGTGTGTGTGTGTGCGTGTGTGTGTGTGCTGATGTGTGAACCGCTGCGTTCGTGTCATTCTTGGCATCTCGCGTTCCAAACAGTGGGAGGACCACCTGTCCCATGATCTGCCTCGCTGCATAGATTAAGAATGTGCGCTACAGTGCCAGTTGCTGACATGATTGCCCGTCGGTGTCTGCAGTGGCTTGGCCACATTGCCAGGATGGACGGCCACCGACTTCCAAAGGCAACGTTGTTCTCGTGGCTCCATGCTCCACGCCCTGCTCATGGCCCCAGGTGTCGATGGCGTGATGTGGTACGCGATGACCTCAATGCGTTTGGTCTATACACCGGTTGGTACGACCTCGCAGCTGAACGTGGCGAGTGGATCCAGGCCATCTCGGATGCCATTGTTGCACGGCGCTTACGCCTTGAAACGACAGCTAAGTCAGTATGTTGTGCGGTCTGTGCGCGACTCTTCGCCAGTGAAAGCGGACTTCGCCGGCACAAATGCAGGGAAGCGGAGCGACTGAAGCCGATCTATGAGCAGCCCGGTGCTGTGCTGCTGAAACGTGCCATCGTTGGTTTGCTAGCCGAGGTGGACTTGCCAGTGCACAGCTGCTCTCCCAGCCTTGGTGACGCTCCAGTTTCAGAGATAGTTGCATCTCGCCCACCTGATTGCAGCCAATGTCAGTACCACTGCCACACCTGTGACCGCTGTTTGGAGCAAAGCGGGGCACTGCTGGCACAACTGCAACCGCAGAACATGCAGCTCTGGCTCCGAGCGCCGCACCATCCCATGCCCGACCTGTTCTCAGAAGTTCACACGTCCCCAGAACCTGGCTCAACACAAATGCAAGAAGTAACTCTGCCTGCCTCTTTGAGGCACTGGCAGTTTCAAGGTTCAAGGTTCAAGGTGTGTGTGTGTGTGTGTGTGTGTGTGTGTGTGTGTGTGTGTGTGTGTGTGTGTGTCCATCCAAATAGTTACTACAAGTAGACAATTATATTTATACCACTGCAAAAACTGTGTGTCTAAGATACTGAAATGAACTGCATGACGTACATGACTGTAGTAGCATTACAAGCACTAGGAAGCTGTACAGTGAGTGTGACAGTTTGCTTTGCTAGTTCACGAGGCCGGATTACATTTTGCTACCACACTGAGTCCCACAGTAAGAAGCTATATGGCTACCTGGTCATCAGGATGTAGGACAAGTAACTAATAGTTTGATATCTTGAATTCCCAAGCCCCCATGATCATACAGATGTACATTATACATGTACTTCCACTCTTGCTGGTAAGAGTGGACGGAAACCTTCGGGAGGGGGATTTGATGGCGTCATCGTGTGAATAGTCATTGATGAAAAACATGAATAAATAATAACAATGGTCCTGATGACTTGGTGAGAGCGGCACAGGGAAGGTCAAAGTGCAGACTCAGTCAGGGGAGTTTCTACACGTTGGAATATCCAAATTGGAATGGATTGGTCTTCCAGACCCACCTACAACTACAAGCCAATGTTTTTATGCATGACTGTACTAGTAAAATTATGTAGTGTGGGTAGATCTATGTGATCTATGTCATTGTACATAAGTCAGTCATAAGACAGTATGGGTCGGTCTGTACCTGTACCTACCAGTCCTGCTGTACTCTACACTGTACTACACTACAGATCAGTGGTAGATCTACTCAGGACTACTACTACAGTACTAGTCAGTAGATCATGGACATGGTAGATCTACAGACCAGCACTCAGCAGTACTGTACTACTACTGAGTACTGTACTAGGCAGTACAGTCCGTCATGCATGTAGACACTCCAATAATGCCATCGACTCAAGAAATGTGTAGACCTACAACTGATAATATGAGCAGATCTACCAGTACTGGCAGTAGTACTAGTAGTACTACTAGTACTAGTACTAGTAGTAGTAGTAGTAGACCTACTACTGTACTACTAGTACTAGTAGTAGTAGTAGATCAAGGAGTATGATGCCGAATGCCAGGCCCATACTTGGCCATAGTGCACTGGGCCATAGCCTCAGGCATATTATTATTATGCATAGCCATGCATACTCCATCGCATAGGACCATGCCATACCGCATGCCAGCTATGCGCGAAGGCATGAAGACTTGCAGTCTCGTGCGACTAACAGTGACACTCACACTAGTTGCGCACTGCACAGAGTCATCCGAGCATCGACAAAAATGCTGCAGCCACAGACTTTCTAGACTCAGTTCCTCAGTTATTTGGCTCTCTGCTCAAAATAGTGCGACTGCCAACCTACAGCTACAACTACGCAATGGATGAAGAAGACCCCGCACAGGGTCCCGGAGTCGCCGAGGCAAAAAAATTGGGGAAAGTAAAATTCGGTACAGCTACGAAAGACGCAGTGATAGCGATAGGTACAGAAGCAGCAAAACCTTCTTTTCCTCTCCATCCAGGTAGCCCTGCGGCTGCAGAGTCGTTGAAAATGCAGCGAACTGGTGCGGAAACTACTGCCACAGCCTCAACAGAGAAGTCGAAAGCCGCGCTAGTCGACAGTCAGCAGTCAAACCGAAACGAAAGGCAGAATAACGCCAAGTCGATCCCTCAACCAGTTTCCATCAATGCTAACACCATCCTCACTGCCGCAACGTCGGCATCGGCGGCTGGTTCCAGCATCGTCATTCCCGTCGAAGGAGCACTAGGGGCGGACATGGTGAAAAACTTACTGCGAGCTCAAAGCAGCAACAGCAGTGGCAGCAGCACCGCTCTGGCGCAGCTAAGCAGTGCTCTCAACATCAGTTCACAACAGTCAGTCTCGGGCGGACCAGCACTGGCGGCAGCAGCATCGGTAGCGCAGAGCCATTCAGGACGTTTGAATATTCATCAACAAAAGTCGCCTGGCGACACCCTTGAACATTCATCAGTCCTGAGCACGGGCACCGCTAGCGCTGCTTCACATCATGCTCACGCAGCAACAACGCCAGCGACAGAAGCAACGACGATCGCAAGTACTGCCGAAGCAGCTACAAATCCAGCAACGGCATTTGCTACGCTTGTGGAGTCCGTTACTGCAGCGGCTGGTGGTGGTGGGAGCGCCGCTAGTAATGTGCAAAGAGAAGTTCCTCCTGTCAACCTTGTGTTCCTAGTTTCGTCCACAGCGGACACGGCCTCGTTGGCCAACATTCTAACGTTAGATGGCACAAGCGGAATATCATTTGCAGGCTTTGAGCAGCCTGTTCCAATTACGATCGCCCCAAACGCAGAAAATGAACCATTTCCGAAAGCAGCAAAAACTAACACACCACCACCAACATCAGCTCAATCAGTCGTGGCAGGGAAAACCTCCATGACTGTATCAACGCCTGAGCCCGAGCCTCAGCAACATATACTACCTGAAGCCATAAAGGACCTGGAAGCCTTTGTTGAACAGTTCAAGGAGCGCCGGGCACAACTTGGCTACACTCAGACGAGAGTTGGAAAGGCCCTGGCTGATATTCATGGCTCAATGTTCAGCCAAACAACTGTGTGTCGCTTTGAAAATATGCAGCTCAGCTATGCCAATGCTCTCAAGCTGAAGCCGTTGATCAATACGTGGATGCAAGAAGCAGAGCCAGTGCCAAAGTCGCGCGAGCGGAGAAAAAGCAGCGCGCAGTCGCCTGCAGTTACACCAACTGGTGATCGACAGACGGCGGCAGCGACTCCTGCTCAAGAGCTGGCGACGACTAGCACAGGCATCATTGCCAGTACAGCCGCCACGCCGATGGCAGCAGCTACCACAATTGCTACTACTAGTGATGGGACTGGTACCAGCAGCGTGTCTACTGCAATGTCAGCGACAGCAGCAGCAGCAGCAGCAGTTGCAGCTAGTGGTATTGGTATCCTTGCAGGTAGTACATCACAAACTACATCGCCTTGTGCAGCTGAACTACAAACTGCCAGCTCTTCAGTCACGACACCAGCAGAAGCACCAACAAAGCGGCGATCGAAAACTGGCAGTCACAGCCACCGTGCCTCAATTTCCAATGCGGCACGAGCTGTCCTGGAAGACCTGTTCAAAAAGTACCCGAAGCCGACCCCAAAACAGTTGGAGGAACTGTCGGCAGAGCTTGACCTGCCGAAAAGCACGGTGCGAATCTGGTTCTGCAATCGTCGTCAGCATGGCAATCGCATGAAATCTATCATGTTCAAGAAGGGCATGTTGGGTTAATCGAAAGTACATTCGTTTACTTTCTTTCTCCCGTCTTGTAAGTGTGCTTCAAGAAATTCGTACTGCTTTCAAAGGAAGACTTGCATATTCTATTTTCCACATTTCCGTTAAGGCATGAAGCACAAAGCAAACTCAAGGCAGTGCATAGTTAAGGAGGAGGACAGGAGTAGCTTCCATTCTACAAGTAGAAACCAGCCACATATATGCAGTGGTTCAGTACTGCACGTAGCACATCAGTATGGCTTTGTCTCGAAAAGACGTCCCTTCACGGGCACTCGTATTCGTGAAGATTAGTTGCATGTGCGAGAGATCAGGCTTACAATGCATGGTCGGCATGATATTTGTTGTAAGGTTTTATATCATTACATGAAAGAAGTGGCTGCAGTGGAGCTTGCGCACCTTAAGAAACATTTTGTATCATATCTAAGGCACTATCCTTCTGTGCTGTGTTCTGTGGTAGGTGTGAGCTTTGCTGCATACAAAATAATGCGTTTCAGGTTACGACGAGTGAGCATTGACATAACGGTGACATTCTAGTCCACACGCATGGCAATATGGTCATTCTTAGAACAGGCGTGCTTGGTGTATCTCAGAAGCGCAGTGTTTTGCTAGCATACATGTGCGTGTGCGTGTGTGTGTGTGCGCGCGTGTGTGTGTGCGCGTGCGCGCGGGGGTGTCTGTAGGTCTGCATGCACGCATGTGGCTGAGGTGTGACCAGTGCATTTCTAGCCTGGATTTTGGGCACAGTCTGCTGCTTGAGTGACATAAAAAAAAAGATGATACTTGTTTGGCACCTGCAATGACCCTCCTGTCCCCAGCTGTTTGACATCCCACCCTGACACAGACAAGAAGATAGCCATGTTTGATCCTAGTTCGAACCAGAGAGTCGTGATATACCGCAGTATTTTACGACGCCAAACCATTCACTGCTCCTTGGTAGCTGGCACAGTATGAGTAGGGTATTGCATGATTCCGAGGTGATTACTCTTCAGCGCTGCGGGAATTTATGGAAAATAATCACATGAAGATGCATCGCAATGCTGTATCCTGTAGAGGCCACCTATTTTGCTGGATAAATCTGTAGGCATTTTACGTGTGTACTGTACAAGCAGACAATTGAGTCGGTCTACAATTTTGTCCAACTCCAAAGAAAAAGAGTTCGTCCGGTTGAAAATTTCGTCCAGGGACCAATAAACTTACTGAAAAGCTGGACAGACGACGTAAAAAAAGTCTGTGACTCTGTGTACACTCTAGTGCGGGACACACATACGCACGCAAACAATTTCAAACGTGTTCGGATCTAGAGTGTGCATACCCGGTTGTGTACCGACGCATTTCCAAAAGTGCAGCCAGAGGCCGTGTACGCGTAGTCCCCACTGTTGTAGAGATAGTATGTGTGCATACAGGTATAGTACAACAGCAAACACGGCTAGTACGCGGCAGTGGACAGCACAACAGCACAAATATGCAACAATAGCTACTAGCTAGCACACTTAGCCTCTATATTCCCAGTGCTCTTACACGCATATATTGTTATTCATGGCTAGATCTCATTGTTGAGGCGCATTTCTCTGATGAAAATCTCTTGAAAATCGATTAGGAAATTGCAGTACTCATATTTATTCTTACATTTTGTTCTTGCTACGTACTGTCGTGAACATGGAAATCCAGGGCGCTGGCCATGCAGCCGTGAGTACTAGGCTTATATGCCGGCATAATTTCGGGAATTATCGGTGTGATTTTTAAAACGGGAATTATTGGCAATTTTGTGGAATAATCAGTAACATTTGAACAATGCCCCTCTTTTTTCAATTTTTTCCACTTATAACACCCTGATTTGTACCAAAAAGCTTGTGATCCTGCAGTTGTTTGCCCTGTCTTTCAAAAAAAGAAAGAAAAAAAAGCTTCCAGCCGTGTCTCATGCGAACCGTGATTTTGTTGCCCGTAGAAGTGGCAAAAATACCCGTACGCGGTACGGTATCTGCAAAAAAGGGAAGAAAAAAAGCACTATTGTGAGAATTATTGGTGAAATTACGGGAATAATCAGTCAAAAATTTGAGCAATGCTCAAAGGAATTATCAGTAAAAATACGAGCATACTCCACGGAAGCCTAGTGAGTACCCATACAATCAACACGTGTACTCCAACGCAGGGTTCTGTACGCACTGAGGGCGCTGGCCCCGCGCCAATCGACCGGATTTCCATGTCCACGACGGTACAATGTCCGCCTCGCTAATTCTTGTGATTGCTATAATAAAGATCTTGTCTCCGCGTCGCCTAGCAGCATGGAAACGCCAGAATACCCTAAACCCAGAAACGTTTGCGCCGGTTTTAGTTTGCGATTTGCGAGCACAGATAAATTTGCACCTGGAGATGTTTGCGATTGGAGTCAATTTCCTCAGTTTCTTTACTACAGTTCTACGTTTCGTGCCGGCGTACTTTTGCGATTTCACACCCATCGTGAGAACCACAAAGTATTCCGGATCGCAAAGGTTTCTGGGTTCACAGTAGCAGATTTCACGGATTTAATTATCGCCGTCACAGGCAGACACGTCCGGTGAGAAAGCAGGCACATGAACGAGCCGGCAGACATGTCCAGGGATAGGCATTCGACTATGGTCAAGGTAGAACTTCGTAACACGTGACAAACCCAGTGCTGCCAAACCGTCCGATTTTTCGGACAGTGTCCGATTTTTGAAGGCTCTTCCGAAAACCGGTCCGAAAGGGAAACGTCCGAAAAGCAGCCAAAATGTCGGAGATCATTACTTCCCTATGCAGAAGTCCTGTACTTTCACTTTTCAGCGCAACTGAAGGCACAAATCACTGACTGTACATTTGCTTCTAAAAAGGCTATCGCTTGGCTGACAATGGCTGTGGAAGTGCAAAGTAACATGCCTGGATCAGGCTGGATGGCATGTACGCTGACAGTCTGTACGTACAGAGTCAGTGTGCGACCACACTCATCATTACAAAATTCAGGACAACTCCGGGGTTACCATGGCAACGAAGCGAATTTTCATGGCGTTTTAGGCGATATTTTGAATTCTCTGTAAAAAAATGCCGAGGACAAAAATTCGCACCATGTGCCCAGCCTTGGCGGTGAAGGGTGTCCGATTTTGGGCGAAAATTATTTGGCAGCACTGCAAACCCCATCCACATGTTCGGTCACCGATCCATGATAGCTACAGGCCTGCGTACGCAAACCTGCACAGGGTAGAACTCTTTAGTCTCTACCAGCAGTGCAGCGGTCACTTTTCACTACGTAAGCTATTGTCGCAGCACTGGATAGAGATTACACTGGCAGTTGCACACTCTTGGGGGTTATGTGCTCTTGCTACTAGGGATCTAGATCGTTATGTTTACCTGACCGTAAAGTTTAAACTACCAGTATGTGGTCTTACAGTATTCAAATCTATTCGATCTATCAGTGCGTCAAGATTAGTTGATCAGGAAATTTATAATTCGAAGGTCCGATATCACAGCCGACCCGGTGGATGAATGTGCCAGGACATACTCAGAGGAAGTACATGATAATTATGTGTAAGCACTGCTATGAGGGTAACCTCACTGCTACCAGCAGTATTGGGCCAATGGCAAAGGAGAGGCATGACACTCTGGAAAATAAGGACGTCTTAGAAAACACGAATCTATCACAGTAATATGGATGATAAAGAAAGTGTCTGCTCCATACGTCGGAGCTCGCGCTCAGTCCTGCCGACTGATTTAACACTTGACTGACCCACGACTGCGTCTGGAGCAGACGAGAAGCCCGTCGAACCTTCTAATCGGCAAATGGCACATAGATAATACGTTAGTAGATTGTTCGCTTGTTCGTTGAATTGGCAGTTGAGTGAATATCCGCTTGTGGAAATCGTGGATAGTAACATCTCTAGCAGCTACTACTACATTTGCTAGTTACAGAACAAATGCTGCTTGAAGTTCTGTAACCATGGGTAGCTTGCTTGACATGGACGAAGATCTGGTTTCATTGGCCTTGTCCGATGAGGACTTTGCAGATGAGCTTACTTGTTGCTCACTTGCTCTGGATACTGCAACGAAGAACTGCGGCAAAGAGGCTGGATTTGACGAGTTATACGCTCCAAGCGGCCAGGCAGCATTTTCTTCTCTTCCTGGCAGTACACGTCCTTCCAGGATGTGCTGGGTGCTCTCCAGCAATCTGCGGAATCTGGCACTGGCGATACGGCCTATTACAGGATGAAGGTGAGCTTTGGTGGAGGAACAATAAGCAGCTGGTTGACACAATATTCTTCCTCACCACCAACATACTTGCGTTGCGAAGTGGTGAGGAGCATCATGCCCATGCGCTTTGGTCGGGCAAGCCAAATCCAGCTCATCGAGGATAACGAGCAACCATACCCCCTACACATGGTGGTCTTCAGGGACTACCACCGCGATCTCAAGACACGGAAGCACACCCCGAAGACAGTGAAGGCATGAGATAATCTGCAAGGCTCAGCGCAATGCTCTATCTCACTGTGTTCAAGACGTGCACTGCCAAGCGCCCAGCTAGCACTGAGTTCTACCTGAAGCCTCCACGGCAGGCAAATATTGTATTCACAACCAATAGGCAAAAATACCCTGCGCACCATGGTCGCAGACATGCGTTCCCGCGCTGGCCTCAAAGCCTAATGGTATAACTATGAACCATCCCCACCGCTGGCGGTGTGCTACGGTGCTATACGATGAAGGTCTTGATGAATAGCTCGTCAAAGAGCACACAGGCCACCACAGGCCGTCTGTCCGGGCTTACAAGACAACTTGGCACAAGGGCAAGATGTGGGTTTCCGGTTATTATACTCATTGATAGTCAGCAGGACACATCCGAATTGAAGAAGGCAGAAGTCACAGAGCCTCAACGAAAGGCACAGGTCTAGCCCAAGTTAGAGCTGCTAGCAGAGCTTTACGGCAAATTAACAGCTAACGAGCATGATGAGCCACCTGCAAAGAAGAATCCTCTTGCAAGCATCGGTAACATTAATGCAGAGCAAGGTTGAAAGTTGAAACCCTCGCGTAAAGAGTGTTTCGAATACTGTACAGGGTTCAGCCATAGCATAATGATTGCAAGACTAGTGGGTCTACCTACCAGGTCGTCGGGCTGCTCCAGCACCTTCTTGCAGCTCATAGCGTCACTGCTGGCGACAACAAACACACGGTGTTTGCCTGCGATGTGCGGCAGTAGTGCCACCATCTCCTTTGTGTGGCCACCTGGATAGAAGAGAGGAAGCAGTAACATGTCACATGATGTGTCATCTCACACCATACGACATGCATACACACATTTCACAGGTATCAGAATGAAAATCTAGGTTGCCTGCTCACTGCATGTGAGTTCATTTTTCTTCTCAGTGTGTTTCAAAGGGAGGGGCGGGGGGGGGGGTTCCAATCTCGGGCTCCGGATACGTTTGTGCATTCATTCACTTGCCTATAACACTGTATGCTGGCTTAGTACTGCTTTGTTTTGCCCTGGGAAATATTGATGTGACTCGGGGCGTACATGTATTGATGAGTACTGCACAATAGGGCTTTGAACAATAAATTGGATTTCGTTTGTATACATTGCACTTTTTTGAAGTTTTTTCGATCGTATGTCGGCCTTTGATATAATTATATCAAATGTTGCCCACACTATTCTTCAACTTCTTCAGTTTCTTTTTGCCTGCATTCCAACTGGTCCGAAGCACTTGGAAACCTTTTGAAATGTTGATTGTGAGTAGCCTGAAACTTGTTCTTTTCTCGAGTGTGATTGCATTTTCGTCTCCAAGAAAACTACAGGATTATATCCCAAGTAATTTCTTCATTTCCGAAACATGCACCTATACGTGATACTTACCAGAGCCAAGAACGATCATTGTTCTTCCACTGGAAGACATGACGCTTTCAAAGGGATGCACACCTGCTCGAGGTAACCAAGCTGGCTTCCCTGGCACGAGATTTATAAACAATCCACTAAAAGATCATGAGCATCTACTGATCCAGCACGTTGGTACACCATGCACATGTAGCTCTGAACACAAGACAAATCGGACAACGTGAGGCAAGATGAGCTGAAATGACAGGAAGATTGTTTTGCTGCCAAATGTGGATCCTCTCGACTCGATCAAGCAGCTTAGCTTGCAATGCAAGGACACCTATTCGAAAGCAACACAATGAAGATGACGACGTCGAATTGCGAAGACGACAGTCGAGCACGTCATCATGACGTGTGCACACCGCTTGCTTGATATTTCTTGCATTTTGATTTGTGATTTCGGGTCATTCTCGACCGATCCTTCTATCGAGAGTACTCCGGCTTCCATGCAGCTTGTGGAACTGAACACGTAGCACTTGTCATGGCATCAGTCGGCACCGAGTCCTTTGAGCGCTTGGACGATTCCGCGGATTATGTTGCCTCCTTGGGTGAGTTGATTTCTCATTCATTTCAAACTTGTGCCAAGCCCTGCGAAACAGTACCAAGAGTATACTAGTTATATCCCCCCCCCCCCCTCTAGTACTATTGATTTTTACGTTACGTCGCCTTATACTATGCACAGTATTACTAAAGTTATTAGCAAGAGAATATAACTTAAAGCTCCCAGAGCTTATAATCTTTGCTAAGGGGCCGTCCGTAAATATCGATGTTTTTTTAGAGACGATATTGGTGCGTCTGGGGGGGGGGGGAGGGGGTTTGAGCCATGTGCGTCTTTTCGAGCATCAGAAAAATATCGATGTAAATATCTGAAGTTTCGCCGATCCCTGCACGCGGACGTCTAAATGGCTATACAAGAAATGTGAAACCAGCTTCCGTTCGCGGAGCTAAAACTCGCGACACAAGAACAAAATCAAAAATTGGAAGCTGTACGCCCATGGCGAATTTCAAGAGCAAAAGAATGAGCTATTGATTGTGGAAATCGGCCGAACGATGCCTGCAAGAGACCTTTGTCAAGACGTAGAGGCAGTGCGAACAAACACGGACGAACTCCAGAAGAGTTTCCAGTCTTCACTGTCTGAACAAGGATTTGAAAAATTTAAGCCCGAGCGTAGCCGCTTTGGCTACACCAGTACACGATGGCTGTGAGCACTGCAGCGCCAACCCGGTTCGCTCCCCCCAGGCGATGCAGCTATTGCGTGAGTGCGGCGGGATTTTCACGCCTACACCGGACCCTCAACATCCTGGGCACTTCATGAGCATCCAAAAATATTGATTCCATGATCTAGATGTACATGTGCGTCTTCTGGGGGGAGGGAGGGGGGTCAAGGGAGAGAAGCACCAATATCGTCTCTAAAAAAACATCGATATTTACGGACGGCCCCTAAGGCCATCATTTTTTATATCTATGTTTCGCGTCGTCCGCACGCATATGTTTTGATTTTTTTCGGAAAAAAATAAAAAAATTGAACATGCACAGTGAGTGTACGGTCGTGCTAGTCATCAGTGCGGACTGGTTCCATGCGGCGAAGCTGGGATTCAGAAATGGCCTTGAGGCCAGCGTTGATAAATCGTTTGTTCGGCATCTGCGAGCAGTATTCTATGAACTACTAGTAGTTACTTACACCAGACCGCATCGATCGCCTCAAGCTGAGAGGATGCGTCGTTCCCGAGCTCTTTACACCGCTACTGAAGTCTGAGTACAATAATCCAGCGAAGCATGGGCACCAACGGTTGCCTCCTCTGTCCAAAGTGAATATTTACTCATGCCAAGAGTACATAACCCCCCCCCCCCCCCCTACTCTTGCTCATGCTGATAACCCATATGTTGTGCTTCGATGTACGATTTTTCTTTCGAATGTACACCATGCACGCATGTGCTATGTACGAGTGTACACTAGTACCAAGAGTACATAGCTTGCCGAGGCTAGGATTGTGGTCTGATCCGGCTCAGGAGCAGTATTGTGTGGGAACTGAACTATTGTTATCGATTTCACTGAACTACTTTTTTTCTCTTTTACGTTTACTTTATACCAGGCGTGGGCCATCCCCTGTACATAGGTGCCATCATTTTTCTTTGTTTCAATAAAATTGTACTACGAGGTGAATTGCTATTTCTGGACATTGTACATTTCTGGACATTTCGAGTAAAATAATTTTTCGTCGCGTGTAGAGTCGAATCAATCAGGTTGATGAAGTTTTTTCTTGTTGTAGTTGACAGCTGGGCTGTTGTAGTTTCTCCTCGTGTCGGTGCCTTGTTGATAGCCTTTTCTTGGGAGGCATTTCAACGAGTTTTGTGGTACTATGTCGCATGAGAATTTTGAATTTTGAGTAAAATAAGAAGTAATGGACGAATCGTTGGCTTCCCCATGTGCACTCCACTTCAGACGCTGTATAGTCTTGGACCTGTTGGCTGGAAGTGTGAAGAGGCCAACTGCAGACCACCAATAGAAAAAATAACAAAAATGGTGCAGTATAGGATGCCTATTGACGCTATTTTACTTTCATGTCCAGAATTCCATACACTGAAATTTAGGCCAAAAAATTAGCCTGTCGAAAACAACCTGCTATAAAGTCTCTGGGATCACAGCATGAGCAATTGTCACATATTTGGAAAGATGAAGGATTAGGCCATACAATAGATACAAAAAGATGTGAAAAATGTAAAACACACAGCCAGTGAGCCTCTATTTTATTTTCATGTCCAAAAATTGCTATTCACCTCGTACATCACTAAAAAAAACCAAGAGTACATAACCGTACTCTTGCTAGTACTTTACACCTCCGATAAGCCTTTTTTTTATTATTCTGCAACTTTTTATTTTTTCCCACCGCTCGCATATGATTCTGGAAGTTGAACTGACGCGAAACATAGATATAAAAAATGATGGCCTAATAACACACAGGAAAGGAATATGTACTGTACATTACAGTCATAATAATAAAATATAAGACAAAGAAGTTAGTTGTGCCCTACTTTGTGAAACGTAAAGAAATCACGTAGAGAACAGGTGTCTGGGTTAGAGTCCACAGATACGGCTTCAGATTTCTACGTGGAGCTGAGATGAGGTTCTAGATTCTCTACGTTGTGGCACACGCAAAGAGGATGCATACGAGCTCTCGCTTGACTGACTCATGACTGCCATCCAGAGCATGAGACGTCCATCAAACCTTCCACTCGGCAAACCTGCAAGAAAGCACCGCTCCCTGCTCTGTACACAGTGTTTCGGGGAATCATGTACCAACACGCAGACCGCCACTGCTCCATAAGACATGCACTCTATGTTGTTTTCTCTGTTCCGACAAACTTGTCTTCATGACGCTGACACAACAGCCTTTGACTGACTTGTAAACAAAGGCGGTGTGACTGTAGAATGGTGTTGTTGTTGGTGACTTCATCCAGTGCATGCAAGGAGGTGCAGCTGATCTGTAAGAATGTGTAGATATACCTGGGATAAGTAGGGTGCTTGTAGAACATTGACCCGTCTACCCTGGACCCGGCGATACCGTACCTCATATCAACCCCCCTCCTGCTTCGTAGTCGAGATTGATATTCGGTACGTATCACCCACGAACTTTACTTGGGTAGTGGCATCTACGTATAGTCGTATACTGATATGCTGAAGTCGCTTGACAGGTAGAAACTCGACAGGGATATGGGGGGGGGGGGGGGGGATCAACGGTACTTACGGTAGAAACTACACATGTAGTTACATTGTACATCGTGAGTGTACACTTGTAACTTCATTGGGGTTCTGTACTCTTGATTGCAATACGAGTACAATGTACAATGTAGATAGCCCTACTCTTGATTGTACTAAGGGCATGTTTGGTTGTTGCAACCTAGAACAGTATTCGCCAGAACCAGAACAGCACGTTTGCTTGCTCAGGCAGATTGACCATGTTCTGCTTGCTCAGGCCTTGAGTCCACAGCAGCCACACCATGGCCAGAGCGTTACTTTTGCACGGTATAACCTGGCGGGAACATCGATTTTTGTCCAAAAAATGATCACTTGCCTACGCTTTTTGGAAAGTTTGGCATGTACTTGTTGTACCATACGAAGTGACTCATACACAATTTGACGAATGCAACCAAGTTTGGCGCACGTTTTACGCAAAATGTACTCTGTTTCTGGAGCACCGTTTGGTTGGCATGAGGCATCGGGGCTAGCTGCTCCATCTGCACCAGCTGTTCGATCCTGTTCTAGATTGTACCAACCCAAGTGCGGCCTAAGGAGCCTATTACATGTGCAACTCCAGCCCGGGCTGGAGCGAGCGGGCCAGCCCGCCGAAAGTGTTTACATGCGCACGGCCGGGCTGGTCGCCAGCCCGCAGTGAGTTTATATGCGCTGAGCACACGCCAGCCCGTTGTGAGTATGCAACGAACACACTACGACTGTAGTGTGCTGCCCCGGGCTGAAACGCAGGGCTGCAAGCCATACTCATGTTATAAACCTAAAAACTTTTTTCTCACACAATGTACTAGTATTCTTCTGCTGATTTCTTTTCGCGCTATATGGGTCAAGAATGACTCAAGATTTTCCACGATTTTGTTGTGTAATCTTCAGTGCTGCCTCTGTCCCGTCATGTATTCTAATGAACGTTATTCTTTCTTGAGCAATTGGGCGTAGAATTCCTACATGCACTGAGGTTCATGTTGTAGCACTTGCTGTACAACTGCAGTGTAATAATTAGGGAGTTGTTATGGGTATTTTACGACTCCCTGGTAATAATAAACTGACGGCTGTGAGATTTCATGAGTTATATCTAGGCCTCCGCGGAATATGCTCGTATTTTTACCTATAATTCCTTTGAGCATTGCTCAAATTTTCGACCGATTATTCCCGTAATTCCACCAATAATTCTCACAATAATGCTTTTTTTCTTCCCTTTTTTTTGCAGATACCGGTACCACGTACTGTTTTTTTGCCACTTGTACTGGCAAAAAATCACGGTTCGCGTGAAACTCGGCTGGAAGCTTCTTTTTTTTTTTTGAAATACCGGGCGATCAACTTCAGGATCACAAGCTTTTTGGTGCAAATCCGGGTGTTATAAATGGAAAAAATTGAAAAAAGGGGGGGCATTGCTCAAATTTTACCGAATATTCCACAAAAATTGCCAATAATTCCCGTTTTAAAAATCACACCGATAATTCCCGAAATTATGCCGGCACATTCCGCGGAGGCCTAGTTATATCCGTTGGTTCTTTCATTACTTTCTCTTTGTTGTGGCTGCAGAGCGGCGCCTGCGCAAAATGAATGGTCCGGCACCTAGGTCAGCATCAAAGTCTGCGTCTCGCGCTGCTGCACAATCCATGCTGTCATCGCTAGCAGCAACGCGCCAGGATCATATGCACCACTTCCTGTCAGCTGACTCAGCAAATCCGACGGCAGGAAGCAGTGGCGGAGGCGGTGGTGCTGTGCTGGCTTCGTTCCAACCTCAGTCGGACAATCTTGGCATCGAGGTTGCCGGGGAGCCCGATCGTGACCTGGGCTGCTGTGCATGCTGCTTTCCCGTCTACAAGATGGTGTTCCCATCCAAGGTGTCGGTCAGTTCAACGGAACGGCGGCATCTCGTGGACTCTGATGAGCTGCAGCTACAATACGAGCAAGGCAATGCGGAGGACAGTGACTCTTCTGGATGATGCCAATCAGCCACCAATATACATGTACTATGCTCTTAGCCTGCTGACAATACTCACCTCTGAGTAACTAGAGTGGTGACGTGTTCGAGCGCGTGCCTACTTGGAAGCCTGATTTACCTTTGGCATTGCCAGTTGAATGCAAGCTACATGTATGAGATCCTCGGCACGGCTCGATGTGTTTTTGCAGATGATGTAGCAGTGGTACATTTCCCAAGTGCTCGTCGACATACCAGCGCCGTTGGTCAAACTACACTGCTGATACTTGGAGGCCAAACCATTGAGTCCAACTCTAACGGCCCCCAGAAGTCGCTGGTGCGCCCGGCCAGTCTTGCCGCTGCCTCTGTGTTCCTCCAGTTATATCGTGCTGATATCGTGCTGACACGCTGCTTTGGGGCACGTTTCTCCCGTTGACATCACAGCAGGCCGGTGAGCTTATGCTCCCCACCCAGCCTGCAGTGGCTGCAGGTGTTCCTCTTGCAATCTTATCTGGAGAGAACGAGAAGCTGCTCTTCCCCAGGAGGGAGCTATCAGCCATGTAAGCATACTTTTGTAACTCAGCAGGGTGTGTTGATGGGTTTTGTTTTTTAAAGGATCCTTGGCTCATTTGCTGTCATTAGACTGTGACTAGTGAGTGCAGTACACACTCTTTTTTTTAATTAACCTTTCTAGTTCTATCACACTACGGTACGGCACTTGACAGTTACCCTACATACACAAGAATTATTATTTTCAAATATCCATCTAAATGTGTTTTTGTTTTTTGTGCTTCTTTTTCGTTCTTTGGTGGGGGGTTTTCAAAGTCTTTCCCGGTATCAATATTCCGTTGTTCAGGAAATGCCACGCCAACAAACAAAGGGCTTATAAACTGTCAAAACCTGCTCAAAGTGTTTTCTGGCCGAACATGGAGCACGCTCAAACACATATTATTTCTTTATTTTCTCAATCTCCGGACAGAACTGTTTTGTCCTTTGTGGACTAGTCGACTCGTCAGCGAAAATGAAGGCGGACTTGATAGAAATGAAAATTTTTCCAAAGCCATATTTAAACCAGGCCCCTAATATACCTTGCCAGAATGCTCAAACTGACCAGTCAGTGAGCTCTTCGTAAAAGCGTGCAGTATATGGTATGGATATGACTTGCATGGCACCCGTGTCTCTTTTTGGCTTTGTTCACCAGCAGCACGTGTCTCACTTTGGGCCTTTTCTTTAACACGTGGCTGTGGCTCACTTTTTGGGCTTTTCCTCGAACATGCGTGATGTGACTCATGCTCACCTTTGCTCTTCACCAACACAGTACCCATATTTGGCCTCCCAGTGATATCGACGTTTCGCTAGCACATGGGCAAGATCAAGCTCTACCTAGTACTTGTAGTGTTCTGCCCTATATTACTGGTGGTGTTGATCTGTACGAGTTGTGAACAGGGTACTTATCCTTGCTTGGTATCACTGGCAGTTCTATAGGAGATTCATCGTCTATATTCTCAGCTGTGCTAAACGTGCACGCCTAGCAGTATGTGGTGCGCACACTAGTACATGTACTAGTGTATTCGTTCCGGCCCGTCCGTCGATTCTGCCCATCTTGGATGGGTGGGGGGGGGGGGGGGGAATGCCGATCTTAGGATCAGATCGGGTTCGATCGATGGAGATCCCGTGCGCGGGCCTTTTCTCACGTGGAATTGGGTTTTTTTTCTTTCGTTTTCCCGCATGTAAATTTAAAACGTGCTTTTATAAATTCATTTATAAACGTGCGTTTATATTATGATATTGGCGCATCTCAAGTCGATCGATCCGAGAACGGGCCACCTCAGTGCCCATCCTAGGATGGGCATTAGCTATTTTGCCCATCGTAGGATGGGCAAAATCCTTGGACGGGACGGAACATATTTACCAGGTATGCATTTTCAACATGTCATCTGATACTCATACAGTCATGTGACTGGGTTTTCTAAGGGTGCGTTCTTAAATACTCTCGGAAAAGTTGCAGACTCTCGGAAACGTTCGAGAGCTGTTCTTATATCCTCTCCGAATTTTAGGAGGCTCTCCAAAGCTCTCCAAGCTTCAGAGGTGGTTGAAACTTGGAGATTCCCACGGTTTGGGATCAGCGCATTTGAACTACAGCTAAAAGCATGTGTTGATCATGAGTGTACGCATTTCCCTTTTTGCATACGCACAATGCGTACTACATTCGTTGCACTCAAGATCGCGGCCCCTTTGGCGCTTCATATTGCTTCACATGTGCAAAATATCTCCGAATTCTTGGAGACTCGTTCTTGCATGATACCACTTTCTTCGACTTCTCTTTTCTTCTTCTCCGAGAAGCTAGGGAATATAAGAACGCACCCTAACTTTGCATTGCTAGCCTATTCTCCCCCATGCCATGGTACTGCAAGTACAGCAAACATGCCTATAGCTGTACGTGTTGCAATACTGTTCCCTGCATGAGATCATAAGAATTACACGTTGTGAGTGTGACTGATCGGAATGGAACACTGTTTCGATAGCCTAGGGTATTCAGGATTCTGAAAAGCCGTGTGTATGCCACCCGGTTTCAATGAAAAGCATGGGCTTTGGTATTTGGAGAGGCACGCACAATACCAAACACAAGAGTCCATTTATGGATTCTTGAAGAGAGGCCTTTGGACAATCCTTAAATAAAAATCAATCACTCAATCAATCAAGAGTGTGTGTGCATGTATGTATACAAAAGCGTCACAGTTCACGTAAAACCCAGTCAGTCCGAGTTTTTCGCATCCGCATGAACGCCACCACCCTCTAGAACCAAGGCGCAGGACCATCACAAAAGTTCACAGAAGCCCACAAAACGAACAAAATTCGTTTCGTGCAAGACCCCTCCCTCCTCCGAAACGAGCACGCATTGCTGTCCTTTCATAATCCAGGCTTTGCATCATACATGCATATCCATATAAAACCCGCTCTGTGAGCGGTTCTGAAAAACCTTTACTGGTACATGGTACTGCCCCGTCGTAAAAGTAAGAAATTAGAACTGGCCCATTGTCCCCCAAATGCGAACTGATTCACCTAAATCGCGAATGACGGGACCCGAACGCACCAGTAGCACGAGGTTGGGAGGGCACAGGACAGCAATTATCATAGGGTAACACCACCTACCGCTAGTACAGTACATGGCCTATAGACTATAGTCCGGACCAACGTCCCCATCAGGCATCTGCATCCACAGGTAGGAACCTCGTGCTACTGGTGCGTTCGGGTCCCGTCATTCGCGATTTAGGTGAATCAGTTCGCATTTGGGGGACAATGGGCCAGTTCTAATTTCTTACTTTTACGACGGGGCAGTACCAGTAAAGGTTTTTCAGAACCGCTCACAGAGCGGGTTTTATATGGATAATTTCAGTTCTTTTTCCGTTCCCTCCTCACCCCAACCCCGAAGGTAAACATGATGACCACGCGCGCGATGTACTGTATGTAGCCATGAGACTGCAATAACACACTGATACAAACCAGCCCTCCCCGCCTCGCTACCCCGCACACAGATACACAAACATGCCTATGCACACGGCACACACACGTGGCCACGCACATGCACACGACACAAACAGGAAATTCTTCATATATAATGCCACGCAAAGCAGTGGCCACCGTACTTGAGGAAGTCAGTTGTGAAACAAAAATAATTCAACTACAGCGTGTAGACAAGCCTGCTGCTGAGCTGACGGCCAAAGCACAACATAGCAAACATGACATTTGCCCAAGGATTGCAGTTTGCAGACCACTCCATGGAAGCAGCGAATACAGAATGTAACATCATACAAAGTGACAAGCAAGGAAGTGGCCATCATACACCAGAAACTTGCAGAAAGTCACACATCCAACAGATAGAGAAGTGAACAGCAATCTGATACAGCCCACACAGGACAAAGCTGACCTGATACTCGTCCCAGGATCGCAAGTGGCAAATCCTTTTCAATGCATAACATGCAGGTGTACGTTAGACGCATGGACAACATCTGACCGTGTCGCCAGCATACAATGTCATCACATGTTTACCCCACAAGTTACACACATGCACAGTAGAAGCACAATGAAAGCAATGGAAAAGTACGATGTGGTTGCTGAAGCATCTTCACACTTCAAATTCAGACTTCAATGTGGTCGTCACGGGATGATATACCTGCAAGATACAAGTGATGAAGAAAGAAAGCAGAAGGTCGTGAGGTAGGCTATGAGTAGCCCTTTCCCAAAGATGCCATAGTTTTTCGCACCTTATGCTTTTCGCAACCGTGCCAAAACAAGTGCTAGTTGCTGAAATCGCATCCATATTTTCAGAAAAAGCTCAAAAGTTGCCAATATCGCAACTCAAAATTGGAGAGTTCTTGTGCAAAACCTACAAAACAGGGAGCAGAAATAGCAGAAATGCAGCGATGCTGCGACAGCAAACTCGTACAACCCTTCCTGCTGTGAACCACCACTTTACACATTGCCAGTAGCCTGTTGCATGTATCCTACATGTACATGTACATCATTACAGTGCACGTAAAAGGGAATGCACATAATTATTATAGCAATAAAAACTGCTTTATGGCAGTTTTCTAAAAAACGTTATTGTGTTCTAGTCCATGGACGGACCCCGTCTAAAAAGTAAGAAATTAACGAAATGTGATAGCCGAAAATTAAAATTTCACACAAAACCTCACAATAATCACAACACTTGAAATGCTGCTTTCAACACTAAACTTGTACTGCACCAACAATTGGCAACATGCATGTCATGCATGCATAGGAAAGAGGATCACGAGGGGAAAAGGTCTTCTACATGTACATGTAGCTTTTCATTCTGTGTGTGATTATTGTGAGGTTTTGTGTGAAATTTTAATTTTCGGCTATCACATTTCGTTAATTTCTTACTTTTTAGACGGGGTCCGTCCATGGACTAGAACACAATAACGTTTTTTTAGAAAACTGCCATAAAGCAGTTTTTATTGCTATAATTTCTTTTGTTTTTTCTGTCACCAATCAATGGAATGCCCTATATCAATATCTAAATGATGGCCTTCACATCATATCAATACCGTATTATACGCATTGATGTGCAAGCCTTTTCTTGCAGAAAATGGCACTAGCATACATGTAATGCAATTGCATGTTCTTCTGCGGGGAAACATGACATGTGAGTAGTGGTCTGGTGGTGGTGATAATTTTTTTATACGGAGGTCATTCTGTGCATGTTGCAGCTTGCTGTTGCAGAATTTCATGACTCTGTCAGAAAATTGTCTTGCCTTTCAGATATTTCAGATTTCCCCACCCTCGATCAGATTTATTTGAGAAATGTAGCCAGGTGCGTGTCGCAGATGTTTTTGTTGATTCTGTGTTTATAATGGTTTATAATCATGGGTTATCGTGATAAGGTCATCCTGCATCATATTGCACTGAAATGGTAATCCTGTTGATGTTGATACAACCTTCGGAAGCAGTTCAATGACTTCAAACTGTTAGTCCACGATTTTCTAAAACAGCACAGCAAAGGAGGAACAATAAACATGTATTAAAATGTAAACAAATACATTGCTGAGTCCGACTCCTCGTTCCAACAACTACACTGATCCTGAGGATAAGAGGTACTGAGAGATAAACAAGGCACTCCACAATAATAAAATCTTACACATCTTTTGGTGAGTATGAATGATATCCAGTCGAACTTCTTTAGGACGAACACCAAGGGACCGATGGTATTAATTTTATTCTGTGAGTTTGTCTTAACCTATTTTATAACCAGTGAATACAATTATTTCTCCAATAGACATACGAATAGATTTCTTCTACAGCGAAAGATTCTAAGCCACACCGACTCATTGACTCGTCTCGTATGAAACAAATGAGTCACTAGAGAGGTTCTGCAAAACGAAAATGCGTACAAACTTTCGCTCTACGTCATGAAGTGCGAAACTTCGCACGAACTTTCGCAACTTTGGACGCGAAACTTGCAGGGAACGCGAAATGAACTGTCGTAGGAAATTTCGTGAGATCGTACGTGCACTTGGCCCCAGAAACTACGAAAATGTGCAGAACGCAAAGTTCGTGCAAAAATTCATACACACTTTCGCAGAACCTCTCTACATGTACTGAACCTTTCTTTAGCAACATGACGGCAACTGAAACAGCAACAGAGAAAGTACGATACATGTACTCCACATTCTTGCAGGTACTACAAACAGATTGCAGATCGTAATTCTTGCTTTGGCGGCACGAAACTGTATTTGGGGCAGTGCAATCTCGGCGGTACTCACAAATCAAAAAGCCCAGACTCTGGAGATTTTCCCTGATATGCGAATTTATTTTGCAAACTCGGTCAATGGGTCCTTGAACCTTTCCCTCCAGATTGGGAACTGGCAACGATAGTATGCCACTGACCAGTGCATTACTTGTAACGTACTTATGTACAATGAATATGAGTATTTCGACAACACATCCAACAAGCCTTACCGTCAAGAAGGTGAACTCGCGTTCTTCGCACACTGTAGACTGTAGACAAGGGCAAAGAGATAAAAATGGATCTAAATCCGAATAAGATCAACACACGTTTCCGTAAAATTTAATGAAAGGGTGAGCATAATAAGCAAATGAATCGAAGGAAACCGGTCAACTCAGAGATCACCTGTCATCGAGGATTCCGTAAAAGGAGGCCTCGGCAGCGGAAAAGCTAAATTTAGAAAAGAGATCCTGTCAGCTTTTCCATATTTATTGCATTCCACCCAAAATCAGCACACTTTTCGTAAATGAAAGAGTCAACACAAGCAAATGAATCAAAGGGCACTGGTCAACTCACCTGTCATTATAGCAATAAAAACTGCTTTATGGCAGCTTTCTAAAAAAAGTTATTGTGTTCTAGTCCATGGACCCCGTCTAAAAAGTAAGAAATTAACGAAATGTGATAGCTGAAAATTAAAATTTCACACAAAACCTCACAATAATCACAACACTTGAAATGCTGCTTTCGACGCTAAACTTGTACTGCACCAACAATTGGCAACATGCATGCATAGGAAAGAGGATCACGAGGGGAAAAGGTCTTTTACATGTAGCTTTTCATTCTGTGTGTGATTATTGTGAGGTTTTGTGTGAAATTTTAATTTTCAGCTATCACATTTCGTTAATTTCTTACTTTTTAGACGGGGTCCATGGACTAGAACACAATAACTTTTTTTAGAAAGCTGCCATAAAGCAGTTTTTATTGCTATAATTTCTTTTGTTTTTTCTGTCACCAATCAATGGAATGCCCTATATCAATATTGTAAATGATGGCCTTCACATCATATCAATACCGTATTATACGCATTGATGTGCAAGCCTTTTCTTGCAGAAAGTGGCACTAGCATAATGTATGTTCTTCTGCGGGGAAACATGTGAGGAGTGGTGGTGATACTTTTTTATACGGAGGTCATTCTGTGCATGTTGCTGTTGCAGAATTTCATGACTGTGTCATAAAATTGTCTTGCCTTTCAGATATTTCAGATTTCCCCACCCCCCGATCAGATTTATTTGAGAAATGTAGCCATGCGCCAGGTGCGTGTCGCAGATGTTTTTGTTGATTCTGTGTTTATAATGGTTTATAATCATGGGTTATCGTGATAAGGTCATTCGGCATCATATTGCACTGAAATCGTAATCCTGTTGATGTCGATACAACTTTGGAAGTAGTTCAATGACTTCAAACTGTGAGTCCACGATTTTCTAAAACAAAACAGCAAAGGAGGAACAATAAATACGTATTGAAATGTAAACAAATACATTGCTGAGTCCGGCACCTCGTTCCAACAACTACACTGATCCTGAGGATAAAAGGGGCAAGGCTATGGTTGGAAGTACTGAGAGATAAACAAGGCACTCCATGATAATAAAATCTTACACATCTTTTGGTGAGTATGAATGATATCCAGTCGAACCTCTTTAGGACGAATACCAAGCGACCGATGGTATTTATTCTGTGAGTTTGTCTTAACCTATTTTATAACCAGGGAATACAATTATTTCTCCAATAGACATACAAATAGATTTCTTCTACAGCGAAAGATTCTAAGCCACACCGACTCATTGACTCGTCTCATATGAAACAAATGAGTCACTAGAGAGGTTCTGCAAAACGGAAATGCGTACAAACTTTCGCTCTACATCATGAAGTGCAAAACTTGGCACGAACTTTCGCAACGTTGGACACGAAACTTGCAGGGAACGCGAAATGAACTGTCGTAGGAAATTTCGTGAGATCGGGTCATGGCGTACGTGCACTTGGCCCGCGCAAACTACGAAAATGTGCAGAACGCAAAGTTCGTGCAAAAATTCGTACACACTTTCGCAAGGACTGTCGCGAAACTTCGTTCAAATTTTCGTTTTGCAGAACCTCTCTACTGAACCTTTCTTTAGCAACATGACCATGACGGCAACTGAAACAGCAACAGAGAAAGTACGATACATGTACTCTACATTCTTGCAGGTACTACAAACAGATTGCAGATCGTAATTCTTGCTTTGGCGGCACGAAACGTTATTTGGGGCAGTGCAATCTCGACGGTACTCACAAATCAAACAGCCCAGACTCGAGTAAACAAATCCAATCATACAAGTACGAGATCATATAGTTTCACGAGACGAGACTGCACCCATTGGCTTGTTTCGTATGAAGCAAACCAGTTACTGAACCTCTCCACAATGGAGATTTTCCCTGATATGCGAATTTATTTGGCAAACTCGGTCAATGAGTCCTTGAACCTTTCCCTCCAGATTGGGACCTGCCAACGATAGTATGCCACTGACCAGTGCCCGACTTGTAACGTACCAATGTGCAATGAATATGAGTATTTCGACAACACATCTAACATAAGCCTTACCGTCAAGAAGGTGAACTCGCGTTCTTCGCACACTGTAGACAAGGACAAAGAGATAAAAATGGGATCTAAATCCGAATAAAATCAGCACACGTTTCCGCCGAAGGAAACCGCTCCACTCAGAGATCACCTGTCATCTAGTATTCCGTAAAAGGAGGCCTCGGCAGCGGAAAAGCAAAATTTAGAAAAGAGATCCTGTCAGCTTTTCCATCATTCATTGCATTCCGCCCAAAATCAGCACACTGTTCGTAAATGAAAGAGTCGACACAAGCAAATGAATCAAAGGAAACTGGTCAACTCACCTGTCATTGAGTAATATTCCGCGAAAGGAGGTCTCAGCAGCGCCGAAACGAAATAAGCCAGGCCAGGAGACGAAATATCCGAAACAGATCATGCAAGAAGCAGTTCCAAAGAAGAAAGTTCCTCGCGCATGCACATATCCGAACACGGATCCGCGGACTGCACTGCATGCAACACAATGTCTGCCGTACAAGTGCACAGCACGCGGCTACCACGCGTTGGTAGATCTAATAACGAGCACCTTACGTAGAGACTTACGTAGCATAAGTGAAATACCGAGCACCTTACGTAGAAACTTACGTAGCATAGCGGTGTCGTTTTTCTTGCCATGTGAACACAATAATAGAAAAGCTGACAGGATCGCTTTTCTAAATTGAGTAATATTCCGCGAAAGGAGGTCTCAGCAGCTCCGAAACGAAACAGCTCATGCAAGAAGCAGTTCCAAAGAAGGAAGTTCCTCGTGCATGCTAGGGCTTGGCGGATAATGCCGGCAGAATTTTCGGCAGAAAACGCCTGTTTAGGGGGTCGAGCATATTTCGGCAGAACGGGGGCTGAAAAAGCATTCTCTGCCATGTCAAATGACAGTTACCACGGAATTGGCGTGCGACGTTCTGCTTTTGCAGCAGATTTGCCGCGTTCTTCGACACGCAGTCCATCCATCCACCAAATGTGGCCGGAACTGTTACTTTGCGGAAGGTAGCAGCCTTGAATGGCAGGCCAGTGGCAGAAGTCTACGAGTCGTAGATCTACATAATATTATGGCCCAGTTAAGCAGTTGCAGCGATTTTCGACCTTCGGTGAAAAAGCCCACTGTGTGAAAAGATTAAAATCAAATCATCTTTTGCTGCGCAAGCCGGGCCGCGGACGGGTATTCCGTGGATCACGACACCAGTGAAGTCAGACTTGAAAATGTTCCCAAAACAAGCATTTTGCAACGAAGGTCGAAAATCGCTGCAACTGGGCCATATTATGATTGTAGTGTGGCTAGCCTTCATCTGAAGTGCGCCTGAACCCAATTATGTGTGCCAAGTTTATTTTTACATAACTGGATTTCAGCAGAAATTTCAGCAGAAAATGCACTTTCATGAGCAGAATATTGAGCAGACCGAAAAGCAGAATGAGGGATTTCGGCGAGCATTATCCGCCTAGCCCTAGTGCATGCACATCCGAAAAGGCAACAACAAAATGTCTGCAATGCACACGCATGCGGCCAGCCGGCCGCGCGATGGTATACCGATAGAGCCATGGAGTAGCTCCCTGGTCCAGGACCAGGTACCGAGCATCTTACGTAGAAACTTACGTAGCTACGTAGACAACGTGTCTGAATAGCGGTGTCGTTAGGTAGCGCCATGTGAACACAATAATAGAAAAGCTGACAGGATCGCTTTTCTAAATCATAACTACCGTTGATCTACTGTTTCTCAGAAATGAGCCTGAAGGCAGGCAAGAAATGAGCGAGCACGAGTATGTATTTGTCCAACAATGCAACATGTAGTCGGTGACTTGACCTTTTGACCCCATGCCATGGGCCAATTGCGCCAAGGTTGCGGAGAAGTTGCGAAATATGTGACACCACAAACGGGTCACCTACATGTATGTTCAGGGCTAGTGCACTCACATGCAGAATTGTCATAATCGAGCATTTCCCAAACTGAGAAGTGCAATGAAATCCACTTGCATGCACAGGAGCAATTTTGCAATATTACGATGCGCAATTCGACACGATCTGCGATGCTGCGTGCGATGTGCTGTCATGACGGTGACAGTCACCGCCGTATGTTTTGTCAACGTCGCCCGTGCACTCTTCTGTCAAGTCCAAAGTGCTCACATATACTTGGCAATGTCTTTGCAGTGATTAACTTTTATCCTAGTTATGTCATGGGTAACTTTAATGAAGTACCCGCAGGCCGTGTCGATCCGCACATCGTCCACTCTCTCATGTTCTTTGGCCTGCTTTGTCTGTGTATCCATTTCATGTGCGATCCACAAATCGACTAGACAGTGGGTGCAATACCCTCTCTATCTGAAGACGTTCTTCTGGCGACATCTCGCCATGTACTTGGCCTGCTTTGTCTGTGTATCCATTTTCATGTGCGATCAACAAAATCTCAATGCACTACAGAGATTAGACAGTGGGTGCAATACGCTCTCTATCTGAAGACGTGAACCATTAAAGTTTTTGGAAAAGTTATAACTGTTACGTAGACCTACACCTGAAACGTAATGAAGTACTTTCAGCAACAGGGCCGTGGACACACAGGGGGCAGAGGAGAGACATTGTTAGTGGACAAGAAATATGCAGTGGCAAGTGGCGAGTGCCGCATGGATGTCAAGTTGTCATGCACAATTCAGCTATTACTTACGGTCCAGCTAGTCCTGCCATTGCTCGCTCGTCCTGGTTCCTCCTCGTTCGTCTTCCTGCACGTCTGCACTTCTCCTTCCCCACCGTTGGCTTTGCGGTACGGGGGTGCCGGAAGGAATCCCCACCATGTATCCATGTACATGAAGTCCCACCATGTCTCCATGTACATGTCCACGGCCACGTCAGCAGTTTGTATAGTACCGGAAGGAGTTCCCACGATGTCTCCAAAGGCCTAGAGCGGACGTCTTTGCAGCAATTCTTTTCACCCTGTACATTCACTCCGCCGACACGACAGCGTTTACGGGGCCGTTCCAGGTGCAAAAGGGCCACGTCAGCAGTTCTCAACTATTTCGCGTACAGGATAGTCGCCGCGACAGCGTTTAAGGGGTCGTTCCAGGTGCAAAAGGCATCCATCAATGGCACTTTGCAGTACGGGGTACGGAAAGGGGCCTCCTCGTTCGACTTCGTCGACTTCTGCAGTTCTCCTTCCCGTCAGGGGTACCGAAAGGGGCCTCCTCGCAGTTGTCCTTGCCGTCAGGTCCACGTCATGCAGTTCTCAACTATTTCGCGTACGGGATAGTCGTCTTTGTCGTACGCGACATCGGCGTTTACCGAGTGTCCAATTGGCACAAAGCAGACCGTTGACGGGGTCACGTGTCAAAAAGTTTTTTTTTTTAATGTTTATTTGAATTCGGATAGCTCAACAGTACAGAAGTACGTACTCGTACGAGCGTACATGTCATGGGGTTTTCAGGGTTCTATGCTACCGGCATTGTACCTATGTCAACATGGTAGGGCCCGGGGACAGGCGCATGCATGCATCAGGGAGTCGTAAAATACCGGGAGGCGACACGCCACACATTTCACGATCCGAGGATTGCCGCACTCGACCCGCGAAATTTGAAGCGTGATTGAAACGTCGTCGTCATCTTCTTTTTCTCAATTGTTTTTGCTATATGCTTCGAGGCTATTCTGGATCTCCAGAGCGAAAGCTGGTTGTTTCTGATACGTACCACGCATTACCTTAGGTTGAGCCGTGGCTTTTAATTTTTTTTTGGAAGTTCACTGCTTTGGAGACGACGGAATGTCAAGGTAAGTTATTCACGAAATGTACTCAAATTTGAATTGAGTCAATGCGAATGACACCCTGTTTTCGGAATAGTTCTCCACTAAACACACCATGCCCATGGCCCCTTCATGTTGTCCAAGTTCCATTCTAGGTTTGTGTGAAGTTTCGAGATGAAGTTCGACGATGTACTCACCTTTCCATGGAAGGGAAAAAAAAGTAGCATATCAAACAGAATCCATGCAGTATTTGATGCCACTATCCTCATTCTTCTGCATTCAAAGTGTTTCACATCTATATGGCCCATGAACTGCAAACAATATTTGTCATTTCTTAACTGTTCATAGCTGTTCATAACTGTTCTGAACACATTGCCTTCAGGAAACGTAAGGCCGAGTCGCCTCACCGACTGAGCAAAGTTCTCTGCGACGAAAGTCACACTATCGGCGAATGCACTCAAGGTGAATACCCGTCAATATCCTGTATACTGCTTGTACCGCTTATCACAGTAGCATACACACAAGCACACATACACACACACACACACACACACACACACACACACACACACACACACACACACACACACACACATGCATGCTCGTGCACACCCAAGCGCAAAATTCACATATCACTGGTTCAGTTGTTTTTATCTGTGTCGTATTTTGTCTTATACAGAGCTTCCGAGCCACGCCGAGTCACCTGACCAACTGAAGAAGGTTCTGTGCGACGAAAGTCACACTATCGGCGAATGCACTCAAGGTGAATACCCTGTGGACTGCTTATACCACTTATCACAGAAGCACACACACACACACACACACACACACACACACACACACACACACACACACACACACACACACACACACACACAAGCGCAAAATTCACATATCGCTGGTTCAGTTGTTTTTATCTGTGACGTATGGTGTCTTATACAGAGCTTCCGAGCCACGCCGGGCCACCTGAATTCTCCAAACAAGGCTGAAGGCTTGTCACGGCATCCTTGCCAAATAAAGGTATAAGCTGCAGCAAGTTGTCGTTGCGACACCTTGCTCCTTCCAGCTCACGCCGCACGGCCACCAAGCACCAACCACCATGGTACTTTTCAGCAAGGTGAGACAAATTGTCAATCACCGGTTCGGGGATGGCTTCAGCAGCTTTGGATGGTGCTATTGACGCTTTCCTGATAGCAGCGGCAGCCGTGGCATGCAGGTAGCTTATCAGATTCGCTAGCACTGCAGATGTAACTTCCAAATCTGAAGAAGAGAAAAGAAAAAGACAACATATAAGGACTGGTGGTTGCAGAGACTGTACTAGTATTCAAAAGCCAGCGTTTGCATACCTAGTCTGCATACCTAGTCAGAAGCCAATTTTTTTCCAACATGCATGCAAAACGCACTGACCTTCACAATTGATTTTCACTTCGGGAATAGCTGTTGCGATGACGGACAGCATTTGTTGCCATGCTTGCGAAATATCAGCACCCTTGCATGCCTTCAGCTGGCACACTTCCTGGCGTAGCAGATTTGCAGTACCTGATGCCTTGTGTAACCGTGTCATAATAACATGCAGGAATGACTCCGTCGCCTCAGTAACACTCGCCTGTCTCATTGTCAGCAGTTTGCAAATTCCATGGATCACTGCACCTTCCATAGGCCTGTACACCATGATGGCACTACCACTCTTACATCGATCTGCACATAGACAAAGTATGGTTTGAGGATGGAGGTTTACATCATCTACGGTGATGATACATACTAGGTACACACGTAAATTTTCAGGACTTCAATAAATATCCTGTCACAGTGAACAGACAATGCATCGTGGGCAGACTAGGATGAAAAGGATGGTGTCGACCACCTAATTTATCGGGTCAGTTCGGGCACTTAGGTATGCTACAGATTATACATTCGTGTCCACAAGGAAGAGACAAAAACATGCAAACGAAAGAATCTCACCTGTAGCCCACAGCTGAACATCCCCACAACTCAGGTCACCAAGTGAATACGTGGCGTCATCTACATCTTCCACGGTGGACTCATCACTTTGGCAGTCATCTCTGTCAAGCTCCATCATCCTTTACTTCGAAGGCCAAGGCACAAAGTATTATTACTTAGAAAAACAAAACGAACTGCTGACACTGGATTCGTTGTGTGCAGGATAATTTTATTGAGTTTTCAAATTTTTTGGACCAAACAGCGAACGCGTCCTTTTGCATGACCTGCGCCGCTTTGACCTCATGGGAAGTCCCTCGCCATGCAGCGCGTGAGGTCTCAGCACTCGTGCCCGAGCTGAGGCAATCATCCGACGCGGTTGTGCATCTCGTGTCGCCTCCCGGTATTTTACGACTCCCTGGCTCAACCTTCACCGATCGTCTTCAAATTTTCTGGTGTGGTCTATCATGTTGTAGTCACTCACTGTATGTGGTTCTTGTTCTTCTTTCATGCGTAGAACAGGCCTAGAAACGCAAGAATGTGACCCGTGTCAGCGAAAAATTGTTTCTGTGAAAATCAAAAATTCAAATTTCCAGGGAGAGTGCGTACGCTCGTACCCAGGACACTGTGGCCAGGATCATGGTCTATGATAACAGCAGGCATGGGAAACAGCTACCCCCTAACCCATTTTTTTCCATTTTCCAAAATTGCCTTGCTATGCAAAATGCACCGTTACATGGTTACGGGGCGAACTTCCAACTTCTCCCCAGACAAAATTGATATGCCTTTATGAGCCATCTATTCTACAAAGTAGTAGTGACTATCGACTGCTTTTTCTTTGAATCAGGGAGTCGTCAAATACCGGGTATTTGACGACTCCCTGCTTTGAATGGCATCAGGGAGTAGTAGTAGTAGTAGTAGTAGAATTTATTATTTTGATAGGGAAGGCCCTACAGACGTTGCCGTCTTGTTACAGGGAACCCTAAGTGCTCTTTACAGAGCGAAACAAAAACGGATAGATGCTCGGAGTCGTCGACCCCCTATTAAAAAAAACACGAAATCGACAAATGAGTAGGGGCGTATTCGATTGTACGAATCCACCATGTACGAGTACCTCCCAGAGACGGATTCGACGGATTCATTTTAATGGTGGGTCTACGACTCATATCTACTAGTACTCAAAACTCCCAATATGCGTACACTAGGTCAAGAGTTTACCACAATTCGTACAGATACTATAGTACTACGGGATGAGCTGTAGCAACGCGGTTTTAAAGGCCTTGAAACGGATTATCGGTTGTGCCAAGAGTTCATAACCCCCCTTTGGTTATGAACTCTTGGTTGTGCACATTCGATTGTATCCGTCCAATCGAAGTGATCTGGTCGGCGGGGATCGGGATCCAGTTTCTACAATCGAATGCAGCCCAGGCCATGCCAATAGGGGGCACCACTTTTTCACGGGGGGGGGGGGGGGGGCTCAATCAGATCTGCAGAGTACTAGTAGGATCTAGTAGGGGGTGAGTAGGAGGGCGCTGACCCCCCCCCCCCTTCTTAAAGTAGTATTGCAAGAGTAATAAGCATGCAGGAGTCGTAAATACCACAGACGACTCCCTGGTAATAAGCTGAGCTGCTACCTGGGAGCATATAATGCACCCTTGGTCAGTACATGATGTGATAAATAACCCCTTGGTCAAAATAGCAGCCGCCCCACCCCAAACACAACCGCGCACGCACTTAGGTTAACGCTATGGTCTTCTTCACGTTTCTTCGTCTTCCGAGAGAACATTCTCCAAGAAGCCAACAGAAAACAACAACCCTAAGACCAGCTAACTTGGCGAGGCACTAGCACTGGGCAGAAGCTCAACGAAAAACATTCTCGTCGAGCCTCAAAATGATTGGTCGTGTATGTAGCCTCAAAATGCCGTCGAGAAGGCCCGGAAAAAGTTGTACCGTCCATGATCCAAGCAGGGAGTCGTAAAATATTTTACGACTCCCTGGATCCAAGCCACATCGATCGTACCTGATCGAGCGGCTTTTTGTAGATCCTCTCGCCAGGATCAGTGCGCAAAATGGGAACATGTATCCAGCGGAAAAAGTCCACTGATCCTTTTTTGGTTCCTCTGCTCAGGTGAGCAGGCGAATTCGCACCCCCTCTCATTCTTGCACCACCAGGTACCTCACTCCTACAGTACTCTATAACTAAAAAGTAGTACCCTAGCTCTCAGCTAGCAGCTACGGAGTCGTATACTACTCCCTGCTATATATGCCTCCCTGGCATACCGGTATATGGGCAGAGTAGATCTACGAGTACGAGCTATGATTGTGGTCTCCGTATCGCAGACCGCGATATCGTCGAGTTGTCTGCATGATCTCGGCAAAAAGAGGACTTCTGCGTCATATCGCTTTGCACGAAGCTAGCACAACTCTACCTCTTCAGTGCAAGGGTCCACAGGTGGAGATGTACGCGGTGTCGATTCACAGCTCTACAACCGGTACTCTACGGTAACAGACGCCTCTTGTGTCTTGGCCAGAGTAGAATATCTCTGTTTGTGGTCAGGCACCTAAAGGTGTGTGGTTAGCTATCTCCATCGTTGAGGTGCAGCTGTCTTGCTATGAGTCTCAGTTCCAGACTAGGATAATAATGGCTTGCTAGGCTGTTTCTCGCGGAGAGAGAATGACCCCACATTCCGATCAGTTTTTAGTGTCTTCCGCACCGCAACTTCCATCATGAACCCGTTCGAAATTTTCGCTGTGGTGTGTTTGGCTTTTTTGGCTTTGCCAAATCACGACTCAGCTGTGATCTGTGCCTCTTCAGGTAAGTGAATTATTAGTTTCAACTTTGTGGGTACTGCTAGAATTGGGAGGAGAACGGTTGCCAACCAATTTGCCCACTTATCTATCACTCGCTTCTGGGTCTTCTCTCGAGTGTATTAACATGTGTGCTTTGAAAGCTGTAATAATATAATTATCATGTTATTTTGTGCTCTTGGGGGAGACTTTGTAGACCTCGTGGCTTGCGGATCTAATTTACTTGTCTCGTCCACGTTCCTTACGAAGCAGCTAGAACATTTCGCGTTGTGTCGGCTTCCAGAGATAACTTTCGATGCGTTTGCTTTCTTCTCAGAATTCAGTCCCACGTGTGCATGAGTGAATGTGTGTATTTGGCCACGGGGTGCGTGATTTCACCGTATCTAACATGTGGTCCGTATAGCGTAGACCTACGCTTCACCATGGATGATAACTTCGATGTAATTATGACTGCATGCTCGAGACGTTCGGGAGGGTATTACAACCAGGGAGTCGTACTCCCTGATTACTGTCTGGGACGATGATCCGTTTGGCTTCTGTGGAAAAGCGGCCCCGTCTCCCGTTCGGAAATATGTTGTCATATAAAGGCGAAATGTTTTCACTCCATGATCCAGTTATGGCTCATTCGCAGCAATGATCCTAAACGATGGAAGTGCGAATAGGCAGGTCAGATTTTCAATGGGGTACCGCAGTGACGGTGAAACTCGCGTTTTAATTTTAGAGCGAGTCACAGTCCTCAATGTGTAGACCATATGGCATGGTAGTCCGTAGACCACAATGCTTGTGATCACCAGCATTGTAGCAAACGTATTAATACTAGTATGCTAGCTGTCATCATACCGTACAGAAAAATGGCTGATGCTTGTGGAAAAATGTGCACCGCTGGCGTAGTTGTTCTTACTGCGATGCGTTCTAACAATATTGAGGTGCCTTTTGTTGGCTCTTCTGCATGGATTTCATTGACAGATGCGTTAAGCCCATGATCCTTCCATGAGTGACATGCAAACTGTACTATTATTATTATTATTATACCGTACATGGTATACTCACAAGCGAGACTTACATGTACATGATTATGACTATGATATCAGGCGCGTACGCAGGGTCACATCTAGGGGGGTTTCCAACCGAATCACTAAAAACAATGACTCGTTTAACCCTTTCTAAAGAGCCCTAGGAAATTTTCAAAATTATGCATTTTTTCGTGTTCTTTGGATCATAACTAACGTTACTTCAGTTCTACTCACTCAATCTTCATTATCTTAGGCTTCCTGGAAGTGGAAAGGTACCAGGGAGAGAATGAGGTCGAACATGATAGCCAGGACACAGTACACATGGTACAGCCATGTACATATCCAGCGTATCCAGCGCTATATGCTATAGCGGTAGAGTAGTAGCAGTAGTAGAATTTATTATTTTGATAGGGAAGGCCCTACAGACGTTGCCGTCTTGTTACAGGGAACCCTAAGTGCTCTTTACAGAGTGCAGCGACGGTGCGAAAAAATGCCCCAAACTGGGCCAAAGGCCCAAACGCGTCCTGCTCCAGCGATTTCGTTTCTCTTGATCGCAGAGTTTCGATTTGTTTGCTGCGTGCTCTTGAAAATATCACAAGTGAAGCCCCTGCAAATTTGAGCAAATCAGCGTGACGAAAGTCTCAAATTCTCGATACTCGAGTCGCACTGCGCGCTTTTGAAATTGCGAGATCACGGCTCAAGTTACGAACGATTTATCTCAAGAGATATTAATTGCTCGCAGCGCGCCGCAAATTGTTCCAACCGACCGCTGAGAGTTTTCTATTCGACCTGGATATTTGGATAGTTGGATTTGAGCCAGATTTGACTGAGTTACGATCTGTTGAAGTTTTGCATTCTTGCCAGATCGATCGTGCGCCCTACCAAAATATGCCCAAAAACGTTGCTCGTTTGGAACATTTGGGGGGTTTCCGGGCAACGGGAAACCCCCCCTGCGTACGCGCCTGGATATAACCAAGCGTCCATAATGGACTCTTGATATAACCTAACACTGGTTAAAAACCAGTATTAGATAAATCTAACAATTGCATGATTATGACTACTAGTAGTTGACATAACTGATAGTACGAGGTGATTCGTATTTTTTTTAACATTGGGTCATTTCTTAACAAATCGGTAAAATATCTCATTGCCAGCGCCTGCAAAAAGTCACGTCAAATTTCTTTTTACCATTGCCATTGCCAATGTTCTGTCAAGTTCGCCTCCAAAATTGAGACGGATATTCCTTCAGGAAGTGACATTGCAAGAGCTTTCAGTCTGCATGTGCGCGATGTTTACGGTAAAATAGAGTATAAGAGAGTCATAGCCGCTGGTTTCAACCTCCAGTGACAACATATTTAGTTGAAGAGGAAGCATATGATAGCTACATACTGGAAGCGACGCCTGGAAAGGAGGACTGTTGGTGTGTTGGCCCTGGTATTGGCCAAACATTGGCAATTACTGAATTTGCTAACAGATGTTGATCACAATTGCACATGAAATCAGGGTGATACACCTATTGCTATGCAAGCTTGACTGGCTTGTATTTGGATGAACATGATCTTGATCCAGTCTTGCTGGACCATCCTGGATACGTAGGGTCTCCTTCTATTGAAAACTGACTTGAAATTGTGCTGCTAAGGCCTATTTTACCATGATGGTAAGAAATGACCACAACAAATAATATGCGGAAAAATTGCCATTTTTCAACTGCCACCTGCTTCCCAACACCAAGGATTATGTGAATAAGAAACCCAACATTGCAATCCAAGGACATCAGTATTACATTTTTAGAGGAAGAAATGGAAAGATTCACACCTCGAACCCTACGGAAGGCTTTTTTACTTTCGTGTTAAATAATGACGAATCACCTCGTAGTACGAAGAGCATCCACACACGCGTGTCTGTGTTTTATTCATCTCAATAAACTCTGGGGGCAACTAAAGGTGGAGCTGAACATAAAGCCGGTCACGCGTGTACATAGTCTGAGACAGTGGACCATGTGATCACTAGTCATGCTGTGGAGTTGGCCCTGCTGTGCCGATGGCGTGGGGCTTCTCTTGCCGCACCTGTAGATTGAGATGGCTCCTTGGTGGCCAGATATCTACTGTGCCACAAGACCCACCAATTTCTGGACAGAGGTTCGCACTGATGCGTCTGGAGGCAAATGAATGTGCAAAATTAATAACCCCAGTTCCTGGGGGTAGTTCCGTCTTGGCCAGTTTGTGCGATCAGATGTGCTTGGAAACCGGGGCCCAAGATGCAGTTAGCACAATGTGGCACTGGTGGATTGATGGTCCTGCATCTTTTCTTTGTCCGTTGTTGCTAGATAACTTGCAATGTGAACCCCACCAGGTGGAGCGGCGCTTAAAGTTCACGCCTGGCCACGTGGGAGTAAGTACATGTGACACATGTTGCACTCAAGCTCATGTCTTTCATAAGGAGACTAGATAGCTAGTTGTGCCAGCCATGCTCTAGTCACATCTTGCTTTCAATTCATTGGTCATTCGAAAATCACGTGGCTGAGCGTGATGGTGCTGTGCTGTGCTGATGTAGTACAGGTTGCATTTCAATTTGGTATATTTCCATTGATTTTAACAGCAGGTTTTTGCATGTAAATGTATATGGTGACTGCTACAGTGAGTCCATCGGCCACTCTTCTTATCACCACTCATTTCAAAAGGCATTTTTCTGATCTCTCAACTGTGGCCCCATTTTTAGCCGGAGCTCATTTCATCCGTTGCCTCCAATCAGCACCGAAGGGATGCCGCACCTGCAGCAGCGGAAGCTCAGTAAGTTGGGCATTGTTCTTCCATGAGCAGCACAGTAAATTGTGGGTGTAGCGTGTATGTGCTGTCAGTGACTAGTTAGTTTGGTTCCGGGGGCCCTCTGACAAACTTTGAGCAGCAGAGAAGATTGACCAAATCCCATTACTACCAAATAGAACAAGTAGCCACTGCAAGTGATAGGATGCTAGAACGCTCAAAAGAAGGTAAATTATTTGACTCCCTAATATAGACATTTCAAAAATACCATATTGGGCATGCACGCAGTTATGACTGCAGGGCTGCAGCTGAAGTGAATATTCAGCTGCAGCAATGTTGTCTTCCCAAAAGGGCATATGGGATTATAATGCCCTTTTAGTTTTCCACTTCGTCAGTTTTCTGGCAGCCCTGAAACGCTCCAGTAAAAAGTCTAGCATACATACTCTTATGGTGCGTTGCTGTTGGCCCTATTCGGCCTTCTCTGAGCATTTTGGCTGCCATTATTGAACGTGAGTTTGGTAGAGTTTTCTTTCTCTTTCGCGCGTTGGTTTCGGGCTCTTCCTGACGGATGTGTCGGCCCAGAATCCTGTAATTGATCACCGCCAGGAATTCCAGGTTCTCCAGATTTTCCTGGCCTGGTCCGGATGACCCACGCCCTCAAAGAGCGCGGTCACCCATTCCAGGCATAGCTGTCGGGGCGTGGCTCGCCCCGGCTTTTCCTCTTGCTCTTGTAGAGCCTGTCAACGTCCTTCGATGGCATGGAAACAAGGTATGCAGCGCGACGTTTAGCCGTAGCTGACTTTTCAGCATTGAAAAAAAAAAAAAGTAAATTATCGTATCCGTTCCCGAAGGGAACTCACGTTCCCGAAGGGAACTCACGACGCGTTGAAGGCGCCTGATAAAACAATACCAATCTGATTGGCCGGCGAGAAAATTCCAAACCCTCCAGGTACTCGGCGATATACAGGTTACAGTATGAACAGTTACCACGATTCAAATGCTGATACACGACGAACGCAACTTGTCAGTGCACCGATCATCTGCCACCTGCTACCGTGAGGTCCACCTTCATACCCGGGTCACGACACACGTTCTTTGTTTCTGGTTTGTGCGTTGCTTTGCTTCTAGGTGCGTCATGCAGAGCATTTCACCGTCATCCTGCCAGAGAACGGGCGCAGTAAGTAGTGTGTATTGTGTGAGCTACATAAGCATTTGGTCCGGATATTGTAGCTCGTTTGCCTTGTGCAGCTCTTGGCTTGTATGACATGCCTATGGAAGTGATGCTGGGCCGCCAGCACACCAGATAAGGTTGTTTGTTTGTTTTTACTGCTGGGAGAAAGGAGCACATGCTTGCTTAAACAAATGAGTAGCAATGGGACGAAGCTTTCCCAGCTCAAAAGGAAGGTGTGAGTACATGTGTAGCATTTACTGCCAGCAATTCAAAACTTGTGATGGTGCAGGAGCTACGGCCGATGCCATTCAGAGAGGTGAAGGTATCCCAATGGATGCAGATACTCCGGTAAATCCAATGGTTTCGCTGCAAACTGTGTTTGTGACACTCCAACCCGTCTTGAATGCTACGTCCTTTTTTGCCCTTTCAGGTATCAAAGTCTGAGAAGTGCAGTACCTCATCTACACCAACATCAACAACGCCTCCCACTAAGGTAGTGGAGATTTATGTTTTCTTTTCCTTAGCTCCTGCAGTTGTTTCCATAGAAATGCGAAATGTATACCGTAGTGCCTTGTGTAAAAGCCTGTTTTGAACTAAAGCCTGATTTTCGAGATGCACCGTCGGCACATACGCCTGGTTTTAGTGTTGACATACATAGAAATACCTGTCTTGTATAGAAATCTGTCTCAAATAGAAGGCTACAAACTCCCCCCCCCCCCCGAAAAAAGTCTTATTAGCCACGGCTCTTAAACATGACTTTACGGTATATTTTGTAGGCAAACAGCGGTTCTTACAGAACTCAATAGTGTTGCGGAGTCCAGCTTATGACATGCTGTCAGCTCAGTGCATCTTCGTTTTCACAACGAGTCTGACCAAGGACTGTGTCATAGCTAGTGATCTATCTAGTGGCACCAGGCCGTCAACCAATACAGTCGACAATCGAGCGGATAACAATCTCACCTGTTCCTAGCTCAAGTGCAGTGCAGCAGAGGGTTGAAGGGAGAGTGATCAAAGAATGACGAAGATACTTGTTCTTTTCAAAGCATGGCTATTTATGTGATTGCTAGAGGTATAATTTGAGGTATGATTATGCATACATCGATAATAGTAATTATTAGTCAATACGTATTTGGCTCTGCGGATTCGGCGGCTCCATACGTCGTACCTTCTAGCTGTGCAAGTATTTCTACCTTCGTGACTTGAGTTGGCGGCAGCGTACCGCGGGTTGCCGTGGCGCATTCTAGCATCTTTGCCCTCAGGGCCCTTCCCTCTGTTGCAAAAGAAGGATCCACGAGCGGGATTCGAACCCAGCACCCCTGTCTTTCCGGGACAGTGCCCTACCGATTGGGCTACCGGGGATCACACACACTCATGGGTCCTTCTTGCTACACTGCTCCCCCGCCCCAACAGGCTGTGTCCTCACGCCGTACCTAGCTCGCGGGGGGTACGATGGGTCGTGGGTTCGAGCCATTGCCAGGCGCCAATGTTATCAATAGGGTTTTGTTAGGTTCACACCAGACCACCAGAGATACCAGTTTATTATAGTTGAGAGTCGTATATCTCACGGGACGAGGACAGATTGACACCAGCATTAGGGAAAGGATTCGACTACTGGCTAGATTATGGAAAGTTTGGTAATATTATGTGAACTACAATAAAATGTACGGTGCAATGCATGAGCGCGCCCATTTAGCTGGGCGCGCATTATTATGTGTATAGCCCGACTATGTACACTATAAAGGGATGTAATTAGATCAATTGTACGGTGGTTTTTATGTGCAGGGGCAGAAGGAGGGAAAACGGGCTACAAATGTGTATGGTACTAATTATTACATGCAGGGGCAGCGGGGAAATGGGTCATATATGGTTATGAAGTGTGTACGTACGAACTACTGCATGCCAGGGAGTCGTAAAATATTTCACGACTCCCTGCTGCATGCAGGGCTAGGGCCTAGGGGTAGGGGGTAATGGGTCAAATTATGGTTATGAAGTGTGTACAAACTACTGCATGCAGGGCTAGGGGTAGGGGGTAATGGAGTGCGTATGAACTACAGCATGCAGGGGTAGGGGGTAATGGAATGTGTACGAATTACTGCATGCAGGGGTAGGGGGTAATGGAGTGTGTATGAATTACTGTGTGCAGGGGTAGGGGGGGGGGGGGGGTAATGGAGTGTGTATGAATCATGCCGGGGTCGAGATCCAAATATGGGATGCGTATAACATTACCTCCCCCCGTGGGGAACAAAAATCGTGTCCCCACGATCTAGGAAAAAAAATTGATAAGGCCACACTTAGAAGGTGTGTGGTTCGACTAACATGGACATTTTTTTTACGGGCGGGCGGGCGGGCGGATTTTTTTTTTTAATATAGTTTTTAGTACATGTAAATACACTGTACTGCCTTTAGACACCCAGTACATCGGCATTATTACGCAGTGTTATGCCATACATGTTGTATAAAGGGATCACTGGCTAATACTTTGAAACATTGTGTAGCTCTGGAACGAGAAGAGAATAACTTCAAGCGGTGACTCTGACTGTCCAAATCATCAAGCAAATGAAGAACGATGCGAGTTGAAAGTAAGTTCGGGAACTACTTCGAAGTACAAATTGTACAATGTACCGGTACATGTATTGCTAGTTTGGTGTCGGCGTGCACGAATACATGGGCTTTTTCCATCGACGCTTCCTGTGCTTGCACACATGGAGCAGCAACTTACCGGTAGAGGTGAAATATCGTTCCCAATACACGAGGAAAGTGCAATCTCGTCTGTCCTTCATCCCAAAACAGAAGGCCGTCCTTAATCTGGAACGAGGCAATCACTCTCAACCGGACGGTCACTTCAAAATAAGTCTCGCCAGTCTGCCGGTGGTCGTATCGAGTAGACTCTACTACCAGCACAAGGCAGCAGTCGTACCACTCACTGCACTGCACTGCAGTACAACTACAAGTCAAGTCCAAAAGGAGCCGCCTGCGTCCGCAGACTCACGCTGCACAGCACGTAGACGTGGACGTGTTAAGTCCACGTACGTCAGTCACACGACAGCCCGCCGAAAAAAAGTTACGGTCGGGCTGAAAAATGTACGGTCGGTCGGGTGAGTCGAACCACAGACCTTCTTCAGTGTGGCCTAATACTAAGAATTAGGCATGCATTGTAACAAGCACACATATACGTACACGTACACCGCTACGCACATACAAGTCAAACATGCACTCATTCCGCAGATACCCACATGTGCAATTAATTATTCTAAATATACTACTCTACAGTGGATCCTACTCTGCATCGGACCAGTCGGCCTCCGAAACCAGTTCTGGGTCCTGGCTGAAGCGATCGAACCGGCCCGACGGGTTCGACGGTGGCGGTGGTGGTGGAGGTGTGGTCGGTGGGGGAGGAATCGCCCGGGGTCGGGCCCGCTGTTGGAGGCGAGCTGCGGCCCGTCGCCGAGACCTGGCGATGAAGGCGGGGGTTCGACGACGGCGGGTCTGGCGTGTGTTGCGGCATCGCTCAATCGTCCGGCGAGCATCCTCCGGTGGCATTAGTGGGCGTGGTGGTGTTGTGTGCCGGGGAGGGTGTTGTGGTTGCAGAATACAAAAAAACAAAGGAGTGACAGAGGGTACTACGACAGCGAGGACGAACACTCAGCTGGAGATTAATGCTTAAAAGATGACGGAGGGGACTTCTCTGGGTCGTGGGTTCGAGCCCCACGTTGGGCGCCAATGTTGCAAAAGAAGGATCCACGAGCGGGATTCAAACCCAGCACCCCTGTCTTTCCGGGACAGTGCCCTACCGATTAGGCTACCGGAGATCACACACACTCATGGGTCCTTCTTGCTACACCTCTTATCAATCATCGTATGTTGCAAAGCGGCAACGCCGTGTTCCCGCCAACGGGCCTGGGGTCTTCTGTCTACAGTATGTGCAGTACTGCAGACCCTTTGCGCCGTACGACGCGAGAAGAGGCGCCACTCTTGCTCAACTAACAAGGGTATCAGATCCCTTGCAGGACTAAGCGTGGTCCCCTCAAGCTCAACAGTGTAGTGAGTACGACGCTGACGACTTGTACTGAAGGTGTCGTCGATGTACGACACCACTTGGTGGCCCTCTGCCACGAGATGTAAGCCATGATTGCTCAACTAATGAAAGTGCCAAATCCCTCGCAGGACTAATCATGGTTCTAATGGAACTCTAGAATAATTTCGGAGTTCAGCTTTTGGTTTACTGAAGCTCAATGCATGGTCGCTTTTGCGACGAGTCCAATCCGGATCATGACACTAGCATTGCAAGCCATGCAGTGCTGCCAAATAATTTTCGCCCCAAATCTGACACCCTTACCGCTATACGGCTGGCCACATTTTTACTCTCACTTCTCAGCATTTTTTTTCAAGAAATTGAAAATTATCAGCCAAAATGGGAGGAAAATTTGCTTCGTTACCATGGTAACCGATATGGCGCCCGGACTTTGTCACGAATTTTGTAATGCATGAGTGTTCTGTATTCATTTCCAGCACCTGCATCATGATTGTTAAAAGCTCAAAAGTGAAAATACAGGACTTCTGCATTGGAAAGTACTGGCCCCTGACACTTTTGGCTGCTTTTCGGACGTGTCCTTTTTCGGACCGGTTTTCGGAACAGCCTTCAAAATCTGGACACTGTCCAAAAAATGGGACTGTTTGGCAGCACTGCACATGCCTGATCAGTCACATCAAGCTGAATTTTCAATCTATTTCGATTATTTTTTGTTATTCCTCTTCTGCAGAGTAAAAAGAAAAAGCTGAAGAAGAAATCCAAGAAGAAGAAAAAGAAAACTAAGGTACCTGTGTGGGGATGCCTGTGCTTTGACAGATTGTAATTCTCTAATGCAGGATTCTCTGACCTTTTCCTTGGAAGCCCACGTGAGAAGCATTCCTACTACTGGCCAGGCCGCAGAAGTTCTAGTACGCGATAGCTTGCTATGGCTGTTCTACACAACCTGTGTGCTACTATTTATGACGTGTGCTGAGCATTGTACACTTGTGGTGCATACCGGTAACAATCACTATAGATCCATACCATCCTGAGCTGTTTTGACATTAATTTTTAGTATTAATGATAGCTTGCATAGACCTCGGTCCTACCGGTAGGACCTACCGGTAGGACCATCATACACAGACATGCTGCATGGCCTCTGTTCTAACATTGACCTAAAACTTGACCCTAAACTGTTGCTCAGGGGCTAATGAAGGAGTCCACAAATTTTAGACGTGATCGCACAAGGCATAGTACGAAATTCCATGGTAACAGCAAATGGTAACCATGGAAACGGTGTATGGAATTATGCATTCCACTGCCTTGGCAGACTAATAAAAACATTAGTACCTCACCACGATTGATGTGCCAAGGTCAAAATTCACTTTGGACAGAGTTGCTAGCGCTCCGACAGGAGTATGTGCGGCCATTTTGACAATTGATAAAATTGCGCGTATGCAATGCACTGGACATAGTCTTGCATTTTGCGCCATTACTTTGCCTGACAAAGACCTCATCTCAACAATTTTTTCAAGAATTTTCTCAACCAAAAGCACTTTTGCAGCACGATTTCTTGGGTCCTACCGGTAGGACCCGTGGTCCTACCGGTAGGACGGCATGCAAGCTATCATTAAATTATTTTACCTTCTGGCTCATTTTTCTGCTGTCGTGTACTTTCTAGAAACTGCCAGCGGTCAGCTCCAAGCATCTGGTCATGACCTCACTGCAACTAAAGACCAATGAATTAGCCAAGTATGTACCTACTGTGTTCTGCTTTTCTGATGTTTTGTTATCACTGACGTATAAATTGTAGAGTGGCTGGTTGCACAGCCAGTGACATGTACATGACATAGATCATGGTCAGGACGAAGTTTTTATGGTATGTGGTGTGGCCACTTGGTCATGGTCAGGAACCACTTCGAAGTAGAGTTGAAGCCCCCCCCCCCCCTGAAGGTATGCTGCACCTACAAGATCACGGGAAGCAAATCGCTTCCTACACTGTTGGCCATTCATCATATTCTGTGCGAGCCATAAGCGTGAATATGACATTGTGTTGTTTATCCAGGTATGGATATGCATCTGCTAAGGTCAATGGCTCTCTCATGTTGCCCATATACATCCAGAAACCCATGACACGTGGAATGTGCTTGGGTAAGTGGTAGAATGTGGTCACGGCTGCATCTGTTTTAGATTACTTTAAGCGCAGTGTATATGGGCTGATGCCTGGGGGTTCGACACTAGCGCCAGTCGTTGCGCTTGTGGCACTCGGCTTGTATCTGTTGGGCAGTGCAACCCGTGCATTGTCGTCCTCGCCGTCGTGCGGGTGTGTGTGCACGTGTGCATGTGTGTGTGTGGGGGGGGGGGGGTGCGTGCGTGTGTGGGCGCGTGCGTGTGAGGGGAGATCGGGGATTAGAAATTAATTGTTTCCGCCCACGCCTTGTCATCTCTCCTTGCAGCTCCTCCACAAACGACCCAGCATTCACTGATGCTGTATAATCCTCAGAAGAAGCCTATTAATATTTCTCTATCGCTGGGTGCAACCAGTCCCAGGCAGTGTGCTGTCAGGCGCCTGGTTCTCGACGAATGCGGCTTCACTCTTATCCTGCCGTCCAACACCACCATGGAGCTGCATCTTAAGTAAGTAGAGTCATGTACATGCCTAGACATCATGGCCGGCTTACCAAAGGCATGGCTGGTATATTTAATTTAAAGAATAAGAATCATGAGTAGATTGTCAGTGCATTGGTTGAGTTGGTATTTGGGGTGAGTGGACTCTGACGAATGTCGACCATTATCAGCAGCCCTCGCAGGCGAATAGTATCAAGAGTACATAGCCCCCAAGAGCGTGCCACTGCAGCTATGGGGTCTGCGACGGCAGAACTTCACGTCACGTGACGGACGTGTACACATTATCTTCACCACTGTGCGTGATATCAAGAGCACATCAACTAGAGTGTGCAACTCAGGATGGTTCCTGTGGGAGCGTAATCCATGCAGTACGTCATTTTTGACGGCATGGTAAGTCACGTGTACGGTAAAAAAGTTGCGTAACCCGTCCCGGTGGTGCAGTTCACTGAGTTTGTGCTGATTTCGGGGGGTTTGATACGGACAGCCGGGTGAATTTATTTGACAGCGGATGTACGGAGCGTGCGCAGTCACACAGAAACACCGAAATCCTAAAACAGGACGTCTAGAATCATGCAAACGTGGCTGATTTCCGGGCTGTGAAGCACAACAATTTGAGCTGTACACGAGTCGCGGCTTGGCTGACCTCATCAAGGTGATGTAGTGCATGAACTGCGCTATTTCAGATGCGATGTGCGCAGTTGCACACTCTGGTTTATGTACTCTTGATGATAGGTGCTGGGTTGTTACCATTATCGCTTGATCCTGGTCACAGCACCAAATGTCCTGGTCCTGGATCACCGGCCATTTCTGTTCAGAGGAGAACACACACAGTAGAACGTGTTTTAGCATTATCGCTTGATCCTGGTCACAGCACCAAATGTCCTGGCCGGTGATCCATCTAGTGGCACCAGGCCATCAACCAATATAGTTTACTTCAAGCAGATAAGTAGCTCACCTGTTCTACGGCTCACACAAGACAGTCGAGGGTTGACGGGAGCGATTGAAGATTCTTAGTGCTGACTCGAAGGTGGAATGAGCGGCCCCCGCCTGCAAGGCCACCAACAAATCTTGCTGATGGCTGGTGTGTCTCGGCAGTGGTCGTGCCGAGGTGGTACGTCGATGATTGTCCGCCATTCTGTTCAAGAAGAGGACACACACATTTAAAATGTTACCATTATCGCTTGATCCTGGCCACAGCACCAAATGTCCTGGTCACAGTGTCCTGGCCGGTGATCCATCTAGTGGCACCAGGCTGTCAACCAATATAGTTGACTTCAAGCAGATACGTAGCTCGCCTGTTCTACGGCTCATACAACAGTGTAGACGAGGGTTGAAGGGAGCGATCGAAGATCTTTACTGTTGGAAAAGGCTGGCAATTTATATGATTGCTAGGATAGTTTTACATGATATAATTAGTTATGATCGAATAGAATATTAGTTAGTTGTACATTGGAATACAGCATTACAGGGAGCTCGCTCACCCAAGTGACATAATTAGATAGCAAGTTGCGGGATTCAGCTATGACTTCGTACGTCGGCCTTGCTGGGGTCGCGTAACATCGTTGCCGCCTTGATTCTTACCGCTCCTTCGCCCGCAGGCCCTTGCCGCTCATTCCCCGTAGGGTGCATGACGGCAATGCCGTGTTCCCGCCAACGGGTATGCGGTCTACAGTACGCGAAGTACTGTCGACCCTTTGCATCTTACGACACGAGAACAGGCGCCACTCTTGCTCAACTGAGTTGCCCACTCTTGGGCACTCTTGATAGCATGCATGTACATGTAACAATCCTGAATTCCTAGTTCAGCGTAGGATGTTACTGAATACACAACCTCTTTATGTTTGAATGCTTTCACAGCTAACTGTGTTAAAATACGCTACCACTAACGTTGCGGTTGGTCTTGTTCTTGTGGTTGTCACCGTTGTTGTCATTTTCCACCTGTAGGTACACTCCTAATTATAGCCAGCCAATCGATGCTCATGACATACATGTCCTGGATAAGGCGGGCGTACGCTCTACGTACAGAGTGTCCGCTGTCCTACCATACGAGGTGTCGACACAATGCAAGACCTTTAGAGATGCTAAGGAAAGCAAGGATCGAGAGGCAAAGGCAGATGTTGCAACAGATGCTATTCTCACTGATCTTCTGCATCAGACGCATATTATGGTGGCCATTGCTGTCGCACTTGTTCTTGTGGTAGCCGATCTGCTATCAAGGGGATCACTTCACACAGCGTGCTTCACAGTGCTCGCACATACCGCTCCCTTCAGGTTTTTCCACCGGCCGGCCAAGAAGAGGCCCAGGTACAAGCTTCCCAAGGTCAACCTGAGTGCGCAAGTGTCACGCGAGCCAAAGAGCAGCCCGGAGAGCGAACGGCCTGCCGGCGGTGAGCTTGGCATGCAACACACCAACAAGAACGAAGACCACCGGGCTGTAGCCAGCAAGGTTGCCAAAGTCAAACCCAGCGTGTCAACAAGAAAATCCCAGGACATTGCCACTGCAGTATTAGCAGCTGCACCTGCAAAGAAGTCCAGCAGTTCACGGTCATCTCACGGCAAGGGAAAGCAGCACAGTGTTGTATCGAGCGACAGCTCTGCAGCAGCCGCTAGATCAAGCCAGAGTTCCGCGGAAAAGTCCGAGGTTTCGTTCAGAAGGAAAGCGTCTCCGTCGAGAAAAGCTAGCTCATCATCAAGCAAAGTCCAAACAGCCATAGTTAATCCTGTATTTGTGGTGCAAGCCAACTTGCCAAGTAGCATGGACCCATCTGAGCCGCAACTTGTGGACACGGCCATGGAAGAGTTGTCGGCGGGTCTAGCAAGCGTTGCTTCCGAGGAGCCGTTCCCACTTAATTCTCTCTTTGTCTCTAGAGATAACAGTTTTGACTCCATGTACTCCCACACGGACACTCGTTCAAGTTTCGAAGAGGACGACATGGCATTCGGTGACTTGGATGATGGTGGCAATGGAGTCAATGATATGTTTTCCCTAGGTTTAGTTTCCCGTTCATCAAACACCTCTACTGATAGTGGATGCCCAGATGACTCGGATGTTGATCCACACAACTCCGAATGCGTAGACGAAAAACATGACGGGCTGCCTGGACAGAAGCAAATGCGCTCTAAATCGTGTTCACACAAAGACTCAAATCCGAAGTGGGACTCGTCTTCACGCCACGAGCTGGGAAAGTCGCTCTCATCACCATGTGCCTCTCAACCAGGTCCTCGGGCCTTCAGTGATTACAGTTTGTCAAAGATACCTGAATACCTGACCTCCCATGTTCTCTTGACAGCATCTAACCAAGACATGGGCGGTGAGCGAATGGACGGCACGTTTGAAGACCCATCATCAAACGAGCAACGGCTGACTCCTAAATTCATATCTGTGTGCGATGACGGTAAGTCTTTGTCTAATGCAGAATTGGCACCTTGTGTACTTGGCACGTACCTTCCTCAATCCATACTGCAATCGTAATTAATTACTCATCACGTGTGTGACTGCTAACTCTGTAGTATACTGAATATATCACACAGATCGAAAAAAAAACTAGATTATAGCTACAAGTATGTACTACTGAGCAGCTACATTGCAGCGCCGGAGTCCTGCAGCAATCTATCTAGTACATGTACTGGTATTCCTTCTCTTCTCCGGATACCTTGGGATCCTGGGCTCAATTCCTGGCCAGGTTTGTCTCAGCATGATCATGTGTATGCAGAGCTATGTCAGCTACTCGCATCATAACATCGGTCAGTGAGCACTGGGCCATTTTTGTAGCTTGTGTGCATGTTTCACAGTGTTTAACTTAGTTCTCCTACTCCCCTTCTTGTCTGTGCCCGTCTGTCATGTATGCGTATGTGGTTTGCGTGTGTGCCGCGGTGTGCACTGCGTTCTTGGCACAGATACCGACACCGCAGAGCTTGCCACCTATTTTGAGGAAAAACTGGACGTGGTGAGTGGTGTGTTGCACCGGCCAATCCAAAATTGTTATGACCTCCATCCCCCAGTGTTTACACTTGTACATTCAAGTGCAAGCGCGTAGCCCACATCATGAGGCACGGGGGGGGGGGGGGGGGGGAGCACAGGCAGGTATTTTATTGTGATGTTTAATAAAGTATTGACGTTTCGGGCCAGTCACTCATTGTATGCAGCGCATGCGCAGATTGTGAATAGCAACTGAATAGAGCGGTTGTCTGTCGACAAATCCCCTTCTCTTTCATATTGCAGTTGCATGATGTCCACAACTTTCTCAGTTCATTGTTTCAAGTTGACTGAAATTCTTTTCTGTGTATTGTGGTCATGTGTTGTATTCTCAGCAACATGATGAAAGCAGTAAGGCCTCCACACCATCTTCACCTGGCGCCATCCGAAGCGTTCGAGAGACTGTTGACATCGCGCTATCCAAGACTCTCGAGACGTTCGCCGTCCCACGCACACAATCGCCGCTACTCCAAACCCCTCCCACCACTGACAAGGCCACTGAAAAGGAAGAAGGGAAGAGGACAGCATGGAGTGACAGCTGTCAGCCAGAGCAAGAACTACACAAGCCACGGGGGCAGCAGCCAGAACCGACGGAACCGAAGCTGCCAGCACCGTCTCCACAGCCACCGAAGCCACTTCCAGTGCCTAAACCCAGGCCGCAGCCGCAGCACACAGCATGGCCACAACAGCAGGCAACAGCAGAGCGCGGGAAGGAGCCTCTTTTGAGGCGCGGCTCTGGGCCATTATGCCCAGCATGCCCATCATGCTCACCGACGGCTATAACTTCCAGAATGCTAGATGCTCACATTGCTGCTCGACGTCTATCAGCAATGCCAATGCCAATGGATATACCAATGTCCATGAAGTTGGCACAGCTGGCTGTGGATCCGTTCTCTGATGTTCAGGATGCACACATTAGCATGCTGCGAAGGCGTCCCACACTGCCTCCTGCTTGGCGACCTGACGGGATTGCAGCACGCTCACTTGTAAATGTTCAGTATGTACCCTGCTTACCCTTGCAGCACCAACCTCCAATGATACCTGCACCGGCGGTACCAAGATGGGTCGGCCATCCTCAAGCTGCAATGGCGGCGGCAGCAGCAGCAGCGGCGGCTGGACGCAGTGGCAGCATGCTGGATTTGCCTCGCGGACTTATCCCAGTACTTCCTTCATTCTCTGGTGGTGTTATGCCTGCAGTTGGAGTGCCTGGCATTCACTATCCAGCAATGCATGTTCCACTTGCTATGCACCCAGCTTACTGTAAACCTATGCATACTGCTCCATCAACCGCATCAACACCTGCTCCAGAGGCGAACAAAGTTGAAGCCAAAGCTGAAGCCAAAGCTGTCCCAGAGCAGAAAGCAAAGAGACCCGTGGACATTGTTCAGGAAAAGGTTGATAAGGTAAGGTGACTGTCTGTGCTTTGTACATGACTGCAGTTGCGCTGAAATACGGCCCAAAGTGAAACGCTGGCTCCCTAAACCAGTTGTCATTTCATTACTGCATGTCTACAAACATGCTACAGTGCTGCTCAATGAAATCCAGTCGCGGCACTCAAGTTTGCGCCTTGCACCATTCCGGCTGCGGCCAGCCCCAGTGTTCACATGTCTACAGTCCATTCATAAAAAGATGGGCCCTGGCTCTGGCGAGCTCCCGTATTTGGCGATTTTTCGTGATTTCATCGTACACAGTGCAGTGCTGCGGAATTTGAAATTTGAAAAAGGGTCCAAAAAGGGTACCTGAACTGGGGTTCGAACCGCACAATGCACTGTTGCAGGCGGGGTCAAACGACCTGAATTTTTATGGTTTTTCCCAATTCTTTTGGGGCAAAACCTGGCCGAAATCCTATTCTTGTTATGGCTTGCTTTTTGGACAGAAAAACTTCAGAAACATAATTGGAAGAGGACTCCATAGGGGATTGCAGAAAAAATTCTAAAAAAACTCACAGTTTGACCCATTTATGGCCAAAAGCTAGAAGTCCATCTTTTTCTGAATGGACTGTAGGGCTGCGTAAAGCCCAGCGCGTACTTGAGTGACTCGAATGAATTTCATTGAGCAGCACCGTACAATCATGTACATGTACGTCTATATCAGGGAGTAGTGAAATACCATATTTTTACTACTCCCTGGCCTATACTCAGCAGCACGTGTAGAACTTTCAGGGTGTCAGGGGGGGGGGGGGGGGCGTCCCTGTTGCAAGTCCGGTATGTCGAATGTGCACTTTGGGTCGCCGGGTTTCGCCAAGCACAACTGCAATGCTGACGTGCGTGTGCGTGGCACCTTTCACATACATACGCCTCGCATTACTATTCCATTGGACTGGTGCAGGGCAGGCATTCGAGGGATTAAGATGCACACCGCAGGACAAGATGTACATCGCACGAGTCAGGTGGATGAGCTTGGGGAGGGGGGCTTGAAACCCCCAAGGTCCAGGCACACAAGTCACGGCTGTCAACACACGTGTGTGAGGCCTCCCTCCCCTCCCGTATGGGTCGTCTAGCTGTGTGTCTTTGGCATTTTGTGGAGCATTTTTTTCCCGTATTGCGCACATGTTAAATACAGGGGTAAGCAGCAGCAGCATTCGGCCCTGTACAGATTTTTCATCATCCAGCACACGCTCTCCAGCCAACCTCGACACGTTGCCACAGCACACCATGACTGCGCTCTCCAGCCGACCTCGACACGTTCCCACAGCACACCACCAGCAAAGCGACACGTCCGTCGGTACTGAATTCCTTCATGCAGCTGTTTCGAGTACGAAACTCTCACTAGTGAAGTAGATATTGTGGAGCTGCTAAGAAGGAATTCAGTAGTCACGAGTACGGTTCGTTGTTGTTGAGAATGTGCAGAGCTTGAATGCTTGGTAGGCAAATATAGCCAGATTACGTAGATCGGGAGTTTGATGTGGACCTGTGGACACGGGTTGTACCATGTTATTTCTGTCAGATGCGCGTACGAACCCTGGACTTTTCGATCACCATTTTTCCTACGTCAGGGAGGTAAAGGTGGCAGTGTGAATAAAAGCGATCAATTGATTCTGAGAGGATCCAATGGATCGGGAGCGGGATGCGACCAAAGATCACAGCCCCAGACTGACTTTTCTGCATCAGCAGGAATGTCATCGCCGTCAAAGATATTTTTTATAGGCACACTGCATTGATCCGTTGGAAATTCGAGGAGTTCACTCAGCGTTCTCTTGTTACCGTAACTCTTATAGGTTGCAGTTCGTTGAAACCCTGTTGTCGTCACTATCACACCTTGTGTTTGACTTTTGTAGGCTATGGAGGAGATGCAGAACAATGCCAATAACATTGAGTCGGCCATGTTTCTCTGGTCCGAAGAAGACTGGTCTGAAGAGAAAGTGTTCCCGTCAAGTCTGGATTGTTTGCCTGGTGACTTAAATGCGGCTGGATTGTTCGTCAACGATACTGCCGACAAGGATGATGAAGACATCCCTGAGGTGGCTGATGATGACAGCCAAGAGTTTTATGATAGCCTCGCCAACGTCTCTCTGGATGATGGTGATGGCGATGACGATGATTTATTGCGCATGTGCTTTGACAGCATCAAGCCAACTGGCCGCTGATTTTTGGGTCCCTTTTTTATCACTTTCCCCGTCTTGATACGGATTTACTCACCTGGTAATGACTTGCACCACTGTCCTTTGTCCTGTCACTCTGTCTTCATTCAACGTCCTGGCTTTCTTGTTCTCTACCGCCTGCCTCCTCTGAGGTGCTTTGTCGTTGGTGTTGGCGTCTACCTGAGCATTTCCCCACCTGTTTTATACCCTGTGACGGTTGGTTGTTGCAGCCATGGCCGTCACAGGGGCTCCACCGTCACTTTTCAACCACCCAGACACGTGCACACCACTTGCCCAGTACTTTTTTTACTACTACATGTACTGCCAGGTTGGTGCGTCTCGTGCCGCTAGATGTGAATAGCTGCTGTGCTGAATTGCATTCAGTTCGTCCAGCTCGTTCTCATGTTCCTGCAGACCTTGAGTAGTTGGAACATGCCATACATGTTTAAAATTACATTCTCATGTCCCCCGTCCCGTCATAGAATTTAGAGTGCTGGGTGTATATGTATTGGACACATTAGCTTGACACCAGTGGCATATGCTTACTAGATTTTTGTGTGCTGCCACACGAGGCTGCTACGCCAAAGTTTTTCTCACTGCCACCTCTGGCATTTTAGTGGATGTTGTCAATGCTTTACTTGCTTTCATTTGATCACCGATCTGTATTGACACCATTTCAGTATTCATAGCCGTCCCTTTCTCTCAGGGCAAGCTCTGCTATCCTTTCGATTTGTTTCTGCACGTGTAGTTCTTTCACCTGGTTTCATCAGCATAGTGTGTTTATGCGTGCGTACTCTGATCTCTATCATCTTTGCATCTTTAGTTCTGCCTAGATCTATAGCAGTACATTCTAGTTCGCTGTGTTCTTCATCCCCTTCTAAAATTATCACCCCGATCGTGCAGTATAATATTATAGAGTAAGTTCGACCTTAGTTAGTAGCACAACAATCTCTAGCCGTTTAGAATCGTGCGCCTGTTCTAGTCGTGGTAGCATTGAAGCAGCACCAGCATTATATCAGTGTGCCACCATATCCTTATTCCTGCCAGTGGTGTTATTCCGTGCACTGCTCTATCATTTCCATTCATTTATAAGCAGAATGATCCTCTCATTTTTCTGACTTGCCTTTCAAAGACTCTGATCCCACTCTGTAAGTTGAGCTCCTCTCGTGCCTGATGACGTGTGATTGTCTCTGTCTGGGTACATGCGGTTGCGGTTGGTTGTGCGAATGCGAGTGCGCATGCGCATGGGAATGGTTGTGAGTGCATGCGCGTGTGTGTGTGTGTGTGTGTGTGTCTGTGTGTACGTATGGAAATGGTTGTGTATGCATGTGTGGTTGTGTGTGCATGTGTGTGTGCATGTGCGCATGTGTACGTGTGTGTCACGTGCATGTGTGTAGGTGTGTGTGGGTGGGTGTGTGTGTGGGTGAGTGGGTGCACATACAGGCGTGCAATGACACAAAGCATAATCACTGGTTTGAGGGAAAGACGCAAACGAGAAAAGTCTGAAGAAAAAGATTGACTGTCACCACCAGGACTCAAACCAGGGACCTTCGTTTGTAGCCAGCGATGCTCTAACCACTGAGCTATGGTGTACCAATTATTTGTTTGTTTGTATACTTTATTTGAATTCGCAAATCCAAACGAGCACAAATGCTCAATGACAATTACAGTGAAACCTCGTTAGAAAGAACACTGATAAGACAAATGTTTGTTAAGAAGAACTAATATTCGTAACTCCATTGGATAAATCACTGTGTATTCACTGGGTATAACATACGGATAAGAAGAACTCCCGTTATTGCAAACAAATATCATCGGTCCCTTGATGTTCGTCTTAAAGAGGTCATGAAAACCATGTACTCTGTAGGTTTGCTATGACAACAAAGTTGAACAAAGTGTTGTAGCAGACAAGTTGCCGGTGGATAGCATAATGCCAAGAGTAGATAAACAAGAGTGTGCAACTCCGGATCTCTCCTGCACAATCTGCAGAATTTTTTTTTTTTCACGGCGGAATTTTTTGTTTACGTCACCTTTTTTCAGAGAAACGCGGCTTTGCCGCAGAGCAGTGTGAGAGCACGTGCTGGGCACCGACCTTGTAGTGTAAAGCCCAGCCAAGTGCACGAGGGAAAACTCTCCAAAAGGCTCGCAGCGCGTGCGTCGTCGAAAAGATTACGTCAACAAAAAATTCCGCCGTGGGCCAACCCCACGGCTGTCACGATGGTCATGTACTCGGCCAAAAAATATGGCGTCCAAAAATTTGAAAATTCAAAAATCTCATCATCGATCTGTCATTGATTTGCTTGAAAATACTCTTTTTCTCTTGAGGAAACCTCCACTTTCCCCTTCCAATCGACCGGGTTTCATAGTACAAACACGCTTCATGACTTCCTCTCGCGATCCTCTTTCATCTGATACCCGTCTTGGCCGTCTTCTTCCAGGAACGATTCCTTCAGAGGTGCGTTTCCTTTGCCTTGACGACTTGCCCTTCGTCACTTCTATCAGCCCTTTTCACAGCTACCTTCTTCTCTTGTAAAAGTTTTCTCGTCTTCTTTGCCAGTTTTCCTGGTGCCTGGGTGACTTCATTTACCGATTTTTTGAATTTGTTTGTCTTTCCGTGCTACTAGATCGATTTCCGTGGCCATCGATTCTACCGTATCGCGTGCTAGTAGTAGTGTGTAAAATGGATGAACACAGTGCATTGCTGTCTACCTGCTGCAGTATTGGTGGCAAAAAGTTTGCCAACATGGCTGTGTCCACGAAATACAACGTGAAGGACTATGCCAGATCATTCAAGATGTGTACGAGGTCGACATTTCTCAGGATGACCCTGCGATCCACCCTACACACATTTGTCATGTATGCAAACGTGTGCTGGATCGTTGTCTGAGAGAAGGTTGCCTTGACTCATTTGTAGGGGATGGATGTGGAGCGATCAAAGTGTGGAAGCCACATCACCGCACATACTGCGACATATGCCACACTGCACCAAACAAGGGTGGACGTCCACCAAAAAAGCAGAAGCAACTTGCTTCAAAGCTTTCTGCTGTACAAAAAAGAAAAAAAGAAATGGATCACACAACAGTCCCACAACATTCATCCACAACAGCAATACCCCTATCACACTCTCCTGGACCCCAGACTGCACACAGTACTAGTGAAATGGATGTAGATGAAGGAAATGTTTTCACGCACGCAACACCGACATACAGCGCACAGAAGAAACTGGACAAGACTAGGTTCGTTCATTGCGCAGCAGGTTCCACAATACACAGCAAGGGAAGTGCCAATGAATAAGAAAGACGGCAGCATAGTGATGGCATGCATGGCGTACATGCCAAATCTCATTGACATCGTGATGATCTGATGATCTGGACTTGTACGACACATATGGGTGGCTGACCTGGCACGGAAATGTCATTCCGGAGTCCAAAATTCGGCTAAAACTTGGCGGTGACCGCCTCTGGAGCAAATCTTTCGCAAGCCAAGCACCACAACAATGCCATCCGCCCAGTTATCTTGCCAATTCCCGTCAGCAACGTTGTTATTCCGTCTTTTCATCTGGATCTCGGCATTTTCGCATGGCTGTATGACATCTACCTAGCTGAAGCCAAACAACTGGATGTGAAACTGGCAGCAGCAACTCTCTAGCCGTGTGCAGATGATCAGCTCCAGTTTCAAGAGCTAACAGTTCTCAGCGACAAAGTTCGGTCCGCCAGGCAAGCTATGGAAGATGCCCAGGCGAAGAGCGATGAACTACAGCAGCAGCTCCAATATGCAGTGCTCTTGCAGCAACACGCACCGACCAGCTTTCCCAACGTCAACATGGACACTGTAGCTGCAGCAATACAGCAACTGTGGAAAGACGCCAGCGACGCCTTCACTGCTGCAAGTGCTGAGCACAGCAAACTCGTACATGACTTAGACGAGATGAGAAAGAACAAGAAAGTCACAGGACCATGCGCGTCAAGTCTCGAGTCTGTGCTCGAAACACACAATGTTGATCGGCAAGCCTTCCATGGCGGTGCCTTCGTGGGCAACCATGTACATCGCACACTGCAGCCTGCCGTACTAAGAGCACTGATGTCTGCTCCAGTTGAGGTGGTTTCCACTCGTTGCCAGCAGCTCGTTGCTGATGCAGAAATCTTGCAGCAGCGGTACCATGGATTGTTTTCGGGATATGCCGACTGCAGCCACCGTTTCAGCCATTGCAACAGCATGTCAGAGGCCGACATCTCAAAGCTGGCTGACTGCATCCAGCTGTTTCTTCAGAAATGCAGAGAATCCATTATCACCCGGCAGCTCGGCAACATAACTCCGAAACTACATCTCTTGGAGGAGCGCACAGTCCCGTTCACCAGGAAATTTGGAGTCGGTCAGGGTCGACTCGCCGAGCAGGGCAGCGAGTCAATTCATGCCAGATTCAACAGGCTGAGCTTCGATTATAACGCTATTCCTGGGACTCTGCAGCGCCTCACAGCAATGTGCCAGCAACATCTCGTCGGGACATTGCCACAACATGACGCTGTTCGTCCCGCCACGGCATCAAGAAAACGCAAGGCGTCCGAGCTCGAGCAGTGATCCTCAGGCCCTGGACGCAGCAGCTTGGCCATTTCAGCCCTGATCCAGGTAAGAAAAATAACAACGGTACTGCTGACTCCTAGTTGAGCTCTGTAGTGACAACAGGAAGAGACGTCGTCCAGCAAAAACCTGCTGTCTACCTTCTCCTTCCTTCTCTTTCCTTGTTTGTTGTTGTCGAAGCTGAACAATTTTTGTTGTGCGACTTCGAAAGTTTGAATCCTTGCCCCGATCGCGGTGTTTGTTACCTTGACAAAGCACAGTTTTCGCGTGAATCCCACAGGATCTTGAAATCTTTTTCAGTTTTCAGAATATTTTTGAATTTCACCGTAAACCTGGGCGAAGGCCGCCATATTGTTAAGTGGTGGCCGCGAAACAGCCGTGACCCATCCGCGAGTTGCACACTCTTGTTTATCTACTCTTGATAATGCTGATCAAGGAGTTCTACCAGGGAGTAGTATAGTGGTATGTTACTACTCTCTGGTTCTACCAAAAGTACATAATCCCCAAGAGTGCAACTCCTGCATGCAGACTGCAGTGAGTGTAGTCCTAACAGAATTTCCGAGTTATGGCCAGTGGCCCAGTGCCCGGATGAAGAGAGATACATGTACGAGTGTAATAGTACCGGTACTGCACGTACTGCACAGACTGCACAGTACTGGGTGTCGACGCATCATATCACACATAGAAGAACCTTGACTACCGGTCACAGTGCTCGATACACAGCTTGCAGAGCATAGTGCACACGAATTTTCCACCATAACACCATAATTATGATGCAGCACATGAATTCTGTCGGGACAGCACCCATACACACCAGAGTCGTCGAAAAGCAGTTAACGAATTCCAAAGCACACGAATTTTCGCGTGTCATATCACACATATGTAGTAATGTACATGATTGTTTCCTTGCACTAGTTTGTACAGGATCAAATGGGGATTTTCCACCATAACACCATAATTATGATGCAGCACATGAATTCTGTCGGGACAGCACCCATACACACCAGAGTCGTCGAAAAGCAGTTAACGAATTCCAAAGAGAAGCACCCTGCAGCGCAGGCTGCCTCCCCGGAGGTACTCTTGCAGGGTGCCCGGGAGAACGTCCACCCAATCCGATTCGACTCGCTCACGTCCTCACTATTGCGAGACACGGCGCTGCATTGCGAGGGCTCGGCTGGACCGTCTGGTCTTGATTCGGCTTGTTGGCGAAGGATGTGCTCTTCATTTAAAGGCGCATCGACAAATATGTGCAGTGCATTGTCTGGACTCGCGCACCTCCTTGCGAGTTCCAACGTTGCACCCTCTGGCCTGGTACCCTTTCTCGCGTGCCGACTTGTGGCTCTGGACAAGAAGCCTGGTGTGCGCCCAATCGGTGTTGGGGAAGTCCTGCGCCGCATCATTACCAGAGCGATATTGAAAGTTGTTAACCAAGATGTTCAAGAAGCGTGCGGTTTCATACAGAAATGCTCGGGTCTTCCTGCGGGCATCGAAGCTGCTGTTCATGCCATGCAACGCCTTTATGATGATGAGTCTTGCGAGGCTGTTCTTTTGGTAGACGTACGTAATGCCTTCAACTGCTTGAACAGACAAGCAGCTTTGCACAATGTACAATACCTGTGTCCACCTATTGCGACAATACTGAAAAATTCGTATAACACCCCGGCTCGACTCTTTGTTGCAGGTGGTGGTGAGATTTCGTCCGACGAGGGCACTACGCAAGGTGACCCGTTGTCCATGGTCTTCTACGCTTTAGCGACGCTCCCTCTAGTCCAGGCACTGCAGGTTGTGCATCCTACCGTACGGCAAACGTGGTATGCAGATGATTCTGGTGCGGGTGGGCAGTTGACTCGTCTCCGTGGATGGTGGGACAGCGTTGAGGAACAAGGCAAGCTGTACGGATACAACACCAACCCGGAGAAAACGCTTCTTCTCGTGAAGCCCGAGCAGGAGGAGGAAGCCTACAATATGTTTGCTGGTACTGGCATACGTATCGTGACCGGCGCCACGAAATACCTAGCCCTAGGCTCCTACATTGGCGAGTCTGATGTGTTGCCGAGCATGTGCGGCGGCGAGTAGGCGAGTGGATTGCGGAACTAAAGGCACTATCGGATGTTGCGCGCACGGAGCCGCATGCAGCCTATGCTGCCCTGACACACGGTCTTCGCGGCCGGTGGACCTACCTCCTCAGAACAGTACCTTTTCCAGCCGATTGCCTCTCTCAGATGGATGACATGATGCGCACGGTATTGATACCTGCGGTAACTGGCAGGGAGGCATTTTCGGACAACGAATGGGCTGTTCTTCAGCTTCCCACACGCCTGGGTGGCTTTGCTGTGCCATCCCTGTCTCAAATGGCTAATGGGGCTCTGGAGACGTCGAGGAAAATCACATCAGATCAAACGCTGGAGATACTCGACCAGAATGACCGGTCCAGGCCCTCGATATCGATAGAGCATGATGCAATTCATTCAGCCCAGCGAGCCAAGTCAGCAGCTCTGGCGGAACGGCTAAAACATGACGAACAGCGGTATATGAGCGCCAAGGAAACACTTACTCTGCTTGCCGCCCGCCAGTTGGAACACCTTTCGGCCAAGGGTGTATCGAGCTGGCTCCACACCCTTCCGCTGCGTGAGCACGGCTTCAGTCTGTCCAAGTGCGACTTCCGCGATGCCATTGCGCTGAGGTACGGGATGGCCTCTGAGGGATGTCCCGGAGAAATGCGTGTGTGGCCAGGATTTCACCGCGGCTCATGCGATGTGCTGCCCAACCGGGGGCTTCCCTACCATTAGACATAATGAGGTACGAGACATGATTGCGGACTTAGTCACGGAGGTGTGCCCTGACGTGTCTGTGGAGCCATTGCTCGCGCCGCTGGAGGGCGAAGTCTTCAGAGCTGCCAGCACCAACACGGCACATAATGCCCGATCTGACGTCCGCATACGTGGGTTTTGGACAAGGGCACAGAACACTTTCCTTGACATTCGAGTCTTTCATCCTGACGCCGCCTCGTACGCAAAGAAGCCCATCGCTGACCTCCTTCTCCAGCACGAGAGGCAGAAGAAGCTGCAGTATAGCGAAAACCAACCAAAGCAACAACTCGCGGAGCAACCAAAGAACAACTAAACTGAAAAGAAGAACCACATGGTTCAAAACCGGTACGCTTTCCAACGGCCGAAGAGAGTTGGAAAGCTTGTGTCTTTGTGGATAACTCGAAACAATTTGCGCTAAGACGCTGCAAAATCGCTCCGATTTTGGATTTCATTCCACAGAATGTGGTACCGACAAGATGCGGTCCTTGACCGCATTTCCGTCACTTCGCAGTGGCCTTTCTTCCGTTTAGTTTGTTCCCGCCCTCCCACCCCGGACTGAAGGGTGTTTATAGACATTGTGTTGATGTGTGTGTTTTTGCCTAGGACAGTTACGACTGCGGTGTTTTTCTTTGTTGGTCTTTTAGAAAAACTTTAGGGGTGGTGTGCGCGTCGTGGGCTGTTGTATGGTTACATTCAGCTTCAGAGGTTATTGACAGGGGATGAATTGGCATGGGGCAGAATGCAAGATTGAATTGCAAGATTGAATTGAAGGGTTGGGATTTTCAGGGGTCATCAAGGCATTGTGTTAACTGAAGCTGGATGATGACCTGTGTGGTGTGCCGGTGTGAAGATGATGTGCAAGGGTGTTCTCTTGCGTTTCTGAGGTGTGCGCTTTTACATTTCCCTATCGTTATGCCGTTGTTGGCGTGTTGTGTGCTGTGTAATTATCAGCATTTTTGATTGACTGCTGTGTCGATCGTTGATATATTTTTGTAAATGTACAAATAATTATAGGAAAGAAAAAAAAGAAAAAAAAGAAAAAAGAAAAAAAAGGAAAAAATTCTAAATAAAGGCCATTGCCGAGCCACCGTGCTCTCAGCAGAGACTTCTGTGTGTTGGTGTTGTGAGAGTGTACCACAAAGACAATACACAAACCCGCGCGGCCCGTATCGCGTATGCCAGCGACACGTGCATGAAAGCAAGTACATGTACAGAATGCAGAAAAGTAGGAAAAGTGCGTAGCGTTCACACCTGTATGCTAACCCGCACTACAACTCGCGTACTATACAAGGGACTAGTACCGCGCAGTAGGCACGCATTCAAATAAGCTGTAGACATGCACTGCATAATCTCCAAGTCCTCGTACAAACTGTGCAGTGCTGCATAGGTACAAATAAATATAATATCAAACAAATATCAATGTGTAGATCAGCGACAATGTGAGTGTCTAATACGACAGCAGCAATGCTCTAACATGTCAGGCTACTCATATAATACCACTTTGTGGCTATCACACAGCGACATAGCAAGATATCGACAAGTCTACCCAGGAGATAAGAAGAGCCCGCACAAAATACCAAAAAGCAAAACTACAGATGGCAAGCGCACAGCGCAAACACTAAACAGATAAAAAAAACTTAAAAAAAGGCCCATGATTGTTGATATGATTTGTAGTGTGTGACTTGCAAGGAAGGGATGCAGAGGTCTAAATCTTCTGTTGCTTTAGAAGTTATCCTTAGTACAGATACACTGCATGCTGAAATCCATGCTTCAAGTTATTACATACATAATTTATATGATACGGGAAGAAAGCGAGGCAAAACACACACGCAGCAGGCCAGAAGGAAAGGGTTGCAACAATAAGACCGTAGGGGTGTTGGTCAAGACTGGAGTGTGAGAATCAAGAGTGCGCGTGAAAATACTACTTGATTGCCAAACACGGAGCTGCTCAGTGACGCCACCGTCTATGGACAACTACATGTACATACCGGAAGTTAAAGCTACCATAGTTTCTTGAACGCCGACTTACGCCCTTGCGAAAGCACAGCACATCTTCAGCTCCATGATCCCTCCATATGATTACTATGTCACGTACATGTCTTCGGATGTCGTGTGGGAAAGGCTGTACGTGTCCGCCCACAAAGCACACCACTGCAGCCAACAGTGCAGTGCTATTGATCAAGACTGAATGCCGATCGCAACTACTAGTAGTACATGTACTGGTAGCGATGGTAAGTGTACATCAGCGGACACGAGTAGAACTGAGCTGCTGCAGTAGCGAGGCGGTTTCTTGGCACAGCGAGTCCAGAACGCCGTCGGCCAAAGAGCACTTGACCGCGGCCTCGTCGCAACTGTAGTCGGTCCACTGGTGCTCTTCTTCCATCATCTCGGCAGCCGCCAGAGCCTCGACACTGCTGGCTGCGTGGTACACCATCGGTGATTGACGCCACAGTGAAACACGGCGGCGACCGCCAGAGCCCTGCACCTGTTTGACCTGTTTGACAACAGGACAATGACAATGCAGGAAAGAGACCGCACATGTCAACCACCCACACAGCAACATAATTATTCACCATCAAAATGTTTCCTCCCACATCGCCATGAGCAAGAAAGCAGCGTACCCTACTTTCCGGAGTATAAGCCGCACCCAGATGTTTTTGTCACAAAATACAAAACATCTACACTATTTATAACTGTTAATTTGACCATGGTAGTAGAAGCCACAGCACCGACTTGTTGGGGTAGATTACTGCGGGTGTTTAAAGTGTGGCCCGGTATACTCGGGAAAATATGATGCATGTACACTTGAAACTCACTTCACCGAACCTTGGCAGTCCAGAATCTCACTTATCCAGACTAGAACTTTAGCGAGTTTCAATCCAGGTTTACAGCCAGCCAGGTCAACCTCAGTCTTACCCCAATGTAGAGGTTATGCGAATGATGCCGTGGAGGCGAGTCAGTGGAGCCGCTTATGGGTGCTACTGTATGCAACATGATAACTACTTTCAGTTATAAAGAACTTATTCTCAATGCACACTGGAGTTCACTATACTTACTCTCAATGCACACTGGAGTTCACTATACTTATTCTCAATGCACACTGGAGTTCACTATACTTACTCTCAATGCACACTGGAGTTCACTATACTTACTCTCAATGCACACTGGAGTTCACTATACTTATTCTCAATGCACACTGGAGTTCACTATACTTATCAGGAGTCGAGTGGTACAGTAACACCTGGCTCAAGCGACCACCCCACGGTGCAAGCAAAAGCGGTCGTTAAAGCCAGGTGGTCTTTAGAACCAGGTCCTACAGTGTCTGTGTAGAACTGTCTGTGTAGAACTGTCCGTGCGTGGAAAAACGGTGGTTAAGAGCAGGTGGTCGCTAAACCCAGAGGTCACTTACACCAGGTTTTACTGTAGATGCTTTTAATGTGTAATACCAAGAGCTAGACAGACTAGCGTGTTGACTCCGCTCAGCCTCTGAGTGTGCGGTCTCACCTACTGTATAGCAGCAACACTTGCACATAGCATTTCAAGACGTCAGTCACAGTGACTATCAAGGCTTCTACTCATACGTGACTCTACCCGACAAGACACACCACGCATATGTGACTCTACCCGACAAGACACACCACGCATACGTGACTCTACCCGACAGGACACACTATGCAGGTTATGTACAGTTGCGCTCGGTGAAATCCGACCCAAAGTGCATATTTGGCGCCCTCGACTTGCACGGCCCTTGGTGCCCTGCAAGTGGTACGAATGCGGCTGGATGTACACATGTACAAATAAAATGATGTAATCGGAACTGGTCCAGGGTGCCAGCTTTGCACTTTAGGTGGGATTCCACCAAGCGTAACTGTACTACAGTACACGGCATGTACGAGTAATTTCCAGTGTATTCCTTAGATTAACATACCTTGGACATAAGCACGTCATTGCAGTGTCTTGCAATGATGTCACAGCATTGTGATGGACTGTTGCCGGGTCTGGGCGGAAGTCGATATGATCCCAGGCGACGGCTGACAAACTGACACGGCCGATTCCATGGCTCGTGGCCGGAAGACCGCCCTGTGTGCAATGTGTGCGGGCGCTGCTTGACTTCATTCCACGTGCTTTGCACCATGGAGAAGACTAGCTCTTGGAAATACCTGGACTCTGGTGTAGCTGCACCGCCGTTGCCGCCGCTGCTGCTGCTGCCGGAGAAAGAGGCGGCTCCAGAGACAATCCAGTCTTCAAATTCAGCACGGTCCCGAGCAACAATGAACTGAGCTGCACTTTGACAGAGAGGCTTCGAATTGGCACAAACACCAGCGGAAAAAACAGCCAGTTCCTCTTGACCTGCTTCTAGACCAGCATCATTGGCAAAGTTGAGATGATGAACCACAGCAGGCTCACCAGTGCCTGCGGCTGGAGATTTCTTGCTCGAGGCAGCAGCAGCAGCAGTTGGAAAAGCATCCCAGACCAGGGACTCGCGCGGCGGTGATGGAGAAGGTGAACGCAGTGACAGCGTGGGCGATACACATGGGCTTGTAAGAGGCAATGGTGATAAGCATTTCTCGTGGCCAGTGTTAGATGGCGAAGGAGGAGACTGTGGCGATACTGGAGACGTTGGTGCTGCCTGTTGCTTGTGCTGATGTTGTGCTGGTGACTTGATCACAACTGTTGATGCCGCTGATGCAACACTAGTAGGCCTATCGTCATTGGCGGTTGGTGATGCTGAAGTATTGGCTGTGTGGGGACCTGCACTGTTACCAGCAGTTGACAACGAGGCATGCACTGGCTGTATACTGTCCCTCACATCAACTACGTGTACGCCACCACTGCGTACGACCTGCGCATCAGACATGGCCGTGCCCATCAGGTCTGCAAGCAAAGACTCGGCTATAGCGTTGACCTGCTGCTGTCTTCGCAGTTCCGCCACGTTGACTGCCATGTTGACTGACTGCTGCTGCTGGCTACGCTGCTGCTGCTCTTGACCATGGCCGTCGACGACAGACCTGCTAGACGCAGCAGCACTGCCCAAAGGCTCAAGGCGAGATGACAGCAGCTCATCGAACATGGCGGCGTGGGTGGGAGTGACGTGCGGCGAGAGTGGGGACAAAGGCGTGCCGTGCTGGCTTGCAATAACACCCACTGAAGCCACGGCATCGGCGAGTAGCAGGTCGGAGAGCTCGGCTATGAGTGAGTCAACCTGTGCTGCTGATGGCGAGGCAAGTGCCTGCTGCACGCTTGTAACAGCTGTTGGCACGGTGGGACTAAGCAAGAGATCATCCGCAGGCTCCTGTGACTGCAAGAATCCGGACACTGGTGCCTGGGGTCGCTGTGGTGGTGGAGAAAGAGCCCTGTACTCGTTCGGAGAGGCTAGGGGACTTGCGGCTGGACTGCCCGTCTGGGTTTTGAGCTCTACTGTCCCCGCCTGATGGGGCAGTAGTGCCAGTTCCGACGAGCCGTCAGCAGTGTTAGCAAGTTCATTATGATGCACCTGCTGGCTAGGCACATCAAGTACTGTTGGTGAAGCCACTCGGTGGCTGCTTTTCGGAGCAGTGTCCTCTGAACTGCTCGCACTGACAATATCGTGTGAAGACACAGACAAATCATCACGCGGGATAACGGCATCCGGAATCGATTCTGGAAACTGGCCAGCCACCTCTTCTCTGGACAGTTGCTCATTGCTCACGCTAATGGCTGACTGAGTAGCCTCCACAGTGCCATGTTCAGACAACTGTGATCGCACACTGTCGATATCATACTCAATATGTTCTTCCTGCTCTTGCCGTAGGTTGTCATGAGTACCCAGCACATCACGAGGGTAACGGAGTTCATCAAAAGCTGAAGCTAACTGAGCATCAGCTACCAGCTGTGACTGGCCAGGCGACACATCACCATCGGTACGACTGGAGCTGGAATGTGCCGTGTGGTCATCCTGGATATCACCTCTGCTAGAGTGAGCAGCACTAGATGCGGACGGTGGCCGCGACGACACCAGGGACTCTGACGGAGACGTTACTTCAGATGCAGCGGTGTTGATTGACGCTGACGAGTCTTGTCTAGTCGTACTGCTGAAAGAGTGGCTGGAAGATTGGTCAGATCGCTGCATTTGACTGCTATGATGGGAATGCAGACCAGCATCATCAGAGAGAGAACCGGAACGAGATGAATGGCTCGAGTGAGATGTTGACGAGATGGACCCAATCGAGCGGTCGTGCGTTGACTGTTGAGACGGCAAGCTTTCGGTAATGCTCCTGCTACTGCTGCTGTCATGGCGTGTGGCAGTCCTGGACTTATCACTGGCTGTAGAAGAAGTAAATGCTTGTTCTGATCTAGACGCTTGGTGTCTGAGTGAGACAGAGCTGCTGCTGCTGCTGCATGCTGTATGCACGTCTTCATCACCAATCAAAGTCGACGATGATTTGGGACGTCCTATAGCTGCAGCCAGTCGACTAGCAGAGCCCGTGCTGGCAAAGCTGTGCGCACTTGCTTCTTCACTGCCACTGCTGCACACTTCAGCATCACTAGCAGTGACACTACCGCCTGCTTGATGATCAAACTGCTCATCGTCAACAGCTGTTGCACTGGCGCCAGCAATGGCTGACGATATGGGAGTATAGTCATCAACAAACGTGTTGTCGTAGGTCGAAGTAGCTACGCCCTGCCGCTCAGATGCTACAGAGGTCAGTGTACTGCCGCTCGATTCTGTTGCAGATGCTGTTTTCAAGCTGCTCAGCGAGTGCTCAGAGGTCAAGTCACCTGCAGAGACGAGTTTGTCCTGCAGAGAGATGGTTTCAGACATGGCAGAGGACACAGATGAAGATGGTCTTACGGGAGGTGCGTCGAGTGGAGAGGACACGGAGGACAATGGAGACTTCTTGGCGGAGGCAGAAACCACTACAGTGTCCAGCTGTGATCTGATGGCATCACGAGACTGTTGTTGCTGCTGCTGCTGCTGCTGGTGTACATTCGAGGGGGCACTGTCTGGTTTAGCCTGTACAGGGCTCTCATCTATGGACAGGGAGGATGAAGACGGATAGGATGAAAGAGACACAGGACGAGCTAACTCGGCACGGCGACTCTCGATAGTGGCCTCGAGATCCTGTGCATTGCAAGAAACACCCACCCACATACACACGCACACACACGCACACGCGCATACACACACACACACACACACACACACACACACACACACACAAAGAGACACACAGATGCACACATGGGCAAAAGAACAACCAGTGACAGTTTCAGCGGCAGTGACTGGGTGCTTCTGTCATGCAGTACAGAGACCAGTGAATTCAAGTGCACAACTCTCATGGCACGGACCTGACTTGTGCGGCAACTGTCGTGCACTGGTGAGTGAGCTCATAGATGGCCTGGCTGCACAGAAAAGTTAGCTTCCCTGGGCAGTACTCAAGCTAATCAAGCCCTCAATAACACCGTAACCAGGAAGGCACCCACGCGTCGGCACTATGGTGGGAGCAAGTCTCAGGACTTAAGAAACTGCAGCTGCTATACTACAAAAGACTGAAGGTCAACAGCACCTCCCCGAGGTAAGAATGCCCGGCAAACGTTTCATGCAACTTTCAATCAATTCAAGCACTCGCAGTTCACAATGAATCAGTGGTGTAATGGGAGAGATTCTAATTTGCATAGTATAGTGTATAGACTCTATTGAGTGTGAGAGGGACATTCTAATTCATTGGTGAAGTGGTCCCACTATAGGTAGGCACATGGAATTTTCAATGGTTTGTGCTCATAGGTCATTGCTGAAATGGGACTATCACCGAGCTCTTCGCTGGAAGTGAGGACAAGATGCAAAGATTCCGCCCTGAAAAGGCGGCGTGAGAGAGCAGCAACTACGTCTGGCAAGCTTTTAGGAGGCGACTTTCACGTTCTAAGAGGTCTGGTCAGCGGTCGTCCTCTGAAATTCGCGAAGGGGTGTCCTACAGCTCTGCTTGCACACTGGTATCTTGCAACTTGGACACGGAAGAGGTCCCGCCACCCATCACTCGTCCAGAGCTGCAACCAATAGTGAGCCATCCAGACAGAGTTGCGGTGTACTTTGACTTGGCGACGACTGGTTTGAGCCGCATATCTCACCTTACCCAGATAACTGAAACATGAGACAGTAGTCATGTACATGCCAATTTGTACTGTTCTGCAATGGGTATTGTTCCTGAAATCACCAATTTCCATTTTCGTCGAAAAAAGATCGAAAAAAACCAAACAACCAACCTCTAGCTTGGTCTTGAGCTGTAGTTCTTTTTGACGCAGCTGCTGTCGCCGCTGCTCTCGTCTCTGCCGCTCCAGGTTCCGGGCTTCCTGACGACGCATGTGCAGCTGTTTGCGAAGCGCCGTGATCCTTGCCTCTACATCACTCTGCTCGGATTCTGAACATGGGCGATGGCCGAAACAGAGTACACATACACGTGCATGTACATCGGATGAGAGTGCCCATCTCCTACCGTCTCCTACTGTAGGATAGCAACATTCTATTACAGGTCAGGTCCAATCAGGGAAGAGTAGAAGTACTTCCTCCGTATACAAAAACTTCGTGACTTTTTTTTTAAAGCTGCGCACAGCTCTGGAATTGTTCCGTTTGACTCAGAATAATACTCGTGGCATTGTCTAGCCTGTTTACAAGCTACAGGGATCAATTTATCCGGGTTCGCATCGCAGTTTGCTAATCAAAATTCACAGGCTGCGATTCGCTTTTCGTTTTTTATCGCCCAAAACTGCGATGCACTGGCCATGCGTACCGGTATGTACAAAGACCATTCTGTACTGTTTGTGTGCAGTTTGCATGCAACTGTTGTACACACTGCTGACTAGAGAGTAGTATTTTACTACTCCAACCAACTGGCCTGTCCTGCTCAGGCCGCGCGGGTCGCGGATCGCACTCTGTTTGATTTTGGACACTGCACTAGCCACTGCTATAGCACTGGTCGACCGGTCGTACAAGACTGCACAGGCTGCAGTCTTTTGAAGTTTTGCACACGGCGGCGACTTTCCCTGAAGTTCTCCTTTCTTCTTTCACTGTCCAGCTCAATTCAGTTTGTTTCTGTTCGACAAGGCACAGTTGAAATAGATGGTTCTTAGTCTCATGTAGCCAACATGTCAGTGAATCTGATCACTGTCCAGGAGCGGGGAAAAGAAACAGGACTCACCAGGAGTGTCGATTCGTTTCGATGAAGAAAAGGAGAAAAGCGAAAATTCTGTGCGCTTTGAACGAAGTGTCACGATCGTTTGAGCGCTTTCCTGAGCTTTCTTTGTGGAAGGAATCAGTGGAACTGCTCTGTCGAAGGACATTGTGTTGTGAAGAAGTCGGATGGACGCTGAACATGTAACAAGCCCAAGCGAAAACCCTAACGTAAAATATTCAGGTCAACCGTTCGTTTGGAAAAGCAAATAGCAACTGCAGCTATTGTCCTCTTCTGTACAAAATTCTGCTATTGTACAGATATACATGAAAACTTTCGATGAAGGAAAACTGCTTATCAATACTGGGAGTTGCTAGTCAATTGTAAAACTGTGTAGCAGTGACTGCTATGCAAAAAAATCAAAGTAAATCGATCCCTGAAGCTATTTACAAAGAAAAAAGCAACTCAGACGAATGAGTTTTTTCAGAGTCTTCGTCGCTCATGTCATTGTCACCTGACGACGCTGACTCCACATCGCCAACAGTCGCTACTTCCGCTCGCATTTCGTTCAGATTCTTGTCACCTGCAGTGATGATCCGACGCTGGACTTTGGCTACGTCCTCTTCATCTCTAGAGCTGTGTACGAATCGGTGTCGACTATATTCAGTCGGTCCAACCCGCGACCTCCATTATGCCGTGAAACGAGTCGTACAAGCACATCCACACGCGTCGCATTTTCTCGCCAGGATAATCCTCCCAAGCATTCTACAATGGCTTCGAGGAGGTCCCTGCGATTCCCCTTGGCGACGAAGGAGACGTCTGACTGGAGAGAGGCGAAGAAAGCCAGGCCATCAACATTCTGATCCTGAGTCTGCGCTGGTTGCACGACGACTGAAATGTTTCATCTTGCTGTGCGAGCGAAACAAATCTATGTTCTCACGCTACGTAGATCTATGGGGGCGCGCACCGCAAGTACGAGCCTGGCCAGTTTCAGGGTAGCGAGTGCCGCGTGACTCCGTGTTCCAGCCACGAGCTAAACTTCGTCACTGTGTCAGTTTCGAGCAAGTAAGTGTTAGTTTTTTTTCATTTGACTCTTGAGTTTCTGTCGGCAACGTCCTCACACGCACGGCGTCCGTGGAGAATCTGTTCGGGATCAACCAAACTAACCTCGACATGAACGTGGGTTGTCGATGACAGCCTTTGGCGCCGTTCGTTGAGCAGGTTCTTGCTCAAAAACACCGTTAAAAAAAGTCACGAAGTTTTTGTATACGGAGGAAGTAGTAGTAGTAGTAGGAGGAGGATGGAGGGAGGGAGGAAACACTGTACACTATTTTTAAAGCCCTGTACCCGAGCAACACAGAGCAAAGGTAGCTGGGGGAGGGGGGAGGGGGGGGGGGGGGCAGCATGCAACTCGTAACTCACCATAGAAGCTGTCCGAGCTGCTGATGTCCACTGCAGATGATTCACTTTGTTTGCTCGCCTGTTCGGAGATGTCACTGAGTGTTGAGTGGAACGGCGGTGGGTGAATGTCTGACGAGGCTACCCTATGCGAGGATGGTAAATCCGCTGATGCAGACATGCTCCCACTAATCTGACTTTCCGTCCCCATGCTTGCAGTGGCTGAAGAGCATTGCAAGGAGACACTGTCCTCTGCTGCTGCAGTACTGACGGAATCAACAGTCAATGCACCGAAAGCTGACGATGATGGCGATGGACTGGAGGCAGCCAAATCAGCGACGGATGCAGAGGCACTCCGCAGCTCGTCCAAGAAAGACTCATCCGCAGCGGTTGATTCCCTGGATGAGGCAGTGACATGGTGTGAGCTAGGTGTGGCGGTGGAGGTGGTGGATTCAGTCAGGGTAGAGCTAGTTTGATGATGGTGCTCAGCTGCTGGCGCTGCGATGCCTGACCTTGCAACACGTGGACTGCCTTTCTTGGCTTTAGAAGATGGAGGTGGTCCACTGGCCGGAGCTGCCGTTTGGCGCCTGAGTGTCTGGTCCATTGCAGTGTGCAGCTTGGCCCTCTCCTCATCAAGATGATGGGAGCGAGCCAGTATGCGTTCCTGCTGGCTGAGCAGCTTGGCAACTTCAGCTTGCTGAGCGGCAAGTCGCTGCTCACGGCGTTTCAGGGCTCTGCAACAGGAGTAGAGAAGATGAATCAGAAAGAATGTCAGCAGTTGGATGTGGAATGCGAATGTGTTTCAGGACAATACCGGTATGCAGCTTAAGCAATGGTCATCTGAACCAGTTGACAGCACCAGTGTATACAAGCAAGTGCCTGTGTGCTAACGATGTGAGCCTACAAGATACGGTCCAGATACACAAGGGATTTGTGCAGATGTTAGTTTATGCACTAAGACAGTCTAAGAGTGCTTTAAAACACTAGCACTGACAATTTCGCAGAAATAGCTAATACACTTTGATGAAAAGACCATGCAGTTTTCGAATGTTTACAGCTCCAAATACGGCTGTGTTCGTGGTACAGGCATAAAAATACAGCGTGAAGTCTAGGCCTACCTTTCATCACTTCGTTCTTTCAGAGTGGCAAGCTTTTTCACCAAGGAATCATCCGCCGTGCTATCCAGGATAGACACTTTCGACTCATCATGGCCATCCGCTGGACTAGGCTTGCTGCTGCCGCTCTGTACATTGCTGGTGCTGCTGCCGCTCTGTACGTTGCTGGTGCTGGAGTAAGTTTGGCTGCTCTCATACATGCCAGTGTGCTCAAGATCAGACCTGTGAAGGGTTTCGCTCGCAGCATGCATGTCAGCTACCGAGTCAGTGACAGAGTCACCAGATACTCGGGAAATGCTGTCGTGAGTCACCATGGAGGACTGAAGATCTTCAGCTAATGGCGTAGCAGAACCAGTCGAAGTCGATCCAGTACGCCCTAGCTCATCGAGCACACTGGCCGATGATGACAAGGCGGACCGTGATGACGGGGACAGGGCACTGGACACACGCGAGCTTCCAGTCACTGATCTTGACCGGAGCGGCAAGGGAGTTACTGTTCCAGTGCTCGATTCATCGCCAGCCATCAGACGTTCGCTCACCGATGACGTGGGAGTTGATTCAGCACTCGATATGGATGTATCGTGGCGAGATGAAACCTGCGAAAGAGCAACAAAAACAATCAGCTCAGAGCAATGGACTTTCGTTGCACACAGCATACCAAAACAGAAATGTGTCCTTACACATAGGTCCCTTGGCAGGAGTGCTGCTAAAGCACACCTCCGTATTCTTGAACCACAATGTCACAAAATAGTTCCGGATTGCTTCCGATAATCACACAGCAACTTGAGCTCCCAATCTCAACGGCAAACATTAGAGTACGAGTGTATCTGAGTCAAAATATAGTACAGGTTGCACTCTTACTCTGGATTGTTGGTCCTCCAGTTTAGAAGCTCCAGTCGAGCTTGCAGCAAGGCTCTCAGGAATTATCACCGAACTGAGCTCATTGACAACCGATGTCCTGGTGGAAGATAATGACTGGGAGTGCTCAGTAGTCCGCGGAGACCTAGCACGAAGTGGACTACGGACTGGACTCTTGTTGCGTGATGACTGTGCCCTAGGCCGAGAGCGGTACTTGTTCAGACGCTGTTTGAAAGCTTTGGTCTCTTCGCGCAGGCGAGCAATGTCCTGCTGTTGCTGCAGCAGCCTCTGTCGGTCCTGGCGTGCTGCTTCGTTGGCTGACTGCAGACGCTTGAGTTCAGCCTGGAGTCCAAAGAAAAAGATAGCAAGACCAGGTTGAACTGAGATGTTGCGACTTCGGCGGTAATATTAGAAAAAAGGTGGCTGCTCCTAACGTTGAATGCTGACGGACTGACACTTGACTGACTGCCAACTGCCGTCCAGAGCACACAAAAAAGCATGCCACGGGAGTGGTGATTTCTTTGTGGATTTACCGAGTGTAAGGTTTGACAAGCGTCTTGTGCTCCAGATGGCGGTCGTGAGTCAGTGAAGTGTCAGTCAATCAGCAGGAAGATCGAACTCTGACGTTAGGAGCAGCCAGCTTCTTTCAAGACAAGATCGCCTACTGAAATCGAGTATATCCGAACCAACCGCATAGGCAAGTGTTGAATTGCAGGCAACGCAACACAACCATAAGCATCCAGCATGAGTGCGAAACCTTGCCCCTCAGCAGAGAATAAATCTTATCATCTTGCCGTTTCAGCTTGCACGCGTCTCTTCAAGCCTTCCTGACGCTTGCACAGTTGTGGCATCTTGTCATCGTCACCTTTCTTCTGATAGTACCTACAAAGGGAGGCCGCAGAGTTGATACACACAGTACACGTACACTCACTACACTGGCTGCAGAGTTGATACACACACACAGTACACGTACACTCACTACACTGGCCGCTTTTCAGCCTCTCTCGATTCCTCTATGACTCTGAGATCAAGCAATGGGCAAATATCCGTACAGCCATGCGTGCCCTCAGCCACGGCTACTAGAGAGTGTTCACACAGACATCCACAGTACAGAGTCTACAGACTACACACGGCACTGGCACTGGCCATGCTTACCGTATTCGCTGCTTCAGAAGGCTCATCTCGGCTCTGGCTTTCTCCCGAATCGCTTTCTCACGCAGACCGAGCAAAGCGGCCTGTCAAACAGTGGCAAAACAAGATAATTACGCATCGACCAAAACGAAGATTCCCAAAGCGTTTTCTAAGAAGATTTTTTGCTGAGGACTATTTCTTCCTACACAGTAGACACAGTAAAAGAGGATGTGACAACAGCATGGCGTTATCAAACTGACAACGCAGACACAGATCAGTGAGTAGAGCCTTTCTTAAAAATATCATGATCAGAAGCACCTCGGTAGACGAGAGTAAGGTAAGGGTGTACCTAAGTGATCTTACCTGATGTCTGGAACGCGTTTCCTCTTCCAGCATCAGTTGCCGGACCATGTCTAAGGTGAACTCGGTAAACGAATCACCAGGGCTTGCAGGACCTTCACTCGCGGCCTGTTCCGCCCAGCGGCAAGACAACATAAGGCAAGTCGATATTTCACAACAGTGACATGTACATGTACCTGAGTGCATGCACATGTGCACACACAATTGCGCAAACATCACCATACCAGTCACGTCACTGCAACTCACAGTGGTCTCGGAGAAGAGTACTCACACATGAAATGATAGTATCAACACCACAGGAGCAGCAGCAGCAACAGCAGCAGCAGCAGAAACAGCAGCAGCAGAGGCAGAAGCAGCAGAAGCAGCAAGACTTTCTATGACACTTTCTCCTGAAAGAAACATGCTGCAGAGCTAAACAATGTCAAGTACATGTACAAGCAAATTTGCACGGCGGCACAAGAGTGACAACACTCAGCTCGGGCAGTTATCAGTACAACTTACCACTAATAGTTATCAGTACAACTTACCACTAATAGTGTATTACTCACCATCAGGTCAATTGAAGCCATGGATGATGCTACAGAAACTTCACCAGATGAAAAGCTCCCACTAACGTCATCAGAAAGAGGAGTACTCTCAGTCACAGTTGGCTGCGAAGAAACTCCAGACCCCACCTGGTAACCAGCAAATATTCAAACACCAAAAAAAGTTCTATCAGCAAGTACCAGCTAGTTGAATTGCATGCGGAGAGCCGTGAACAGTCTTATTCAAGCAGTGATGCACACAAACATCAATCATGCGGAGAGCCGTGAACAGTCTTATTCAAGCAATGACGCACACAAACACCAATGCAATGCAAGCTACTTCCTACTAGAGTGTGGAAGAAGGTTAGCGAATCCTGAAGTCAACACACAGATACGACTCTCACAGGGCAGTAGATAATTAGACAAAATGAAATTGAACTACATGTGTATGTAATCTAGATCCACACACTACGCTGTTAGCGGTGTGCAAAGCCACAAACATCTAACCTGAGAGCCTGCGACAACCGATGACAGAGGCTGACTTAGGCTGTCAAACTCAGCAATGTAATCTGAAGAAGTACCAGCAAGAAGAAGCAGACAATGAAATACGGAAGCATGATGAACAGAGTCTGAATGTTTCAACAGCAGAATCAACGGCATGCACATTGCTAAACTAGTTGCAAACATGGTGCATCCATAGTCTAGACAGTGAGAATCGTTCAGAAGTCAAACCGGTTTTTGACAATACCCGGAGAGGTAGCCAGTTCTAGTGCTGATGGCATTTCTTTGGCACTCATTATTTTGCGGGTGCAACTGCTCCCAACCCAGTACAGTACAGTCAGACCTTGCTTATCCGGTCCTCGTTTATCCGGATCCCTCGCCATCCGGTAGAAAATTGCTGGTTACCGATTTACAGCATATGCCATGCACATATACAGTATGTGTGTTCGATTATCCGGTTCCCTCGCCTATCCGGATATTTTTCTGGAAAACGGATGTGTGCGGTTATGCGAGGTCTGACTGTATCCTTCTTGTCTTACCGGATGTTTTCTGCTGAATTGGCGTGGACGCTTGCAGAGTACTGCTGGCACTTGCACTCAAGCCTGCGGCTATTGATGTAAGAGTATCATGACTATCGCCTGTTGCCACTGAGGAGCTGCCAGCAAGTCGCGATGACACTGCACTCGAACTAAGGCGCTCGGAACGGCGACTGCTGGACCGAGACGAGCGCAGAGGCTGTGACTCGGATAGCGACCTGAGTGTACACAAACATAGGTCCAGAGAAAATACGCCGATGTAGTCGGATATACACAGGCTTAGTTTAGAACTAGTTTGGGACAACACGCCACCAAACATCCTTTTCGCAGAGAAGAAATAGACCTGGCTATGTATTTCACATGGGCAATGGAGTAGCAACACACACAAGATAAACACGAGGAGCAGGACACGCTACACGTCACAAACAAGACTGCACGCTGACAAACACCACAGGCTAACGGCTCAACTGCAACGCGTGAGCCAGGCCATACCTATCTGAGATGTCTTCAGTGAGGCTGGACGGCGACAGGCGGTCGTGGCTAGTCGAGGGGGACGACAGTGATGACGTCGACGCGCTACCCGCCATCACGCTAGTCTGAATTCCGATACTGGCAATGTCAGCAGCTTCCGTTCGCGGCATTGGATGCTGTCAAATAAGCATGCACCACAAAATCAAAGAACAGATAAGAAACGTAGCACCAGTCCTTTTGCCTCATCAAGTTTCATCAACAAGGTTGTTGTTGTTGTTACTTTATTTTACTTCACCAGAATTACAGGCAGTAGAATGCCTTCTCACTAGACCAGGTAGAGTCAGAAGCAAACAAGAGAGGCAAAGAAATTGAAACGCTACTTTCCAAAAACAGTCCATAACTAGTAGCTACGATACAAGCCAGCATCTGACTAGCTACCTACCTGGGCCAGCATCTGACTAGCTACCTACCTGGGACATGAGCGCTGAAAGTGCAGCCGCGGCGGCAGCTGCTGCCACTGACGTTGCCGACTCGGCCTGAAAGCGCTCCAGGTCTTGCTGATGATTGCGCAGTATAGTAGCCGTGCTGTCTTGATGAGCCTGGCAGCATGAGAAACCAAACAAGTACACCAAGCACAATCACAATATTGTACACGTGGCGTCCAATCCGCCTAAGCTGACAGCTCAAGAGATGCCCAACGCCATGTTCCTTGTCCTGTGCACAGGCGACACTTAAAGCGCGATGAATGCGAGTCAGAGAGTGAAGTTGGCAGCAAGGATCGTCCATGTGCAACACCGCTAACCGCTGCTTCATCAGGCACATCAAACCAAATACATGTACGTCGCCTGGTGGATAACAAACGGAACCACCTAGAGAAGTTGTTCGCCGTCACAAAGGGATCAACTTCTTCTCGAAGAGGCAAAGGAGGACCGGGAGACCAAGAAAGCAATGGCAGAGGCCATTATAGAGTCATCTGCATCCTTTCAAGCTGTCATGACAGGGAAAGCAGGCCATAATGAGTACGCTGGCGCAAGGCATGACAAAGTCAATGGAGATGCTAGGGCATGCAATGATGCAACAGCTGCAGCCAGCTCCGATGCCCAATTATCCGATGTATGGCAATAATCACCATCAGTCCCCGTTATCGTAATCGTCAGCGTCTCAGTGTCCAGCTCCACGCATGGCACAATGGAATCCGCCACACCTGGGTGGCCCACACCAGCAGTTTCGCAATCATGCAAGCGACTCTAGCCGTCAGTGATAAGTTTGTTCACTACACCTGTACTAGTCATTGGCCATCATTTTTTATGTCTATGTTTCGCGTCGTCCGCACGCATACGTTTTGCCTTTTTTCGGAAAAAAACAAAAAAATCGAACATGCACAGTGAGTGTACGATTGTGCGAATCATCAGTGTGGACTGGCTGCATACGGCGAAGCTGGGATTCAGAAATGGCCTCGAGGCCAGCGTTGGTAAATCGTTTTTTCGGCATCTGCGAGCAGTATTCTATGAGCTTACACCAGACCGTATCGATTGCCTCAAGCTGAGAGGATGCGTCGTTCCGGACCTCTTTGCACCGCTGCTGGAGTCTGAGTACAATAATCCAGCGAAGCATGGGCACCAACGGTTGCCGCCGCTGTCCAAAGTGAATATTTACTCATGCTGATAACCCAGATGTTGTGCTTGGATGTAGGATTTTTCTTTCGAATGTACACCATCAGGGAGTCGTCAAATACGGTATTTGATGACTCCCTGCACACCATGCACGAGCTATTGTGCTATGTACAGTTCTAGCTAATTCTATACACCTCTGATGAGCCTTTTTTATTATTTTGCATTTTTTTATTTCTTTCCACCTCTCGCATATGATTCTGGAAGTTGAGCTGACGCGAAACATAGATATAAAAAATGATGGATTAAGACTGTAATGTTCTTTTGATGTGTTCACAAATGCTTTCCTGCTTGTTTATTTCGGCTATACTGTCGCCTTAGCGTTTAGTTGCCTGGAGTCGCACAAGTTTCCAAACGTTGACCTATCTTATAGCCACTATCACTAAAATTGCCTCTTGCCGCGAATGCTTTATTATCGTTTTTGATGGTTTAGTCGTGTTTCTTGAGTTTAGATTGAGCAGTTGCCCGTGTTAAAAAAGGATCGGCTTCTTCTCGAAGAGGCGAAGGAGGACCGGGAGACCAAGAAAGCAATGGCAGAGGCCGCTAAAGAGTCATCTACATCCTTTCAAGCTGTCATGCCAGGGAAAGCCGGCCACAATGAGTACGCTGGCGCAAGGCATGACAAAGTCAATGGAGATGCTAGCGCATGCAATGATACAACAGTACTAGGATAGCACTAGTCATGACACACACACACACACACATGCAAACTAAAGACAAAGGCGGTGTAACAACAACTAACAGTTACATGATTGTACAGTATTGCTCAATCAAATCCGATCGAGTCACCCAAGTACACGCCGGGCGTTCCACAGCCCTAGACTTGTGAACACTGGTCTGCGAAATAGGTCAAGGCGCGGACTTGACTCACGCGATCCGACATCATCAAGCAGCACTCTACATGCATGTTTCCACGTCTACAGGATAGTAGGTACCTGAATGACTTGCTCCATAGTATGCTGCTGCACTTCGGCTGCTTTCTCGACATGTGCTGCAACAGACTCTAGAGCAGTCATACCCGCCGCAACCGCTGCCGCGTCTTGTTGCTACACCATAGGACAACATAGGACAGCATAGGACGACAAAAACAATGTTGGTGCTAAGAGATCGACGGGGATAAAACTCAAGGCGGTCATGAGATGATTGGCAAAAACAATGTTGGTGCGGAGAATTTGAAAGGGATAAACTCTACAAGGTGGCCGGCCGACCACTGATATCACTTTTACAGGAACTGGCTGCACCCAGCTAAGACGACCATACTCTTGCCCCAAACCGTACACACGAGTACGCACCGCTGACCTGTTTCTACATTACAAGTAACGAGTCAAAAAGCTGGAGTAAGCAGGTAATTAGCAAGTCATGCTACGTCGAAACAAAGAATAAAAGCTTGTGTGCGACAGAGTAGGCACAGTACAATTGGATATAGGCAAACCACAACACAGGTACACGATCCTCTCACTCTTGCTGAACTACACCTGATACAGCCAGAGAACTTACTTGTGCCTGCTGATGGGTAGCACGAGAGGCAGCAGCTTGCGACTCCAGCTGCGCCTGTATTCATAGCAGGACAAAGGAGGGAAGCATCCCATTTCATGATTCATGCTACATGCACTGCCAGTACGTACTAACGTAGACTTCTACTCTCCTTCTTCTCATACCTTACACACACTTGGGTACTGCTTGTACAATCGATACATTGTGATGTGAGTTTCTTTTTTTTGCTCCTCACGCTTTTTACACACACTGTACATGCACATCATGGACCTTGATCTGCATGATGTGTTACATGAGAATACACCTGTACATCAACGGCAGGACTACTGACATTACCAACCTTTCTCAGCTGCTCCTCAGCTTCAGCCTTCTCCCGCTGAGCGTTGGCTG